GTAACTAAATCTTTGCATTACCAGAGGAGCCACTGCTCCTCTCGTCTTCCATAGTCTTCGACTCAGATAGAACGTTAAACCAATCAATCAATTAATCAATCAATTAGTGTCAAAGTGGGTAGTTTTGGGCCATAACGAGGCAACTTTCGGTGGGTGCTTTGCAAAAGTGACCGTGAGGTACGTTATGATGTTGTTCTCATGGTCGGCGTATCCTGATACCAGGTCGACCTCGTTAGCTACCTAATCAACCACATCTCTACACCTCTTACAAATCGTCATCTTCTCCCCAGCTTTGTCCCGTCCTCCAAATTGTCGCAAACCCCTACTAGCAACCTCAAACTCTTCACTTCCACAACGCGTGCACTTTCGTACCTCATTCTTCGTCTCCTCGCCGTTCTCGCTTCTCCCTTCGCTCATTTCACTGGTCAGACGACTAATCTGACTGACCTGGCTGACCTGGCTTGCGCGTGGATCCAGCGGCGTCCTTTGACTTTTGTTATGATCCCCTTTGCTCGTCCAAAAAAACCAGCTCTGCCCATTGATGATGGCGAGTGGGTTCGTAATGGAAGGATGGCTTTCATGTTCAGGTCGCTCAGAGGTTTCAGACGACTCGGATGGTTCTGGGACATTTATGCCTGATGGTGTTGAGATTTCAGATTGAGATGCACTCTGTCCGGGCGTGCGATCTATGGACATCGAGGTCTTTGGGGTGCCTGTGGGTTCGGAGTTCGTAGTGTCATGAGACCTCATGGGATTAAGGGCTGAGAAGTCAGGTGCTCGTGCTGAGTTCAGGCTAAGAGCTACCATAGATTTGCGAGGTGAAACGCTGCGACCACTTTTTCGACGTATGGATCCAGTTGAGTCGAAGCTACCATGTGAGATGCTCTGTCGCCATGTCATTATGCGGTCATTTGGTGGTTGCGTCGATACGCTGTCTTGTCTGGATCGGCTGGTTCGTGATAGGATGCTGCTTGGGCGCCCGATCTTAGATGATGTTTCCCAGGTGTCCCTCAGCCGTACGCGTTCGTCATATGCGCAATCCTGCCTAAAAACCTTCAGTGACCCTTTGTAGTCGGTAGTGATGATAATGTTGCCGCCTTGGTGTTCGCAACGCGCGAGATATGCTGGGGTTTCGTTTGCTCTCGGAAACAGATTCTGGTTCGGTGCTGGCATTGGGTGTGCTGATCCAGCTTCTGTAGGTGCTCGGGAAGAGTGAACAGACTCAGCTCTAGACACAAGTGTGACAGGCGGTGGGTTGCACATATCGTATATTGGATCCTCTGAAGCACTGAGCAGTTGTCGTGTCTGTAGGGGAGCAAACACTGTGCACGTTGTGATGGAGTCGTGGGCTTCGAACATCTCCAGGGGTCGCTGATTCCTCTTATCTCCTTCTGGAATGCTCGTCGACCATATGTAGGCTTTACGATCTTCGCTACCACAGATGATGTGTCCAGAGCTGTCAACGAATGCTGCTCGTATTTGGCTGTAGTTGTTCTCATGACCCTTGAACTTCATATCCAAACTTTTGTCTTTCATATTGTAGACTCGTAGACGGGAGTCGTTGCTCGAGACTAGAAGCTTGACCTCGCCAGCTTCGCTACCGGGAGGCCAGTATGTTGCTTGAAGTCCGGTAATCTTACTGCCTTTCGCGTTCTGCCCTCTAGTTGACTTCACATGTAGCTGAGCCTGCCACTTCAAGCCTTCAGTATCGTAGAAATTGCAGAGACCACCCAATGTCCCTGCTATGCAGGTCTTGCCATCAGGGCTAAATGTCACAGCCGTGATCATGTCGGGAACTGAGGCCGAGTATGCAACACTCTTATCCGGGATACTCCACAAGCGAAGCTTCGAGTCAAGAGAACCAGCCAGAAAGAATCGATCGTCCATGGGATGGAATTGAATGGATGGGACAAAGTCCGAGTGTTTGAACGTGCACAAGTTCTCGTCGCGGCTAATGTGCCAAAGACGTACGGTCTTGTCCATTGACGAAGACAGTAGGAAATTGTTCTGTCCGCGTCAGCTTTTTTCTTCATGGATTGATACTTGTAGAGACGCACCTTGCTCCAACTCAGATCCAAGATGGTTGCTGCATGGCCATTGTACTCTCGGTAGGGCTTTTGCTGGAATACTGGTGCGCTGAGATGCTTCGCCTGGCCTGCGGGATCGCTCTCATCTTTTTCATGCGCTCTGCGCTCCTCTGCATTCGACAATACCGCCCATACACGGATGACTCTGTCCTGCCCACCAGCAGCAAGATACTTTCCATCCTTGCTGAACTCGGTGGCCCATATGGGGTTTTTGGTCGCCGCCGATCCGGACTGGGGGACTGGATTAGACCCTGCAGCAGGGGCGCTGTTCTTGTCGGCGCCTGAGCGTAGCTCCTGTGCCAGAAACACGCGATCGAATTCTTTCTTGGACTTGAACTTGGTGCGCACTTTGATGTATGCGGGTGGTTGCGGGTGCTTTGGGCTGAAGCCGAAGTTAGCGACGTAAAGCTGCGCATCCATGCCCTCAGGTCGATAGTCGTCAAACTCGGAGCCATTGTCACTTGCACCATCGAGGGCAGTCTTCTTTTTGTTGCCAATGAAGCGACTAAGAAATGAAACGCCCTTCCTACAGTACGGTCAGTTACGCTGTTCGTACCGAGGCTTAGCCTCGATATTATGCAGTCAGGAGGGGTGGTGAACAGGCCAACCAGGTCGGCCTGAGAACGATGTACCAACACGATATACGGCCTTATACGACAAGCACGCTAGGCCCCAGCACGACAAAATGGCGCATCCCCACACCCTCAAAGTTGGGATAGATAGTAAGGAAACTCACTTCTTGTCTGCCTTTGCACTTGCACTCAAATCGCGCGGTACTTCACCGCTGTGCTTCTTGTCCGGAGTTGCTTCATGGAGCGACGTTTGCGAATGCGTCGCGTATGGTTCTGTGTGCTGTGCTCGCAGCTTCTGTATAGCAGGAGATGTATTTGTCCTTTTGAGGATTTGCTGTATACAAGATGCGCAGTCAGCCTCAGAATATGCCTTGCGCAGTTCTCAATATGTACATACTTGCGAAAGTGGATCTATGGCCGCTTCAGACGAGCTCTTTTCTTCGCTACCATTTCCGTTTTGTGCTTCGTTCGAAGGCGCCGTGGGTGAAGTAGGACTGCGTACGTGCATGACAAGCTTGCCATTGGTGACTAAAGGCTTGATGATAAGCATTGATGCAGTGGATGGGCATAGAAAGTTCCTGGCGCTTACACTCTCCTTTGTTGGTGTGTTTTCCTGTGTCGCGTCTGCCTTGCGGACTGACAGCGCGGACGTGTGGGTCTGCTACTTTGAATTTGGGCAATAGATCTGCCATGTTTTCTCATCCAGCTTCATGGATATGCTAGTCGTGGGAAGTTATTCCTGAGAGTCAACTACAAAGGCGTGCGCAGCAGTAATTCGTCGAAACGCGAGTGCGGTAGGATCTTGAGCTGCAGTCAATCAAGGATGGGAAGTCTCAATCCTGGTTATACAAAGATCTGGTCGTCGGGGGATGGCCGGGTAACGGGGTAGATAAGCTTATCGATAAATCTCGCATGCATGCCGCGGCGCATGCTTTCAATCCGGCAAGACAATGTTTTGAATCTGATGACACGCTCGACCGGTGAGAGAGAGTTGCGAAGTCATGGTGGTTGCAGTGGTATGAAGGAGGTGTAAGCAGCCAATTCGCCTAGTGCGTTGCATCGCTCTTTCTAAGGTCGCAGCCCCGGGCTTCCGCGAATTGGTGACGTCACAGATTTCCACACCTCGGAACAACAATGAGACGACTCGTGCGTTCTATGGGAATGTAGGATGCAGAACGAGGCATGAGAAGTGTTTGCAGTCGCAGCGAATGTGTCCATATTACGAGTGGCTTAAGACTTCGGGCCTTCTTCATGCTTCGCTGTCCAAGCTCGTGTATGGGGTCTTGGTGCGAAAAGAACCTGCAGCCACGGTTCATGACATCGCGAGGATGGCACGGTAGATGTTATTGAATAGTTGTATTGATCATTATTTTGAAGCCATGAACCATCACTGTGCGAAACTGCAGAGCCCAGAATACATCGCTCATAGAATCCACCAACGCCAATACTCCAAAGTGCAGAAAAGAGGTATCAAAAGGAGGAATGCAGAACCGCCCCTGATGGAGATGCACGCAGTCTCACTCCGACGATGCAGAGGTGAATGAATATACAAGTGGAGGTAACCTAGTACCCATGCCCAAAGTCCAAGAGGTATACAGCGCGAGATGATGGTAATATGACAAGCGAAAAAGGCAAAGAGAGTAACAGATCAAGGCATCTAGAAGTCTTCCTCGAAGTTGAAGTCTCCAGACATGCCCTGTACCTCTGCAGGAGGCGACAAACCCTCTGTCTGCTCTTGCTTCTTGGTGCTCGCCATGACACCGGCTTTCTGGTAGTCACCAACACGCTTCTCGAAGAAGTTGGTCTTGCCAGCAAGCGAGATATTCTCCATGAAGTCGAAGGGGTTGGTGGCGTTGTAGTACTTGGGGTTACCAAGAGCCAAGAGCAGACGGTCGGCGACGAACTCGATGTACTGGCACATGAGTGTGGCGTTCATACCGAGCAATGCGCAAGGCAGAGCATCTGAGAGAAACTCCTGCTCGATCTCGACGGCTTCGGTGATAATGGCCTGGACAGCATCCTTGCTTGGGCGGTTGTTGAGCAGAGAGAACAGGAGACAAGCAAAGTCTGTGTGCATGCCCTCGTCACGAGAGATGAGTTCGTTGGAGAATGTGAGACCGGGCATGAGACCACGCTTCTTCAGCCAGAATATAGATGCGAAGGAACCACTGAAGAAGATACCCTCGACGGCGGCGAAGGCAACGAGACGGTTGGCGAAGGTGGAGTTCTTGTCAGAGATCCATCGCAGGGCCCAGTCGGCCTTCTTGCGGATGCAAGGAACTGAGACACGTTAGTTGGAAGGCCAGATGGCGAGAAGAGAATCAACTTACTGTTGTCAATAGCGTTGAATAGGTATGTGCGCTGCTTGGGCTCGCTGATGTATGTGTCGATGAGGAGAGAGTATGTCTCGGCGTGGACGTTCTCCATCATGATCTGGAAGCCGTAGAAGCATCGCGCCTCGGGGATTTGTACCTCGCCGGAGAAGCGCTCGACAAGGTTCTCATTGACAATACCATCGGAGGCGGCGAAGAAAGCGAGGACGTGGGAGATGAAGAAGCGCTCGTCATCGTTGAGACGCTTGTTCCAGTCATGAAGGTCCTTGGAGAGATCGATCTCCTCGGCGGTCCAGAAGGATGCCTCGGCCTTCTTGTACATTTGCCAGACCTGTGAAGCATAGTGTTAGTCCAGATCATTGTAGGAATACTTTGACGCGTATTGGGACGCGTCGGACGCGTCGTGCTTACATCATGATACTTGATGGGGAAGAGAACGAAGCGCTGGGGGTTCTCTTGCAGGAGAGGCTCGTCTGCCTCCTCAGGTTTGATGGTAGGTGCAACAGTGTGCATCTTCTTCTCGACCTCGTCCACTTCCTCCTCGAGATCAGGAATACCAACAATGGGCTTGTAACGGTTCTCCTTGTCCGCAGAAGAGAAATCAATCTTCTTTGCTGGTGAATCAGACATCTTGAGTGTGTCAATGGCAGATGCAGCCTGTATGCGCGTTAGTATAACGCGTCCATCAAAAGTTATTCAAGCTACGCGTACCTGCTTAGAAGGCGTGGACTGGAGAGCCGACATTGTGAAAAAAAAACGATAAATTGTGCGGCGCTATGAAGTATGCAACAAGGCGACCGTAATATCTAGAATACCTGCGGTAGTAGGAAGGTGAGGTGCTGAAGTTGTTGATGTCGAGTATCTTTGTCGAGGAACGCGTCTCTTAAGCAAAAGAAGCCGGATCTGGCACGTGACCGGGCGTGGTCGCGCCTTCCGTTTCGTGCCCCACTGTCGCGCTATGACGTGAACCATGAGCAAAAGTGATCGCAGCTGCCTTCTGATGCCATTCGCACGCTGCTTTAATAACAACATTTGTTTTCTCATCAAGTTAATTGTGCGCATTCCAACAGCACCCATCTTGTATCTCTTTTTGTCTGTCCATCACCACAAGTCTCGAGATGAAGTTGTGCTCTCGCGACCCCAGCCACGGCTCGCGTCTGCAAAACACAACCGTGCAGACGCGTTTCTCCACGAACGCGCTCTCGGCCCACCACAACACTGGTCAACCATGCACGTTCTGTTCCGCCTTCCGTTAGATCATCCCTTGGCGGCTGATTCAGGGCTTGGAAATGCGCAATTCGGGCTTCATTGGCCGCACCATCGGCCGCATTGTGCACCTCCTGTCAGGCACACGCAGAATTTGGATCTGATAAGATTGATCTTTGTCAATGATCAGTCTCAATTGCCCCACGCAGGCCCATCCCATGCATTCGGCTTCAACCCGGCTTTGAAAGCCGGAACGCGTCCAAAGACGCGTGTGAAGCCCTGGCGATTTGATATCATGTGCTTGTCACAACAGCGTTAGCAACGGCTCAACGTCTGAGAACGGATCTCAGAGCGAGCATCAAGAACCTCCAAGACTTCTCCAGCCACTTGACATACGCGTCAGGTGTCGGTCTTGTCCTCGACTGTGGAGAGGTGACATCGGTCCTCCAAACGGCTTGCCTATCCCCCATCACTGACATCTCATTGTGCTTGACTATACTCAATCATTGTTACGCGTCAAGCGGCGGAAACTTCCAAGTATAGAAATAGATCCCTTCACTTGACACAGATCTCGAATCTTATAAACTGAGTCCTTTGGCCACGGATTGGATAAATCATTGCGTTCCAACTAAGCCAGACGACATTTCGCTGCTCTCGCGTTCGAGATACTCATATCTACAACTCGGATATGCGGCGCGTCAGTGAGGCTTGACTGGTGCGGCAGTCGGTCACCCCACAAAATGATTGGGCCCAGGAACACAAACCAGGGTCCCTCTTCCTTCAATCGCGGCTGGGCATACTCAAGACGAACAACTTCTCTCATCATGACCGAAAGTCGTATCACAGAGAACAGCTCCATTTCCAAGGATACGAATTGACGCAACGAAATTGATCATTGAGTGCTGACTCAATATTTTTCGCTACAATGCCAAGAACCCCCTATCCGCTGTGGCTGAGCCCAACGAGGCGTGCTGGCTTGTTCAGCATTGCTCTTTGTACCCGCTGAGAGCGTCCTCGACTCGTCAGGATTGAGTCTCAATTGCTTTAAGCAACATGTCGCAATACCCCAGCATGCCTCCACCGGGAGCGTACGTTCCACCGAACCAGAATCAAAACACCCCACCACCACAAGGCTATGGTGCACAACATCAGCAGCAGGGCTACCAGCAGCTTCAAGGTCCAACGACATATCAGTCGTCAGCACAAGGCCATGGCCAACCTAGCCAGTCACACAAAGCTAGTGGAGGGACGTTTGGACAAATGATGAACCAGGCAGTCACGACCAGCAAACCGATGCTGAACAAGCTGAGCAAGACAATAAGCTCAAAGCTAGGGAATAAGCCTACCACATCAGGAAACCCACAACATATGCAGAGTTACCAGAACTACCAACAACATTACGGCCAGCAGACGCAAGTTCACTCACAGCCTCAGAGCCACACTTTCAATCCTCAAGCCCAACAGACACAGCAACATCCACAGCCGCAAGCACCGAGCACCTATCCTCCCCAGCAGTCACCTTACCAGCAATCAAACTACGGCTCAGGACAAGGCAACTACTTTACGCAACAAGCGCCAACGACGCCGCAGACGCCGTACACTCGAGCCACTCCACCACCGCAGCAACCTTTGCAGACAAGCTACAACAGTACGCAGTTCGATCAGGGTGGTAATACAGTAGGAGATCAACAGGCGCAGGCGCAACAAGGACAATATCATCATGGGCAGATAAGTCAGGCACATACTCAGACTCAGGGACAGTACCAACAGCAGCCTCTGCAGGCTCAATACACAGGTCAGCAGATGGGCGTTATGGGAGGTTCTCAACATGTTCAACAATCGTCGAATCCGCAATCGCCGCAGATCTCCAGTGTCTCGCCGAGTTCGTCAGCTCCTCAGCAAACCCAGTGGCATAACTCACACACCGGTTCGGAGCAGTCTCTCGCTTCTACATATCAGCAGCCTCAGCATCAGCAGCAGCAGCCCCCGGCATCTACCGCTCATACGCAGCAGTCGTACTTCCCGAATACGAATGTACAGGCGCAGCCCAATAATCAACAATGGACACCGCTGTCCCCAGCAGGCTCTGAAGGCCAGGGCCATAGCCATAGCCAGTTGCCTCCTGCCTCGATTAGCCCCCCTCCTCCACCGCCGGTCCAAAGCAAACCGCAAGCTATGCCAAGTGTCTCGCCGCAGCAATCTCATGGTTCTACTCCCGCTCCACAATCAGTCGCTGCGCAGCCTGGGCCGCCAACAGAGTTCATCGCTGAGTTGCCGGCTGATATGGGCAGTCTGAGCATTGCAGAAACGAAACCCCTGGAGCACGCTCCAGTACCGGTCCCTGGACAGGCGTCGCCGTACCAAGCCTACGAGTCGTCGACCGCACAGGCTGGACCATCATCACCCGGCTTCACCATTGCTCGTCGAGCTGTAAGCATAAGCAACGTGCCGTATGCAGACCCATGGCGGTTTGCCGACCCTCTTACCGAGCTTCCTACGCGGGAGTTCTACATCATTGCCGACCTGCTGTTCGATGCGCTAGATAGGAAGTTCGAGCCACAGAACACTGGAATGCTAGAGGCAAGCAAGATACTCAGGAGCTGGATTGACCTGACTGAAGACGCAACACGTAAGCTCGTTGTGTTAGGGCTGTACGTGTTTGATACTTACTTCCGCGTAGAACTCTTCTCGTACAACTCTTACAGTGCATTTGGCAAGATGTGGAGCCTCCAAGGCATTCCACATGTCATGGTACCTTGTCAACCGTCATTGACGCCGATTTGGAACTTCAACCAGCACTCACATGCTCATGAGCTCAAGCTGTCCCCTGTGCAAACAAATGCAGCGACCTACGCAACATACATGCCAGCCTTGAACCGCGCTGGGTGGTACATGTTCTTCTTTCTTGAAATGATGCACGGTCCTGACAACATCAACAAACTGATGCCTGCGTTCTGTTCTGAGACTTACAAACCAGGAGTCTTGCACCATCCCGACCTCACCAAGCGCGACAAAGCAGAGGCGCCAGCACTTCAGGCACGAGCTGCTGAAATACAAACCACGGCCATCAACCAAGTATGCAATGAAACCAAAGCTACAATACTGGCTGAATCAAACAACTGAGCAGCATTTGGACGTCGAGACAATAATGGACTTTGGTACTACCACGGGTCTGGCTGGAGGCTATCATGGTGGCTGAGTGGGTCTTGGACCTCTTGGTCCACACATTTCAGATACCACGTTTACCATGGACAATTGACCTATATCGACGGGTTTCACTCGATGTCAACCTCCTGATTACGTGCAGATGCAGTGCTGTCTTAAGCTGGACAAACGTCGCTTGCCGAGTCTTAGCGGCAGGTACAAGTGGCGGGGGGCTAGCTTCCCGACGCGTGTCCCGTCCCGTCTTTCGATGAATACAAAACCACTACTCACAACAAGGTTCAACAAAGACAACGTGTTGAGTGTTTTCACTTACTTAGCCGTAAACTTATCGACACGAGGCATCGTGGTCTGCCCCAACATGCCCCGATTGTTCACCACGGGCGGAATGATATCGATCCGCAATCTCGGTCGCCAGGGCAGGGGTCTGGTGGCATTCGGTTGGCTGCGCAGCGTTCGATCGGCAGGCACGACAGATTTTTGGCGGTAGGGTGCCTTCCTTGCTTCAGGGTGTTGCACAACAAAACGCCGGGACGCGCATGCCAACCTCTTCTTGTCTTCTCCAGCCTTTCTCCTCCATCACAAGTTATTAGCATCGTTAGCCCACCAGCAGCATTATGCCGATATTCCCATTTTGATCATATTGCGACACGGTAACCGTCGCCTATTTCATCGCTAGTATTATCGAAGATCATCCACAGAATCGACTTGTTTGGGTTGCGCTCGGACGTCAGATCTCACGATGCGCGCTTCAAGCTTCCTCGCTCCGCTTTTCTTCGCCACCACATCCTTGGCTCAAGGTGTCGAAGAAGGCATCGAACCATCCTCGCCTGCGCCAGCTGGATGCGAAACAACTGTAAAGGGCAACTTCACTATTGGCGTAGAGAACTTTTTTGCGGCAAGATCCAAGCGCGAAACAGCTCAACAGGTACAAAGCCTCGCACAACACAAATGCACATACAATACTGACTTCGATGCGAAAGGCCGCCGATGGACTGCTCTTCTGCACACTCGAGGACGGTATCCTCCGCGATCAGTACAGCCGCACAGGTTCCGTTGTCGCCAATCGCCAATTTCAATTCGACGGCCCGCCACAAGCAGGCGCCATCTACACAGGTGGTTTCTCGGTATGCCAGAACAAGTCTCTTGCCATTGGTGGCTCGACAAGATGGTTCCGATGTATGAGCGGTGCATTTGGTAACCTGTACGACGAGTCGATTGGCGATCAGTGCACAGAAATTAGGATCATTGTCGACTTCGTCAACGACCCTTCGCCTTCCAGCTCGCTCGTCCTCCCAGCCAGCACCACGCTCAGTCTCATTCCTACTGGAGGAGCGGGCGTTACTGTATCCTCCTCCGCCACCAATGCGCCCTCCGTTGCGTCGAGCTCTGTCAGTAACAGCACGGTGTCGTCTGGTTCCTCTGCTGGCTCTTCGTCTCGAACCGCCACATCAGCATCATCTAGCTCTGCCACTGGGTCGGCAAGCGGCCTTGCGAGTGGGCCTGCATCCCGAACCTCGTCACCTACCGCCAGTGGTGCAGCTCCTCCTGCGTCCGAAGGCGGCGCCACTGTTTCTTCTCCCCTCGCACAAGGGGCCATTCTGGGAGCACTGCTGACGATCTTCGGTGCCGCATTGACTTTGTAAGCTGCGCAAAACGCACGAACGTGCATCCAACAGCGTGCAAAAAATCTGGTGGTATATTTGTTTACCCGGGCCGCAGCGCTGCATCTCCTGGTGCTATTCCTTGTACAACACACTGCATAGAGTACGGATGATATCACGATACAAGGTTATACCTGGCGATTGACTCGATTTCCTTGCCATGTGGTGCCATTGTTCACACATTACTCTACTCGCATACACGATTTGGAGAAGACTTGCTGCGCGGCGGAAGTCTGACATGTGCAGTCGCATTGGATAAACTGGAGAGGAGCATGTTATAACCGGTGTGCTGTCGAAACCTATAGGCGTTGACTTTTTGTATAGACAACCACATTAGTAATGATAATTCGGTACAAAACATCCTTGGTCCGCAGTATAAAGGTATGTGTGACAGCGAGATCAGTAGCAGTAGGGGAGTTGCATCATAAAATTAATTGCTACAATCCTCTGACCATTGTGTGCCCAATTATCTATGCGCTCTCGCTCGTACCACGCAAGCGTCCCAATGGGTTAGCGCCATCGTCCCGACACGTGACAGCCTACTTCACTACGGTACTGTAACTGTCACGGGTATTTCCCCTTACATGTACTGGCCAGCCCTTGGACAGACTCCGGAGATTGACCGGAGGCTCACGGGCCACCTGCATATATTCCTCACAAACCTGGAGGCTCAACCATCAAGGATTCGTCTAATCTCATCCCATTTTGTAACACCTACGACCGTATCCGCTCCGATACCAATGTGGTTCCTGCAGGTCTCAGCACACCGCTCCCTGTCTGTTGCAAACTACCTCTTTGTCACCTGGACAAGGGTACTTCTGATTCCCCTCCAAAAGGGATACTTAATGACTCCGATACTGTAGTTTAGATAGAGTAGTTTTTCTGTATCCTTTTTTGTACAAGACCTATAGGTGTAGGGAATTCCATCCTAGTGTTCTCAACGTCCCAGCACTCCCATATGCCTTGTAGCGGACTCACACTTACTTCGGAGTCCTTTCCTACCTACCTGCGTCGTTACAAAAGCCTCACAATCACTGGGCTTATCCGGAGTAACAGGTGAAGTACTTTGACTAGTACCTTGCCTCTGACCTTGTGCAGTTACTTCTGCCAACGATGACTGAGCCCGAGCCAAGTACACCTTGCAGAGAGTCATCCCTACCTCTTTTATATCACTGACCTCACCTCGGAGCTCAGTAATGGCATCGACAGTGAGGTTCCTGGGGCACCTAGAGCGTGCTTTCTCCTGTACAAGTAGTCCTCTGATGTTCTCAGAGGGCTCATTGACAGTACACATGCCTTGCCTCACCTCTCTTGCCCATATCTCCGCCACCGGCTGAGGTACTTTGTGGTGGTGTTCTACTCGATGAGACTCCCCAGAAGGTACCCAACAAGTCTTGTTGTAGTTACGACAGTGCTGAGAAGTACAACGCCAGTAAAGGATAATGTCAAATTCTACACCTTTGGTACCTATGAGCATGCCTCGGGCTTCACCCAAGCCTTGTTCCTGGCGATTCGTGGCTGAAATCCTTTGGGATGACCCGGCTCCTTGCCTGTGTCCACCGTGGGTCCCTCCTGTGGTAGAGGAGGGTCAGAGTATAAGATCAAAATCCACCATGAGATCCTTGTGGGACCGGAGGCTTTGCTGTTCGACACGTTTTTGGCGGAGGCAGTGAAGGAGTCGCCTGAGGGACTCGGAGCGCTCTTCTCAGAGGGTTTGTACCCATCAGGTGTCCTTTGTTTGACTGGTAAAGTAGATGGTGGTGGTGAAGGAACTGACGCGATAGTTGACTGATTTCAGTTCTGATAATTGCTCTCTCACCCACCCAAAAAGTGTCAGGCCCAACTGAGTTGGGATGGCAATAAGTACTGTTCCGGCTGAGGGCTCACTATCAGAGTGAGCCATGATACCTTTTGGCTTGCTTGCCGCAGTGGCTGGAGCTGGCGCTTGACAAAAAGGGTGCAAAGTTGAAGCTCACAAGAGTCCTCCTCTGTGTTTTCCATTGCTCCAACTCTCTCTTTTCCACAAAACACCCTCCAATGAGCTAGAAACTCAACACCTTCCACCTCTTCATTCATCTCCCTCAACTCAGCCGCTTGCTCTTCCTCTAGACCCTCCGCCTCCATCTCCTCCCAGTCATCTCCTTCACCGTCACGCTTGCCAGCGTCATCAAACTCATCAGAATCAAAAATACTTCGACTGGGATCTTCACCGGAACCTCCGCTAACAAATAGTGCGTCATTGTCGTCGTCGGAGAGGTGGATGGGGGTGAAAGTACAGCTGTTTTGGTGAAGGATAGTCGGCTGAGAGAAGAGTTGAGATGGCTGAGAATGTGAGGGATGAGAGATCCCTGAAGGAGTACTCATAGAGAGGCCTCCTTCACTGAGACTGCTGCTAGTACGGCTACTAGCGCGTTTCTCATGCCTCCGTTTGGCTTGATTGGTGAGCGATTGGCTCCATGAGACCCCCTTCTCCGTTCTCCAACGGTCTCATTTACTGTAAGTCACCACTGTTGAAAGTCAGTAAGTTATCGTCAGTTGACGGCTGGGATAAACGTACTATCGTGATGCGGAGGTGTGGCAAAGAATCGGGTATGAAATGACAACAGAGCAATGGGTACTCCTTCACTATAGTCTCCAGAGGCTCCGGCAACTACGTCACATCACGTACTATGGCACTGGTTACGCTAGTACAGGTGTACCGGTGAAGGAAACTTGGGTACATGTACCATGGGAAGCACCTCTATTGCTCACAAATCTCACAAAAGTAAGTTACAGCTCCGTTGACGTACTACAGTAACCCAAACAGTCACCCACAGCGTACACTCACTTGCCAAGCCTCAAGTCACCCATACTAGTCGCTGTGGGTGACGATTTGGGAGCTCTACTAAGCCCCATATGGTGGTGGTTCCGTACATTTTTGCAAGCACCGATATGACTTGGCGCCTGGTTTTCCTGGAAAACACTTCGCATGCGGATTTGCCTCGACCCACTCGTTCATCTTGCCAGCTTTCACGGCTTTAAACTGCTCCAAGAAACCCTCGCCTGTGCTGACGATGAAGCCGAAGGAGTTGTTGGTGATGATGTCGTAGTGTGCGGCCGTCGCCGGAGAAGACGAAACGGATTGCGAAGCCGCGGGAGCCGTTCTCGCGGTTGTCGGGAAGGTTCTTGAAGCCGGTGTCGGTGCTATATCGCATGAGGAGGTGAGTGGAGGGGTTGGTGAATATGGGTGCTTTGGAGAGCTTGGAGGCGTCTTTAGGGCGGAGGGGGGGGGGGGGGGGCTACGAAGGTTCCTTTTACGAGCTGGCCTTTGGCGTGGACTGATGTTCGTGAGAGACGTGCTAAGTTCTCAGGATCTGAGTGCATGTATATCTGGCCGATACTTTTGCGGAATGTCGAAAGTCGTACGCATCGTGTCTACCAGCTCGTCAGAGAGCTTCAAGAGCTTGCGGTTCTTTGGGAGAGGCATCGTGGAGTTTTGATTCTGGCTACAGCTTCAGTCCTGTGGGTTCTCTGTACAAGGTGTCTGAGGCTGCTTGAGTCCTCGCTGAACTTTACCTATCTTCTCACTGGTCTACTGTGGCCCACTGCATTTGCTATTATGGAGCTAGCAGACGTTCTGGTACTGCTGGCGTCAATCCTCCCCAGCTCTCGAAGATGTTCCGACGATATCTATAGCACGGTCAGCGGTATATAGCCGTCTACCATGTGCTAAATGTCATAGTCCTGCATCGAAATCAAGCACGATACTACATATGTTGTTGAGCTGACGATTCTGGACGCCGGTCGGTGGCTCGAGACCGAAGACTTGTGTAACCGAAGCGGCATTGTTGAGCTAGATCTGGAGTACCGCAGCTGTGGAGGTGCCCAAGGGGGGGCTCGCTTTGCTCTGTGCGGATTGGGTGCAACGTTGAGGTTGCATGCGATGCAGCCATATTATTTCGTGATCCATAACGTCATCGTAAGTTGATCGGGAAACGCGAAGCTATTGTTAATGACAAGGAATTGGGTATCATTGAACACAAACGAAACAGCTAGACTACGAGGATAGCAATGTTTATTCAGACATCTTGCTTCGCCTTCTCCTCTGCTGCAGCCGCCGCGGCCGCAGCTCGCCTTTCCATCTCTCTCAGGCACGGCGCCTCGACCAGCTTTCCAAAGCACAGATTCTTTACTGTCCCAGCAGCCACCACACCCCACAGTAGCATGACACTAATTGCAAACACTGTTCCAAGGATTCTGAAGAAGGCACACGGCAGCTCCTCTCCGATCGTGATCGTGGACATGGTGAACACCCCAACCGGGAAGGTAAAGCCCCACCATCCCATGTTGAAGGGGAATCTGCTTTGGCTGATCGAAGCAATGGCGAAGAACAGCCACACAAGCCCGAAACCCCATAGTATTATGGCAACCGCCCAGCCGAGTACGTACAAGATCTCACCAGACATGGAGTGCAGTGTACCAGTGTCAGGGAAGCGCTTTTCAGCCTGGATTCCGAGTTGCATAACGGCATATCCACCCTGACCCATCGGTCCTAGGGGGAGGAAGACGCTGACAATGACCTCCTGTGGTGGAAGCTTGTGGATCGCCAGACGGTGGAAGTACATCGTCAATACCACCATGGCCAGTGGGACACCAATACCCCAGAGCACATAGCTCGTAACGATGGTAATGACTGCGTGGTTTGGATCCGGAAGGATGGACGCAACAATGCCGCCGGAAGCAGCTGCAACGATCGGGGCAACGATAGGCAGAAGCCAAGCGGCTGTCATCGTCTCGTGGCGTGTTTGATGTGTGGTCATCATCTGGAAGGGCAGCCACAGACAACAAGCGATAGAGACGGCAACGTCAATCCACCACATCCCCCACGCTACGTAGGGTGTGCGGCCGCCCCAGGCAGGAACGCATAGTGCGACGAAAAGATTGATGAGCGTTGCGAAGCCCATGGGCAGGGTACCGAGGAAGAGAGACTGCACGGGATGTTGCAGCATGAGTGTCCATGTTGCTGGGTAGAGTGTGTAGCGCAGTATGCTGATTACGAAGATGACGGCGAAGAGGATGATGTTCAGGACGAAAAAGATGGTACTGAGAATGTTGAGGGGTGTTTGGACTGACGGGTAGAGCGTGGAGAGAGCGTGAAGGAGGATACCCACTATGCCGGTACCCATCGTTACAGCAAACTGATATTTTTAGCATTGGAACATTATGATGAAGGACATGGTTGTCCTACCCATGATGGTGTGAAGTTCTGCACTATGCGTCGCCAGCCTCGTCGGTCCGCCGGAATCAGCCACTTGGGTAGAGCTTCGGTGTTCGAACATGCCATTTGTTGTCGAAGCTGGCATGGTGTAAGCTGACGAGGCTGGTTTGGACATGTTGCTTTAACGGCTGTATCGTTTGAGCGTGAGTGAGCGGCAGCTTGTGACTGGCAGGGTGTCGCCATGGTCGCGGTACGACTGTTGAGACGCCCGGAAAGTTTGAGGTCTGGAGAATCCGAGTTGAAAGTATGAAGAGATGTGTGTAGTCGAGCTGGGTTTTTGGAGTTCAGTTGATGCTGCGAGTCTGGATCTGAACCAAAGTACACAATCCGTCGGCGAATGAGATGTGATTGATGTAGAAAAGGCAAAGTGGAAGTGGGAGCAGTCTATACTTATCTAAATTACACCAGTTACGAAACAGTCGTGAGGATTCTTTACTTGTCACTTTTCATCGCCCACCGGCCAGCTCGGCGTATGAATCAAGGCTTACACAACATTCTTGCCCGCACCGTCGGCGACAGTCCGAAATGCCTCACAAGACTCAGCCAGAGTTACGCTCATCCAATTTCTCTCACGTAAAACGTTGCTAGTTTTGACGATGCATTCCTTGCTAGAATGGAAGAGTTGTAGGAAAATCCGGGGCTGGTGAAGAAACGTGATTGCGTGATTGGGGTGCAGGCGCTAAGGTGCGTAGGAACGATCTAGAATGTTTTAGGAATGGGCGATTCTCGGAGCCGAGATCTTGGGGTCTCCTTTTCGATGGCGGACGCCACGATACGGGTCGACAATACCATTATTGCTTTCATCGAGATAGAGATCCTTTGTCCTGCCTTCACTGTCAGCTGCCCATCATGGCGTTGTTAATACTGTCCTCAAGTGTTTGATACGCAACGTGAAGCTGAAAACTACGAGATGCAGAAACACTTCGCATACGTATGCGATGTTGGTATCTCGTGGCCAAGCTGGGCTGCTCTGCTAACACACTGTCGCGAATGGGGATGCCGAACAGTCTGTAATGGCTGTGGAACTCATGGGGGATTGTGAGTACCTAATAGTACAGACTACCATGCGCACATCAAGAAGTACAATGTCTGCATCGACTGCGAAGAACATCTCGATTCTCACAATCAACGAGCTGAGGTGGGCTGCTTCAAATCAACCGTTTTGTATGTTTATCCTGACGACTGAATACGTAGCACCAAATGTTTAATCACGGTCACACACGCGACAGAGGCAATACCAGCACCTTACGGCCCTTAAGCCCCGTCACGAGTTCGCGGCATCAAACTGGTTCTTTCAGAGTTCTTCTGTAACTTCTGTTCTACCGGCATGCAGTTCTTCGGGATAGAAAAGCACTCAAGCTCCACTTCATCAATGTTCACAGCAGATGCTTCTGTGGCTTTCGTTTCTCCAATTGGGAAGACTTCAACCGGCACTGCCGCAAGACAGGATGCATGATTGTTTGTGACGGATGTCCAACTAGTCAAGCGTTCCTTCACGAAAGCTTTCGCGAGCACGCTGAGACGTACAATGTCTGCAAAGAATGTACACGGCACTTCGATACTCCTTCGAACTTAATCCACATAAGCGTTAACTGACTCCTTCAATCTAGCAACATCTGACTATATCCAGTTCAGCACGAATTGACCCACCGAGAGCCCATTTACGGGTGCTTAGGCTGCGTGCGCAAGTTCACTACCTACAGCGGTATGATCATTTACCTGGAAGCAGGCACCTGACTATCTGGAATCAACATTTACGACATCTGCTATTCTACCGCACTATGCTACTAATGGTCCAAACACACCATCACAGCTCTGGATAGGTTGATGTTTCTTGAGAATCAGCCTATCTGAATGATTCAGGAAGAGACTGGCGAGTCGAATGATTTCTTCAATTGTCCTACGTGCATCCAGCACTTTCTTAAGTTGTCTAGCTTCTTCATGCATGTAGAGTCACTAGCTTGCAGTCAGACTCTGACTGGTGATGCAATACAGAAATTACGCATGTGTTTGATCAATCGCCATGTGTGAGCATAACGACATAAAGCCTACTCTCAGGCTGAGAAAGCGAAGTGTTGGCTTTACCGATCCGATGGGAGCAAGGCATTGTCGGATGCCTGCATGTGCTGTCTGTAACTATGTTCTCCTCAACAAGGGAAGAGATATTGGCTTCCGCCCCGCCCTGTGATGGAAGGCGAGCTGCAGCAGATGTTTGTTTCACTGCGGCAACGCGGAAGAGGGTAGCTTTCAACATCTTACACTTTTTGAAAGCTTGTCTGCCCCACCGCACTTTCAACTACGAATGCCTGAAATGTGATCGCGGCTTCAAGACCCACGGTCGCATGGCACGAGTCACCCTTATTTCTTTATTCCTCCACTAAGCCCAGTAGATCATCCACCTCGAGTCAGGCTGCTGCAGCGATATCGACCGTGACCTGCTCAATATCCTGGCTGCTGAGTGCCATAGGTGGACTGAGTTTCTCTTCGACGACTACCAACAGTATCTGATCGACGGCGATCTTGCATACTATCACGACAAGATCATCCCGTACTTTTGCTCAACTTGTGGCGCAGAGATACCGAGGCTTTCGAGTCGGCTCCAGCATGTGGAGTCGCAGTCGTGTAGCCAGACCCTCCACGACGGTGTTGTTGGGACGCTTCGCTGATATTTGGCTAACTATGCCTGATCGTGGATTTCCATTCGCATAAGAGGAGGTCTAATTAAGGCACAATCCATGGTTGGTAGCAAGGGACGAGTACGGATCGCTAGAGAGTTCTCGCAGAGCAATGTACGAGGTGAAGTGAAGGTGAACCCAGCACGATCCGCGGATGACGTCCGTGGGTACCGTTTTTATTGTTTACTGTCAGCAATATGAGAGGAGATCAGGAAAGTAGTTGGTTGATTGATAGATGTATCAAGGTGAGTGAATATATACCCTCCTGTTACCTAAGCAGTCCTGAGACGTAGGGTACCTGAGCCTCCTAGATAGCTGATATTTACGATTCTCTCCCACTTCAATCTCAACACCACGCTTTAGCTGTCCGATTGCAGAACATGAGTGCATCATACAATTCAAATCTATACCAGTCTCCACATCAGCCTTATCAGCAATACCAGTATACAAACCAGTCTACATACCAGTCTGCACGCAGCGCGCGTACCGCATCGTGAGTGTTTTCTTGCACGTGCCCCAGTTTCAAGCTCACGACAGGCAGGTGTTGCGAACGCTGCAGGCGCAGGTTCAAATCTGAATACGCAGTCAACGAGCACCGCCGTGACTCTGGACGCCATTGGGAGCGCCCGACGTGCGGCTTCGACGCCCAGCGCATGACGCTGACATATCTCCTCATGCCTACCTGTACTTCAGCTGATCACGCTGCCACTTCTCTCTCTCCATGCAAGCACGCGTGTACTCGGCCGTCACGCTGTACCCCTGTTCTGTATTCCAGGTATCCAGTGGGCTCCCGCAGTCAGTCATCGCGCTTCTTCGACACAACTTCAACAAAGCTCGAGGCCACACAATGACAAGCACAAACAAGTAAGATTTACCGGGCTGTCATGTGATCCTGGCCTACAGTTTCGCCTGGCTGATCAAGTGAACACAGATACAATTATGTCAGATGACGCAGTGCAGCAAAACATCTTCTTCGGCCAGCAGTGACAATTGTCTCGAGTTTTCTGCGGTCGCATTTCTACTTCTTTAAGGAGCAGAAACGAACATAATCATCACTTCGCAACATCAAGATGCCTACACAATAGACGCATGAACAAGAGCCCTTGATACGCGTCGTGTGCCAACTTCCGTGATGCTGCATCTCATTCTCCCTGTCCCTCTCCATTACCTTTCCTACCTTCTCCCCTGCGGCAGCATCCCCAAAAGCCTCTCGATTTCCACCACCGCACTCCCACTCGCCTTATCCCTTAAACTCAGCAGCAGTTCCCTATCTTTTGCCTTATGCGCCTCCTCGCCCGCCTTAACCAACAGTCCACACTTAACCCACATATCCACTCTCTCGCTTACGGTAAGACTTGTACACTTGGGGATGAAAATCGACGCGACTCTTGCGTTGCCAGCAGCGAGAACTTCATTGAAGAAAGGCTCCCACCCGATAGGAGACTTTTTCTGTTTGCCCCATTCTTCAATCTCAACCCACAGCCGCGCCGCAACGAGCGCACGGAGTCGGATCCACGTATACGTTTTATCCGGGACCCTGAACTCGTTGACGACTTTTTGCGCGCGCTTCTGATGCCCCAGTTTGATCAGATTGAAGATTGTGTCGTTAGTGGAAAGGCCGATGAGACTTGTACCAGCAGTGGATTGGTTGGGGATGTCGCGCGCGTTAGCAAGGTCCTTGTCGAATTGCGTTTGCATCTGTAACAAGCGCTGGGCTTCGTCGACGGCGCTGCGTGTGAAGACTGCGGGGGGGTCGCGGGAGTCGCTCAAATACTTCGACGCGAGTTTCAGCTTATCGAGCGATTGGGATAGCGAGGGTTGTACGAGCGCAGAGGATATCAGGAGAGCAGAGCCGTCGAGGCGGCGGTCGTCTTGGTAGTACAGGTCCTTCAGGAGATCGGTATCTTGGTCGCGCGCAGAGGATTCCACAAGCGCGGTTGCGACCGGACGGGAGTTGATGACGCGGAAGAAGGATGCGAGGGGCAGTTTCTTGCGCAGGTGGAGTAGGACGTGGAAGATGAGGTCTGTGTCGCCGGATTCGATGGCTTTGTCGAGCGCGATGGTGTCTTCTTTCATGCTTAGGAGGAGAGGGACTTGTTTGCCTGCTCGGGGCTCGTGATCAAGGAGCGATGTGGCGAGGCGGATGCGGCCTTCGTCGTAGGCGGCGCGAGCGATTTCCTCAAAGGAGACGCCGGGTTTGCCGGCGAGCTTTTTGACGATCAGGTTGCATATTTCCTCCTCGGGGTCGGTTGAGACGCGCACTTTCTGCTGCGCCCAGTGGCCGTGGATCTGACTTGTTGGGAGGTGCAGGTAGTCGGCGACACGGAGCGCAAGGAGGTATTCATTGCGGTTTGTGAGGCGCTCTACGAGCTTCTCAGGCGTCATGCGCCGGTATTGATCGTAGCTCAGAGGCAGGCCAATCTCATAGAAGCGCACGGCGTTCAGGACGCGCAGGGTATCGCACGTGTCGACGAAGTCGTCTGACGAGTAGAGGTCGAGTACCGACTTGCCGTACGAGGCAGCTTTGAGAAGCGACTTCTGGCAGTGAATGTTGTACTCATGCGCCGCAGCTTTGATGCATGCGTCTACTGCCTCAGCCAGGTTTGGCCGGATCAGCTGGATGAGGTCGTCTGCTTTGGGACTCTTTTGCTCCAGCAACGACGACGCTTCGAGCAAATTCGCAGCGGGCGAGTCAGATCCTAGACGAAACACCTCGACCGTCTCGTCGGGCACTTTCTGGATGAACTCGCAGACATCGTTGGTCAGCAGCCGTATGCCATCGACATCGGGCAGCAGATGCACCCATGTATCGTAGTAGAACTTGGTCGCTGCGCTCTTCGGCCCAATGAGATGCACCTCGTCCTCCCAGGCCAGCGCCACAGCATTGGAGCCGCACCATTGCATGTCCTTGGGCACCGTCTTGACGCGGCTGTCGTACTCGCTGAGCTTCTCGCTCCAGTCGCCGCTCACCACCCAGACCTTTCCGTCCTCTGTGTAGAACGCGAGGAACTCGCCGCGGGGGCTGACGCTGACATGTCTGAATGGGCCGGCATCAAAGTTGCGATCCTCGGCTTCAGTCGCGTCTACGACGTACAGGGTGCTGCCCATGGCGAGGATGACTTCGACCGAGCGTGAGAGCGAGTACGCGGGCGGTATGATGTTCCAGGACACGACGTGCTCCGTGGGCGGTATAGCGAGCAGCTTGGGGCGCGGTTCGGCGTACGAGGCGACCGAGATTAGGTGGTTGTTGCCGAGCAGCGCAACGAAGCCGGTGTTGTAGAAGCGGCAGGAGACGACACCGTGCTGGTCCGAGTCCTATCGGTGGTCAGTATACGTGGGAGCATAGAAGCGGGCGGGCACATACATGGCCCAGTGTGAAGGGCGCGAAGTCGCCTTGTAGGTCGTAGTAGCAGCGCACCGTGCCGTCCTCGGTCACAACAAGCAGCTTCTCGTCCTCTGACCAGCCGAGGCCCTTGATCGTGCCCTTGTCCCACTGCAAGCGTCAGTCACTCTTGCATGTAGCGTCTTCGAACGCGCGCCATCGTACGTTGATGCTCCGAATCAGCTTGCCGGCGCAGCTGTATACATCGATGCTCGACTTGGCTACACCAGGCCCTCTGTATGTGTGCAGCTTCTCTTCATCGCGGTAAACCGCTGCCGGTTGTCAGTATGTACCCCTGTTCCATACCTGGGCGCAATGGTTGCATACCTACCTACTGCACCGCTGTACGGGGCCCCCACCACATTGTAGTTCTCGAGCTCGAGGTCCTGGTCGAACACGGCCGTGTACAGCTGGATTTTGCGGTAGAACTTGTCGCCGACCTTTTCCCAGTTTGCGGTTGGCTTCGACATGGTTACCGCGCTTTCATGGTGTAGTGAGGGTGCTGCTCGGCTCGGAGTGGACGCGCCTGGAGGCGTGAGGTCGCGGCTGCCGTCTGTGCTCAAGCTGCACCATCAGCCACGCCACTAGCCACGCCACTAGCCATGCCACCAGCCACACCACTAGCCACACCATCACTCTTGTACCTGCAAGCCATCTGGCACATGTGGGAAAACATTGTCATTGATTGAAGCTACGTAACCTACATACTGATAAAGAGTAACCAAAGCCCAACGCCGTCGCTGCATGCATTCGTAGCCGTTTTCTGAACCAGGCTCATTTCCCCAACGGTATCCAACTCGTGAACGCTTCCCGTGCTACTGTCCACCTTGATCAAAGCCTATGGCATGCGCAAGAGCATCTCGTACACCAAATCGGTCGACATCAGTTCCAACCTTCTTGCGGAACAGTCCAAGGTCGCTCAGGAAAGCTTGAGCCTCGTCGTGCAGCTCGTTTGCGAACTCGTCGTGCTGGTCGCCTTCGTCGAAGCCAGAGTCGGACCCATCATCACTGCCCTCTGCATCGGATGGTGGCTCCTCCGCATCGCCGTCCATCCAGTCTTCGCGTTCGAAGTCTGGCGTGCCCACAGATCGAGGCGGAGGCAGCACAATGGGGTTCTTGAGCTCTCCCACAGCAAGCGCCAGATGGCGGCGCAGGGAATCGATCTCAGCGCGCAGTTGCGTGTTGACCGGGCGCAGCTCCTCCACCTCGGATGTGAGCGCCTTGATTTTTGCGGCCGAGACCTGGCGGTTCTCTTCCATCAACCTGTGCATCATCGATACCTGCCGCTGGTACTCCTCCAACTCCGTCGCTTCTTCCCTCTTGCGTTGACTGGCTGCGTTCACGCTGACCTGCAGACTGCGGATCTGCTCCGACATCTCGGCGATCTGGGCGTCACGTTGGGCGGCAGACATGCAGTCCTGGTTGACCGAAGCACGAGTGCGGATGCGCTTGGCCTGGTCTGCGTAGCGGAGTGTCGACAGCGTCTCCTCGTAATCGGCTGGTGCGATGCATGCGACCATGGCCGTCTTGGAGTTACCACCAAGCGAGTCTCTGAGCAGCCACGTCAGGACCGAGTCGCGATACGGGATCACTTGTCGCGGCTTCCTGCCTTTCGTGTCCTGCCCACGAGCGGCGAGTGCATTGATTACACGACCGAGTGTGCTGAGCGACTTGTTGATCTGACCACCCTCTTTCAGCTGTTGTCCCGTGGCCTGCGTAGACTTGGCGCGTTCTGAACCAGCGAGATCCACAAGGCGCATGCGGGCCGTGCGTTCGATCGTCTCGTCCGACGTGATCGAGTGCGTGATCTGCTTCAGACGAATCGTGAACACGGCATGAGAGCGAGAGGACGTGTCGTTCATCTTGGTGGCTGCTACCGTTCGGCTCTGCGCATGATCATCAGTGTGCTGAAAGTAACGGGGGAGCGATGGCGTGTACCGAGTCGCCCTTTTTCAAGTGGTGAACAATCTCCGCATAGCTCTTCACTTCCTCCTCTCGCAGCCCCTGGACGTAGACGCCGTCCCTCGGGCTCTCGCGAATCTTGAGGTAGACGGGCGGGATCGTCGGGGGAACGAGCAGGTCGCGGACGTGCTCGTTGTATACTTCGAAGTAGGAGACCTGCACGTGGTAGGTTGTGTCTGGTTTCGGCTCGTGCTGGATGCGATCGAACAGCTCCTCACATGTGCGTGGGATGAGGCCTGGGTTCTCTTCTGTGCCCATCATGGTGTAGCTCTTGCCCGAGCCCGTCTGGCCGTATGCGAAGATGCATGTGTGGTAGCCGCCGAAGTTGTGGTCGAGGAACTCTTCGCCGAAAGACCTGTAGACGTCCTCTTGCTGAGCGTAGTGCGCGTCGCTCTCGTCGTGCGACCAGAAAGAGCGGTCGAATGTGAACTCCTTGTCTTCGACCAGTGACTTGCGCTGCTCGTCCGGGTCGACTTCGGGGGCGAGCAGCGTAGTCTTCTCGGTTGCTGGGTCCATGCGAATCAGGCATTTGGTGCCCTTCTCCCTCTCTGCTACGCATTAGTCTCGCAGTCGTGCCGAACGCGGCAGGGTAACATGCCTCGCCGCAAAAAGGTCCTGCATCGCACCACGACCTTGATGTTGCCCGGGTCATCTTGCGCTGGTGGTGCCATGGTCGCGTATGTTTCGGCGGCTGGTGCGCGCAGCGAGGGCGCCGAAGCGGTAGTGGCGTGGAAGCTGGAATACATTCGCCGGTCCACGATATCGTCCAGCAGCAGGTAGAGCTCTCCAAGTAACTGCTGCGACCGGGCGATATAAAGCAGGTGCATGGGCGCTGCTCCACTGGCGGTAGCGATGGGGCTCGCACGGCCCAGCCCCTTCCCGGAACCAGCAAAAGGTAAACACTGCGGGCGCGTCCCGTTGCTGTGGAGCGGATAAGCGACGTCACTGCTTGGCGCCCGCACCATCAATCAGAGGCCGACACGACTGCGGCAGAGAGAACTAGATGGCAGCCGAGCAAAGATGAGGCTCTCGGTGGGCGATGCTGGGAAGGGCGATGCCATCTTGACGCAGGGTCGTGAGTGCGCCTTTCCGGCCGTGCCCGCGCATTCCTGGAGGTGCTGGGTGACGGAAATTTCCCTCATGGCAGACGCGACGACATGTTCGCCGCAAAATTAGACTGGCTCCTCACACCGTGCCTCGAACATGACCGTGAAATGCATTCGCTTATCTGCTTAGCTAACCAGCACATCTTGCCGCGGCCTTGGATATGGACGACGCCATTCTTTACCTGAGCGACGAGCAAAGGCTCGAAGCGTTCGAGCGCAACTGGTCGAGACTGGAGGGCTCAACTCCACTACGCCTCGACCCTGATGCACTGAGGTCGTGTGTCCAACTTCTGCCTCGTGTCGAGCCTGGTGCAGCCAGCGAGCCCCATGCGAAGCTTACGGATCTTCTTCTATGTCGACTACGCGATGAACGACAAGAGTCGGAGTACCTCTACCGGCTCGCTGAAGCGTGCTCCAGCAACGAGTCGTTTGCCCTTCTCATCTTCAAGACAGTAATTTCCAGTTTGTCAGACGCTGCCGAGCGGTTGGCTGCACGAGAAGCACATGACAACCTCCAGGCTCCTGCATCGACCGCACTTGAGGAAGACCACAATCGTAACGGGCAAGCCAGGCCTGTGTGGATTACAGGCGGAGAGTCTGGTCGAGACGGGCGGACGGTGTCTCCTGAACAGCAGATACTTCGAATAGCAGCATTTCTGACGTTTCTCAAGTGCTCTTACTGGCTACCCCCTGACAGCCATCATGTGCTCGAGCCTGGTCTCGTCGAGCTACTCTCCACTTTCGTTGGCATCGAGGGTCTCCATGAACCTGCATTGGATGCACTGTCTGCACTGCTGTCACTGCTCAGCCGCCGACCACACGAACCACTCTACGTCGCCAACCCCGGATCGGGAAAGTCATGGCTGAAGGTGGATCCAGCAACGGGCAGATGTGTTCTTCGCCAGTCAATTGTCGACCAGTCTCTTTGGACTTCCTTCAAGGCCCTCGGTACTGCACGTTTTGGTACCAAATCAAGCAAACTGTTCAAGGTCTGGTTTCAATGGATCTCCCAAGCAGCCACGGATGGCCTCGATCCAGAAGGTGTTTACGAGGAACTATACTGGGACAGGGTGCGAACCGGATTGCTTACTGGATTTGCTGATCAGCGCAAATACTGCCTGGGTATTGTCCGGGCTTCTCTACTTGCTGCACAGAGCGACATCAATACACCCACTATGCGCATGCAAGTCGACAGGCGAGATGTCTACGTCAAGGCCTACGATCGTTACTTCGTTCTCTACGAGACCATAGTCCTCGACCGCTATGCGAATCAAATCGAAGCTTGCCTCGCTGAGCTGTCGGCCCTGTTCGGCTCTCAATCGGTCGTCACTGCGTCGATGGCGACAACATTGCTCTCCTCTGGACTGGATCCTCAAGTGCAAGAAGGCATCCGCAAGGTCATCGGCAATTGGTACTTTGGCTTCATGAGCGGCAGTCAGAGCCCCCTCTCGAAGGACTCAGAGTCCCTGACTGAACACACGGACTTCCTTATTAGGGGTTTCCTGCCATGGGCGACTCAGGGCAGCTTATTCACTTCTACATTGAAGGCGAGTCGCACGGATACCAAATGCGGCCATGGCGCAGCGCTCGTTCAACTCATCGCCCGCTTCATTGTATCAAAGTATTCAGATGAGGCGTATCGCGGAGAATTGCTTGCCTTGGTGTTGCATTTCGTTCTTGATGCAGGAGGGAAGATGTTCCAGATGTCAACTCTGTATTTGTTGGAGGGACTGATCAAAGGCTACGATGTAGCCAACCAAAATGGCGGTGAGTTGTTCATGACTTTCTTTGGTTCGTTTCTGGGGCGTCGGCGAAGCATACTGCTCATCTGCCCTGTGACGAACGGATTGAGTCCTTTTGGCTGAAGCAATGCTGACCTGTGTCTGCCAGGACCGACCCGGCTTACGCAGCGAGCCATAGAGGTTATCCTTGGGGTCTCGAGGACTCCAGGGCTTCCGGAGATCGCTAGCGACTTGTACAAGATCTATTGCAAGCGACTTTGTGACTTTGCAGATCTCGATCTGGGTTTGAGCTCGATTCCCGGTTACATTGCACTGAACAACAAGGTCGAGGAGCTCAGCAGGATTGACGAAATATCCAAGTCGCAAGCCACAGCAGTCTCGACAGACAGCGACTTGGCCTCTCTATCAACATTCTTACAAACATTGCAAGACACGAAACACACATCCATACAAGGTTCCGCCTATGCGACGGCATGCGACCAGCTCGTAGCTTACCTCGACAAGGCTGATCTGGCGTCGATAACCAGTGATGAGCTCCACACTACGCTGGACGCTATGTGGGAAGAAGCGGACCGCCGAGAGTTCAACCGATCGGTTGCCGTGCATCTGCCTACTTTGCTATTCCATCCAACCTGCATCCAGATTTGCTTGCGGGAACATGTGGACAACTCGGAAGATGGTTCTGGCAACGGTCTCGAAGCTCTTCTGACAAAGGCGGTAGAAACTTTGCAACAACTCTCAGAAGGAAGGTCGTATATCCTCACGAGTTTCGCGACCTCTTTGTGCAGGGCTGCTTTTTCACATCCAGCCGTCATTGAGGTACTCCCTTACGAAGACGTCATACTTCGGTTCCTGAATCACCCACCAGCCGCAAAGGCAGAGTTCCTGTTCGAGGTAGCTGCTGCAGACAAGCTTCAACATTACATAACCCATCGCAGCTATGCCTCGTACTACGGCCAACGCGAGTGGCACGCATATGCCGCATGGATTGACCTTTTGAACCGCTTCCCAGAAGAGCAGAAGCACCTTGCGAAACGCATTTTCGATCGCTTGCTCGAACCCTGGGCTGGTCAAAAGGGATCAATACCCGTCATCAGCAAGTGGAAGGATGTCTTCCAGCTGCAAGCCATGCTTATACTCACTGAATATTGCGTCTCAGAGGCCGATGCAGATGCGTATCTTGACAAGTTCATGCACGCTCTGACTGTAGAGCAATGGCCACGTTACCGCTTCGTCCTCGAATGGGCTATCACCCGTATCTATTTCCATTATCCCAGCAAAGCCGACCGCATACTGAAGGACCTCGCCCACCTTGATGAGAACAGTCCGATCCACATAGCTTCTCTGATGAAGCTTGCAGTCCTCACTGCACCTTTCTTGGACTCAGAAGATTTTGCACTTACCCTCATCACTCAACTCATCCCCTTCTCGGCGAGCCAAAAAGTACACATCAGACACGAAGCCCACCTCTCCTTCCCGATGATCTTCGAGCTGGCCGAAAAGAAGGGCTGGACTAACATCACCTCCAACCCCGGCTTCTCGGTCCTGAACACACATATTCGTCAGACCGAGAAGTTCAAGACCCCAGCCTGGTCCATCAGGACGCTCAGGATTGACGCTGTTGCTGACCTCACGCTCACTGAGATCTTTCAAGGCCAGTATCTGTACATTGAGAGTCCAGAACCGGAGCGTGTCGCACATGACGACTTCGTTGCCCTCGCCCACGGCAGCAAGAGCACCACCCTGCCACCAGCGCGTATCAGCTTGGGCAACCCTAGAACTCAGACCAAGGTCCCGGTGAACCCCAAACCAGCAGAGTTCACCCTAGACGAGGACGGCGTGAAGTCAAACTTCTACCAAACGAAGTCTGGGTTTGACTTCAACTCGCTTCTTCCAGCTGCTGGTGCGCCGCACCTCCAAGACAAGCAGCCAGCTTCCGTCATCCTGGTAGCCTCGCTCATCGACAATCCTACCAACCTTGGCGGCCTGTCACGTATCTCAGAGTCCTTCGGCTTGGAGACGTTGTACATCAACGACATCAAGAAGACCGCACACAAGGACTTCAAGGCTACTAGTGTGACCTCCGAGAAGCACTTACCGATCAAAGAGCTCAAGGAGGCGAACGTTCCGGTCTTCCTCATCGGTATGAAGAGGAAGGGTTACAAGGTCGTTGGCATCGAACAGACAGACCGCAGCGGTATACTTGGCGACGACGCTGCCGGAGGATCGAAAGACGTTGGCACTCTACCCAAACGATGTGTGTTGGTGCTCGGAGCAGAGAAGAGCGGCATCACGCCCGAGGTTCTCAGTGTCATTGACCGCTGCGTGGAAATCAGAACGGTTGGCATGACAAGGAGCTTGAATGTGCAAACTGCCGGCGGCATTGCTGTGTACGAGTGGTGGAGGGAATGGGCTGGGAAGGCTTGATAGTTCTTCCAGAGTGGAACGGCGGCCATGCCCTGAACGACCATGGACATCTTTTGTAGATCCGCGGACTGCATGAAGGATCCAAAAGGCGTCAGCGCATTTTGTGTGTATGATATCATACTTAGGGTCTTGCACCTGGTGACGCAATCCAAAGCTATCGTACCACCTTCAGAGTACCGTTCATCGATATCAGGTTGTGAGCCTGCTACTGAACTTGCCGTGTCGCTGTCACCCGCTGGGCTTCGCAGCATCGCCAACCACCGAAGATCCACCCACTTACCCACTCGCCCACTCACCAGGACAGCTTCAGACACCACGAACTCACCTTCGACACAAAACACAATGCCCGACAACACCTCCCCTCCATGCACAGAGGCTGTGAGATGAGGGACAGCTAAAGAAGCGGTACTGTCAGGAGCAGGAGGATCTGTTCAGCAAAGTTCAGGAACTCGAGGAGCAGAACGCTGATCTCTTGAAGGAGGCTAATGACATGCAGAAAGCTGCAGATAGCGTCGCAAAGAAGAGCGGCAGGACAGCCGAGCAGATGACGAAGCGCGACAGTCATTACAAACCTCGCTGGGAGGATGAGAAAAACGTGTCTGCAGCGCTCCGCACGAAGCTATAATGCAAGATCTCCGGAGATACGCATCTACGCGACATGGTGGGAGGGACTCATGGCAGCCTCGTCGTTCCAGTTGCTCTATTGATACAGAAGGACGGCTTCGACATGGTGTACAATAGCGGCTTCTGGAGGAATACTCGTGGCGACGCGCAGAAGGTGCTGGACGACTGGTACCAACCCAAGCGCGGAGGAGCTAGCAGGCAGCTGATATCTCATACTGCCGTCAACAAGAAGGGAAGCGTCTATGATCGATACGAGCTGGAAAATGAGGAGGAGTCTCCAAGCGATGAGGACATCCGGCTGTGAAGCCAGGACCCGGAGGAAGTCACACCTACAAGGCGAAAGGCACGTGGAGGCAGACACTGAATTTGGCGACCGGCAAGATATATCTAATCGGTCAGCTATCTGAACGTAGCGGTTGTCTACGGAGACAAATGGCTGCGTAGGAGCAAGAGCAAGATTCGACACGATGATCAGATGGGAATTCGCAGATTGCTCGTTGGAGACGTAGAGAATGATATGTACGTAGTAGCTATTCACAGCATAATCGATATGACAAGGAGATGAGAGTGAGCGGTACATGGAGTTATTCGATTTGGTACGAGCATTCGTGATATCGATGCAGCATGAGATGTCGTTCCTGACTTAGCGGTTTACGGCTCACCGCACGCGCGCTTGGACCCACATCGTGCTCCACCGAACGGCGACCGCAGTGGACGAGCTCCAACATGGCCGGCATCATACCCATACGTTCCCACTACTACTCCCGCGAAACGCCTCGATCAACGCCAGCACGTGCAGTACAAGACGCACCGGTAATCACACTCGAACAAAAGCCCCACATCCAGCAGCAATCGCACTACGACCGGCCAGTGACACAGGCACGAAGCGCAACGATGAGCGGGACACCAAACCAGGGCCCTGGCCTGCGGTACCCTTCGAACAAGAAGAGCATATACGACCGGAACCTGAACAGGACCAAGAATGCGGAGCTTAGCAGGGCGGCGTTTGCATACCTCTTCATTGAGATGATTGCATATGCGCAAAGAGGGGTCTCAAACGTTGGAGACCTTGAGCAAAAGTACGTGCTTCCCCCGTGGCGCAGAGTTGCAATCATGCAAAGGCCTATGCTAATGGCCTGAACAGACTCAACACACAAGGTTACCCGATCGGCCTACGACTCCTCGACCTCCTCCTCTCTCGCTCTTCCAATCCTCTCGCCAGCATACGCCCAACTCGAATCCTTCCACTGCTCCAATTCATCGCGCAAACGCTATATAGACACCTCTTCGGGCGGCCCGCCGACGCACTAGAAAAGTCGAGTACAGAACCAGGGCAATACATGCTGTTCGACAACGAACCCATGGTCAGCCAGTACGTATCGTTACCAAGGGAGCTCAGCAGTCTAAACTGTGCAGCATTTGTCGCTGGCGTGATAGAGGGAGTTTGCGACGGTGCGGGGTTTCCAACAGAGGGCGTTACAGCGCATAGTGTAGGCGAGCAGGAGCAGGGCAAAGATGCGAAGGCTATGTGGCCAGACAAGACGGTGTTCTTGATTAAGTTCAAGCCCGAGGTGCTGGAGAGGGAGGAGATACTGGGAAGAGGAGGTGGCTAGATGGACGGTCGACTTGGGCTGGGCTGATGGGGAGACACTACGACTGCATACACGTTCATGAGCATAGCGAGGCGTTCACGGGCGAGGCATTTCTGCTGGCGTCTACAATGCAACAATGCACGCTTCATGCGTACACTTTCTTAAGACTTCGCTGAAATTTCCGTCGTCGTAACCTCCCTATTCCTGGCCTGGTCCATTTCAAGCTCTGGGGGCATCCACGACCCCGCAAACGCTTATCGCAAGTCTGGGCTTCATGAACTCGAAGGAGCTCGTGTGAAGCACGATGCTCTGTTCACGGCAAATCGAGCAGATCGAAGCTAAGGCAGCTGTAGGTACCCAATAGCCTGCCTCCGTGTGATTGGACAAGAGCCAGTATTGACTTCAGCCACACGTTCTGCTTCTCCAGATTGCCATGCAACCTGTCATGAGACTCTGCAACGTCTCTACGCTATCTTGTCTTTCCCCTCAGCCGATGGGGGCACCACATTGCGGGCGTCGCTCCGATGCAGCCACGCCGTTTAGCCTCACGTGTACTTGCTCTATCGACCATAACGGCACCTCCAAGTGCCATCACAACCGCAATAATCGCGTATGTATGCCCCGAAGATCACTAAGTGCATACTGATAGAAGTTCACAGAACGGTACCTGGCACAACTTCGTACGTGTTCCGACGTGGCAATCCACCGGCTCCTGCCTCGCACAAGCGAGGCGAGGCAACCGATGAACGCAACGACAAGCCCCAAAGGCCTGGCTACCTCAACGCGTTTGGTGACGAAGTCACTTCGAGCGGCTGCAAGTGCTTGGACATTCCAGTGAAGACCGTTGTGGTTAGTAAAACTTCAACGGCAACGTCTGCAGCTACTGTGAGTGAAGCTATCGCTGGCCCTGTATTCACCCTGGACGCTCCAACAGAGCACGACAATGACTACAACGACACCCCTGTCAAAAGTCAGAACTACAAGCACAAGGGCGATCTCTGGTCCCACCACAACACTATACCGTAAGTTGTTTTGCTCTCCCATAGGTCTTTATATGACTGACCTGCTCTAGCATGCGCAACACCACTCCTAACACTCGTCCCTATACTACCTTACGGCAATGCCGTCTCTTCTACAGACCTTGATATTCAAAACACAATCTTTGGACTGACCGACGCCAAGGGTGCAAGTGCAGAAGCTTGCTGCAACATCTGCTACTTCGACATCCCTCACTGCATCCAAGAATTCTTCTACTCACATCATGGCTCTGTGGTGCAGCGGGCTTACCGTTCGGGAGGTGGTGTAGGTGTGTCGAGCTCGTGCCCAGTTGGTGTGTTCTCTGGTTTGACCTACGTGAGGGATACTAGTCCTGCGTTTAGAAGCACAGGGGATTTCGCGGGCCCTTGTGGAGTGCAGTAAACAATCTTTAGGTCTGCACATTCAGAGTACGTAGGTGTTTCATGACGGAGAAGTCTTCGACGAGATAGGCCTTCACGTATGTCGAGCTTTAAGTGGGACAACTCTGGATGACAAATGCTGATTGGCCAAGATCAATCCACAACTTTCTTTGCGAACATCTTCTCAGCACGTGGAATCTTCCACAACATCACGCAGTTCCCACTCATACTATAAGTCAATCGAAGAGCCAGCTCCGCGGCATCAGACATCACAAACTCAAAACATCACACGCTGCAAACTACCCCACCACTTTCGTACCGATATACCCATATCGATAACCACCTCGTTTTACAAGAGCACAATAAAGTCTTCCGTGACCACAAACCGCCCATTATGCCAACAGAAGTCACCCAACCCCTACACTTCCGCACCCTCCTCACAGGCCACACCTACCTAATCGCCGACTTCTACGCAACATGGTGCCCACCGTGCAAGCAAATCGCGCCCATCTACAACCAACTCAGCACCGCCCACTCTGCAGCAGGCAAATTCGCATTCGTCAAAGTCAATGTCGACGAAGCGCGAGAAATTGCGGCGCAGTATGGCATCCAGGCTATGCCGACTTTTTTGCTGTTCAAGGATGGGAAGCAGGTTGAGGAGGTCAAGGGGGCGGATCCGAGGAAGTTGAAGGCGGTGGTTGAAGGTGCGAGTGCGGGTTTGAAGAGCAGTGGTAGTGCTACGCCTTCAGCTGCACCGAAGACGCAGGAGAAGGAGAAGACGGATGATCAGGCAGCGCAAGAGAAGAAGACTGCGCCTAGTAGGAACGATGATGGTCTGAGTATGCTTGAGAGGCTTATGCAGAAGAAGAAGTAAAGTGGCATTGTTCGAGTCGGAATCAGAGGATGATATTTGATACCCAATATGGAGAGGTCCATTAATGCATTGGACTATAAACACTACAAGTTATGCTTTTCTCAGAAGTCTGACGAGGCTCCGCTGCGATGCAGTTGATACGGTGTTACCCCACGCATGTGCCAGGCCGAACCCTTAAACCCTGGACCACGTGTCGATGTTTAAACCGCAGACAGCAACATCTGTGTTCGCAGTCTGTACGAGTCCAGTGATCAGGACAGGTCTTGCTGCGTCAGTTGCGTGACTTCTTCCGCGTTGGATTTGTAAGTGAAACAGCTTACTCAAGTGAAAGAGGCCACGTCTGCCAAGCATCCCGCCACCTGCAGCTATCTAGAAATAGTTTCCCTCCACAACTTCATACATTCAATTTACCTGAGGCCTCACTCTTGTTTGAGGACTACAGTAAACCGTCATTATGTTTTTCAATCGCATCCTCCCCGCGATCGTCGCGCTGCTCCCCGCCCTCACTTCCGCTTCAGCACCCGCGTCCTCCGTTATCGACCTCACACCCAAGAACTTCGATGAAGTTGTCCTGAAGTCGGGCAAGCCTGCCCTCGTCGAATTCTTTGCACCATGGTGTGGACACTGCAAGAACCTCGCCCCTGTCTACGAGGAGCTCGCCACCGGTTTCCAGCACGCCGCTGGCAAGGTCTCGGTCGCCAAGGTCGACGCAGATGAGCACAAGTCGTTGGGCAAGCGCTTCGGCGTCACTGGGTTCCCTACATTGAAGTGGTTTGATGGAAAGAGCGACAAGCCCGAGGACTACAAGGGTGGCCGCGATCTCGAGAGCTTGACCAAGTTCATCACGGAGAAGACATCTGTTAAGCCTAAGACAAAGGGCAAGCTGCCCAGCGCTGTCACCTTCCTGGATGACCAGAGCTTCAAGCAGAAGGTCGGAAAAGACCAGGATGTCCTTGTTGCCTTTACTGCGCCCTGGTGCGGACGTACGTCGCCCTTCTTGCTGCCTTGATAGCCCAATCATTAACATTCTCCAGACTGCAAGACCCTTGCTCCCATCTGGGAGGCCCTCGCCAACACCTTTGCCAACGAGCCTAATGTCCTGGTCGCCAAGGTCGACGCCGAAGCCGAGAACGCAAAGGCCCTTGCTAAAGAGCAGGGCGTTTCCTCGTACCCCACCATCAAGTTCTTCAAGAAGGGTTCCCTCGAGCCCACCCCGTACGAGGGCGCCCGTTCCGAGGATGCTTTCATCCAGTACCTGAACAAGAACTCTGGCACCCACCGCGCAGTTGGCGGCGGTCTCGATGCCACCGGTGGCACCATCGAGGCTTTCGACGCTGTCATTGAAAAGTTCAAGTCTGCCTACGGCGATGGTGTTGAGGAGGCCACAACTCTCGCTTCAACCCTGAAGGACGAGTATGCCCAGTACTACGTCAAGGTCTTCCAGAAGATTGGCGCTAACAAGGAGTACGCTGAGAAGGAGTCCAAGCGTCTGCAGGGCCTGATCAGTAAGGGCAACCTTGCCTCGGAGAAGCTTGACGACTTGATCAGCAGGAGCAACATCCTCAGGAAGTTCTTGGGCACCGATGACAAGAGCGAGTTGTAGAAAAACAGCTGTACCTTTATAGGCAAATGTCGCAGCGGTGCCAAAGTGCATTGGTGCTATGACAACAACAGCGAGATGTAACGATGCCCATTGCTCGAGACTGTGGATGAGCAACCATCGCAAAAGCAGAGCTTTGGCTCACATATGACATGATAACGAATCAGCGTGTATAGATAGAATCATGATATCAATTCGAAAAGCATTCTGCACCACTCTATACGCCTATCCATGCTGTGTCGTAAACCGTGATACTCGTCCCATTGACCCTCAACGTCTACCACCTATCGTCAGGCAACACGATACTCAGCGCCAACCCGATTACTCACGGTCAAATCAGCCGCCACAGTACAACACTCCCCATCAGAATCTTCGTTGAAAAGGCGAGAGAGGCCTTGAAGCGGATTTTGGCGGTATCGCAGGAGCCGGAGGTTCTTGTGCCGACAATGCCTACTTGCCAGCTCCCGCTCCCTTCCCATCTCCTGCCTGAATCTGCGCCTCCAAGTTGTCCAGCCGGCGGGACATGTCGTCCACTATTGTCACAATGTCAGCACTTGCACAACCAACATCTCGGGTTGCTGATTCACTCTTGGACAGCAGCTCACTGCTGATAGTAGTGAACTTGGTGTTTAACTGGTTCAACAGATCATCCACGACGGCTGCGAGTTCAGCGGAGCTGTCTGTGCTGGTGTTGAAGCCGGGAGACTGCTACTCATCAGTCAAGCTCACGAGATGCATTTCGATGCATGTACCGTTACGTCGCTGGGCGTTGGAGGTTGTTTCTGAGGAGTAGCCATTGTGTGAATGTTGTTCAATCGATGCGAGTGGAGAAACGCGAGTTTGGAGAAGTGTTGGAATTGATGTCTACTCCAGAAGTTTGGAACAATAACGTATACACTCGAGTGAGACGAGGCAGGTGTAAGCGGGCGTGAAGGTGGTTCCACACGTGTGCGGGCCGCGGCTTCTTTCCTTATCGATAGGCGGTGAGCTACTAGGTAGGCGCTAGTGCGTTTTCTGCGCCAAGAGTTCGATAATTTTTGGGAGATGGTGGTTGGAGCTTTGACAGCTGGACTTGAATTACAACAAACTCGCATTTCGGAGTTACGAGAAGAAATTTGGACGAAATGGCGAAGGCACAGCTCAAGAAGATTCTGGATGCGAGACAGGGGCGTAATATTGCGCTTGAGAAGCAGCGTAAGAAGGAGAAGGCCGCGGAGAAGCGCAAGGTGAAGAATGCGCCGGCTGTTGAGGATGAGGAGGCTGGTGGTGTGCCGCTAGATGAGGTCGAGGTTAAGGTCAATGGCAAGTCGAAGGAATCTAAGAGTGGAAAGAAGGCGGCGAAGGCGACTGAGAAGGAGGCTGAGTGGGAGACCGATGGCAGTGAAGATGAAGAGGAGGATAGCGAGGATGAGGATGACATGGAGGAGCGACCTGCGTTCGACCTTTCGCGCCTTGAGGACAGCGAGAGCGACGTCAGTGGCGACGATGACGAGGAAGACGAGGATGAAGACGCCGAGGATGATGAGGAGGCGGAGGACATCCCGCTGTCTGACATTGAATCGCTGGCTTCAGAAGACAAGGGCGACATCATCCCCCACCAGCGCCTGACGATCAATAACACTGCCGCCCTTACCGCAGCCCTCAACCGCATACAACTCCCATACTCGAAGCTCGCCTTCTCAGAGCACCAGTCCGTAACCACAACCGAGCCCGTCGAAATTGCCGACGTCGAAGACGACCTAAACCGCGAGCTCGCATTCTACAAACAGTGCTTGTCCGCAGTCAAGGACGCACGAGGCAGACTAAAGAAGGAGGGCGCTTCGTTCTCGCGACCAGCAGACTACTTCGCCGAGATGGTCAAGAGCGACGAGCACATGGGCAAGATCAAGCAGAAGCTGATCGACGAGGCTGCGGGCAAGAAGGCGTCTGCTGAGGCGCGCAAGCAGAGAGATCTCAAGAAGTTCGGAAAGCAGGTCCAGGTTGCGAAGATGCAGGAGCGCGCGAAGGAGAAGAGGGACACAATGGAGCAGATTAACTTGCTGAAGAGGAGTACGTCCAGTTTTCACCACATTGATCGCCTTGAGCTTGTGCTAACGGATTACCAGAGCGCCAAGGCGCAGACATCACCAAGACCAACGAGGAAGACCTCTTCGACATTGGCCTCGAGGCCGACGACTCCAAGCCCGACCGTCGCGAAGGACGAGCCGGCGGAAACAAGCGCCAGAAGAAGAACGAGAAGTTTGGTTTCGGCGGCAAGAAGCGACACGCAAAGAGCAACACTGCTGAGTCCAGCAGCGATGGCCGCGGCTTCTCGTCGAGAAAGATGAAGGGCAAGACTGGGGGCGCTGCGAAGGCAAGACCTGGCAAGGCGAGGAGAGCAAACAAGCATTAGACGGACGATGTTGTAGGATGAGGTCTTGAAAGCATGCATACGGCGCTATGGCGTTCTTTAAGGAGACAAAAGCACAGGCTCATCTAACTGTTCGATGGGAGGCCGTTCTGGATGAATCGAGATACCAATACACACGGTCTTGTATTGTTTCCACGCTCCCCCACATCCACGTACCTAACCTCTGCTGACTTTAAATTCACTCTTGGAGTACACCGTACCCTGGTTCATTGTGGAACGCCGTTTCCGTCTACCCATCTATCCATGATCCATCTTGCCCAAACGATACGACTCTCACACCACCCTCCATGCCCTCTCAAAACCGCCATCCCACCCCCGCACCCTCAGTATCCGCGCCCTCCCTCGCCCTCCTCAGCGCCTCATCCTCATACTGCACTCGAACCTCCCACCTCTTCCCCCTCCCCATCGCAAGCAACACCCCGCCGCCCTCGCCCTTACCCCAGTCCTCGGTCCTACTAACCATGCCTTCGCCACCGACCAACATATCCATAGTAACCTTCGCCGCAGTCTTCGCATCCTTGCGCTCGACGAAACTGCCCACCAAGGTGGATGTAGCAGCAACGCCCTTGGCAACATCGACTTTCGTCTTCACCCCGACGCCAGAGAAAGTGTGGATGAGTGGGCCGTGGCGCGTGACGGTGTAGACGGGCGCTGGGAGGGTCTCACGAACTTTGGGGTTCTGCTCGCGCAGGATCTCGAGGACCGTGTATGTGCCGCGTTGGCCGTCGACGACGAAAGTAGTGAAGCCTTCTTTCTCGAAGTCCGTGTTCTTTTCTTGCTCGCCCCACACGTCTGGTGCGGAGTACTGCAATGCCTCTAACTTGTCGAGAGCGGATGGGCTGTCCGATGCGATCTCTTCGATCTTCGGGAGCATTTGGTCGAACGAGGATACGGGGCCGTGGATCTCGTACTTGTCTTTGTGCGGGGTGATGACAGCGAGGTAGAGGACTGATGATGGGGAGAGGGAGAGGAGGCGGAAGTCATCGGCCGGCTTTGTATACTTGAAGGGTTGTGCATCGCTGGAGTTGGGCGATGGGTCGTGGAAGAAGATGTCGTTGTTGTCCATAGTGAAAGCGTGGCCTATCGAATTGGGAGTGTTGTGGTTGAGGCGGATGAAGGACGAAGCAGGATAGCAGTGGAGTAGATATAGTAGGCTGGCTGCTGCCTTGCTTCCCAGTCCTGAGCAAACGGACTCACCTTTACTTCGAGTCGTGGTGAGAGAGCGGCATTCGCCATGGTAGGCAACCCCTGACTATGCTGGATTCCATAGCATTGAAACGATTGGTACAAGGAGTTTGACATTCATAGACTTTGTCTGTAAGACACTTAATCTGACAACATCAGACAGTCACGTATGGAAACTTCGCTTGTCATGTAGTATCAAATCGTTTTCATTCATTCGCATTCCATGCACTGCCTGAATCTAATCGGTGTAGTTCTCGTTCTTGAGAACAAACCTGAACCTGGGCTTACCAGCCTCAAAGTCAACAAGCGCCTGATTGGCCTCCTTTAGAGGAACAAGCTGTGTCCAGGGCTTGATGCCCTTCTCCGCAACAAGGTTCAGCATCTCCACAATCTCGTGAGGTGCACCGATAGCTGAACCAGTGATGTGAATAGCCTTCTGAATGAGAGCAAAAGCCTGGAAAGAAGGCAGCGGGTCCTCAGGCGCACCGACCTGGACGAAGGTACCACGGAACTTGAGCAGGTTGAGGTAGCCAGGCAGAGGCATATTGTCGGACGAGACGGTCGAGACAATCAGGTCGAGAGAGGAAGCGTTCTTGCCCTGGTCCCAGTCCTCATCGCCGGTAGCGATGAAGTTGTCGGCGCCGAGCTTCCTCGCATCGTCCTCCTTTGCGTGCGAGCGCGAGATGACGGTTACACTCTTTGCGCCCAGAGCTTTTGCGAAGAGAACACCGAAGTGACCCAGTCCTCCAAGACCGATGATACCAACGTTCTTGCCCGTTGCGTTGTATGTCTTAAGCGGGCTGTAGAGGGTGATACCACCGCACATAATGGGTGCGGCATGTTCGCTGGAGATCTGCTCGGGGATCTTGAAGACGAAGTGTCCCGGTGTGCGGTTGTAGTTTGCGTAACCACCGTATGTCTTCTCTTTGCCGCCAGGGAAAAAGCCGCCGTATGTAGCAGCCATGTTGCCGCAGTGATTCTCGAAGCCATCAGAGCACTGAGGGCAGTCAGGCTTCAAGCAAGAAGCTGCTTGCGCACCAACGCCGACACGGTCGCCCTCCTTCACGTGCTTGACGTTCTTTCCAACCTTGACGGCCTTACCGATGATTTCATGGCCGACAACGCAGGGGTACGGTGTGGGGTACCAGCCAGAGCGGAGAGTGTGGATGTCAGAACCGCAGATACCGCAGTGGGAGATCTTGATGTCGACGTCATCATCGGTGAAGGTCTTAGGTGTGTACTCCTCCCACTTCATCTTGCCCTTAGCGGACTCAGGGCCGTGGCCGCACCATCCTTCGAATTTGTAGTCGGTCATTGTGCAGGTGTAGGGTGTTGGATATGATTTAGTGTGGGATCTAGTGGTAATCTCGAGGTGAAGCTTTATGAATTAGAGTAGCACCGGAGCCAGGCGCACCTACCTATCTTATACATTTCCACAGCTCTTTTTCTGACCGCATGGTTCCGTCCGACCCCACACCGAATTGTATCGGAGCCTCAGCGCTGTGTGGTAGAAGCCAGCACGCGCCAGGGTGGGCGCATTGACGTCAAGCATTCCCACTGTTGAACGTTTACGACTGATGGTGGTCTGAAACTACAGCTAGTCGATAGAGGCTAGCAGGGCTGCATCAATCGCGGCGAAAAGGTGTAGTCGGCGGAGACCCTACGGCGGACGTAGCGCAGCTCCAGATCAACAGCGTACAGGTAGAGAGTAGGAGGTTATCAGTAGATGGGCCGCAGGATCTTACGCTGACTTTATGTTCTCTGCATCACCATCTAGGTACCTTTCGTCTTACTCTATGGACCTTGAGGTACTCGTGTTACTTTCAGAATCGATCATGTCGTCATTGCTAGATCTACACACTGACATATGAGAGCAATTGGACACCACGACCGAAGGGAAGCGGCTATGCTTCGATAGGCGATCTACCTCCGTATGGCGATAAGAGGATGTTTGCAGCCGCAGCTGGTGATGAGGCTCAGACGCGGCGACCCGTTATAAACTCGCCGCCATCGATAGGGACGAAATTTCTGTAGACATGCGGAGCTATCGGAGTTAGCAAGACCTCTCTGCAACTGTGGAAGCACCACCAAAACATTTGACCGGACTCGTACTCGTACTCTCGAACTCTGATTGTGTAGAAGGGCCTTTTTCGTTGGTTCAATGGCAGCTTGTGCCTGTCAGAGGGTACTTACTGGAATGTGGAGGTTGTGATACGGACTTAAGGACTTAACGACGAAGACCACGCTTCACGCTAATGCCGGGTCATCGAGGTGCATGAACTGCCGAATAACAGCCGGCGCATTCCCAGTCCTGTATGGTGGATGGGTGCTGTCAATGGTAAAGTGTACAGTTGCAAGATAAGTTTGAGATGGCTTCAGGGGTTTAGCAAAGCGGGGGACAGCATATAAACTCTCCTTTCCTGCAAGTTTGATCAGTCAATTCTTTCATTCACTCTTTGATTCGTGCACTGCCAGTCTCAAACAGCAAACATGGTCAAAACACTCCAATTTCAGGATCTCACGATCAACTCCCCAGGCTTCGGCGCGATGGGCCTCAGCTTCGGCCTGGGCAGCGATCTCACTCTGGAGCAAGCCGAGCCCGTCCTCCTCAAAGCCATCGAACTGGGCTGCACGTTCTGGGACACCGCAGTCGTCTACCAAGCTGGAGTCAACGAAAAGCTGCTTGGCGACTTTGTTAGAAAGTACAATGTCCGTGACAAAGTCTTCATTGCCTCCAAGTGCGGTATCAAATGCCTGAACGGCGAGTCAGGCGTCACAAACTCCGCCAGTCACATCAAGGAGTACATCGAGGGTACCATTGAGCGTCTAGGCTTCACACCTGATCTTTACTACCTGCACCGCATCGATCCCAACACACCCCTCTCAGAGTCCATCCCAGCACTCGATGAGATCCGCAAAGCCGGCAAGACGAAGTACATCGGCCTCTCCGAGTGCTCAGCCTCGACCCTGCGCAAAGCCAATTCAATCGCCAAAATCGATGCCATCCAAGCCGAATACTCCGCCTTCGAAACACTCCACGAAAGAGACGGCCTCATCGACACCGCAAAAGAACTTGGCATCGCCTACGTCGCCTACAGTCCCCTAGGCCACGGCTGGCTGGTCGATAACTTCGACTACGCGTCGCCCGACGACTTCGCGCCGACCGACTTCCGTCGCGGAAGTCCAAAGTTCCAGGGCGAGAACTTCTACAAGAACAAGGCGATTGTGGAGGAAGTCAAGAAGTTAGCGCAAAAGAAGGGGTGCACGACGCCGCAGATTGCACTTGCGTGGGTCGCGAGTCAGGGCATGATTGCTATTCCCGGAACGACGAAGAAGAGCAGGTTGGAGGATAATTGGAAGAGTAGGGAGGTTGAGTTGAGCGAGGAGGAGAAGGGGGAAATAAGGAGGATCATTGATGCGGCGAAGCCAAGTGGGAATAGGTATGCGCCGGCGCAGCAGGCGATGGTTGGGCATTAGACATTGAAAAGGTTGAAGACTATTAAGAATCGACAATCGTACGACAGCTTCTTACCGGCGGTTCTCCTCTGTCTTGTGGTGTTCGTGTTGTTGCACAGAGCTCGCTCACGAAGTTCAGACCGATTCGTCCCCAGCTGGCTCTTCGTCAATGTCGGCCATCCGCTGACCCCATGCATCATGAACAAGGCTGATGCACTCTTTTAGACAGCTAGTATTACGGCAAACACACCAGCGCGGACCTGCACCGAGATTTTTCCTGCAGCCAGGTCTGCCACACTTAATCCACTTCTCACTATTTGCTTGCAGACTAAGTCTTAGCTCCGTCCTAGATCTTTTCTGCCTCTGTCTGAGTATCTCATCTCTGTCGAGCAGGTCGCACTCACAACACAATGATCTTTGCTCCGGTACCCATGCCCACTTGCTGTGTATATGCCATATGCGTTGACTGAGGCTCGGAGTACGTATGGGCTTACATTGGGAATGCGGATATCTCTTTTTGTCGCTTATCTTTAAGCGCTGGAGGACTCGGTAGTTGTAGCACGGGGTACAGTAGGGACGGCAGAATTTGAGGTGGAAGTCGAGGTTCTGTTGTGACATGGGTTTTAGATGTTCGTAGGTATGTTACAAAGAGTCCGGCACATTCTAGGCAAACGATAAGACCTACAAAATGACCACGTACCTTGCAGATCTGATTTGTGCACAGCCAACAACTTTTCTTGTCATTGTCGCAGGTGTACTGGTCGAAGACTTCAAGGTGGCGATCGAAACCGTGGGTGGGGAGCACGGCTTTTCGGACGCTTTTGCAAGTGCGAGCCAACATCACGATATCGACATAATGCAGCTCCCGCGCCACCAGGACCAGCATGTCATAGATCTCTTAAAATCTTGTTAGCGGCATTTCTCTGCCATCTCCTTCATACTCGGTGTCGATGTAGCGTTTTTTTGGGTTCAGTTCTTAAGGCGCTCATTTCCGTTTCGGCCGTCTGCTCTATGCCCAAGCCGACTTTGACGGTGTAGCGTCTTGCCACCCGGACTTTCGACTTAACTTCCACGGGCAGATAGCGGCGGAAGAGCCACATAGGAACATTAAAAACTGCGTCCTCGATGACGTTGAAGACAAACATTGGAAGCGAGCCCAGGATTCTGGCATCTCTCGAAAGAAGGCGTTTCTGGGGATTGGCTAGGCGTTGGAAGTGAGGGGTGATGATCGAGAAGGTAATCAACTCAAGTAATGAGATCAGGGAGGAGAGTATTCTGGAGTAATTTGCTAGCATGTGGGACGGACGATGCAGGGAGTACTCACAATATCGACAATCCAAGCTGCCACTCTCGTGCAAAGGTACCGCACAGTTCGTTTGCACTCACATCCGTGCCGCTCAGCCGTGTCGCAGTCTGGAAGAAGTCATCGTCGGCAGACCAGGTTCGTTGCAAGCCATGCAAATCGCTACACCAAGAAGTACTGGGCGGAGAGTAGGCCCGTTGATGGTGAGTAGCCAATGATATGCATACCGTAATTGCAGTGTCCACGACTGCAATGGGCAAGTTGAAGGGCGACAGGATGCAGAAGAGACAGGGTACCCATATGGCAAGGTTCCAAAGAACAGAACGGTGCTCCACCTAGCAGCAATGTGCTCACCTGTGGCTATTGTCAAACAATCGCTTTGCTGAAGTTCTTTGTGATACCGCATGATATTCTCGTGGTCATTGGCGTACTTCCAGTAGAAACTGATTGGCACGGCGAGTGCAAGCCGTACAACAGTGACGGGCAGGATGGTGAAGAGTCGCGTCGCTGGAACTCATGTCAATCTCATACCTTGAACACAAGGGGTTCATGTATTACCTTGAAACAGGTCATTCACTTTCGCCATGGCCATACCTTCTTGTATCACCGTCAACTGTTCACTTATGGAGATTGTGTCCGCGATATTCGGTGCAACTGGGTCCTGCAATGATCCACCGCCGTCTCCATTCTGTGGTGTGCTCATAGATTTGGGGCGAATACGCTCTGAATGTTCAAAGGGAACTCTGGAGTCGCTTGGTCGAAACGAAGTTGGACCTCAAGGCACAACGGCAGCAGTAGGAAGCAGCAAGTCAGACAGGCACTCCACATAAACCATGGCTTTCTCACGCCTCGCGACTGGTCTGCATGCACACTGGATGATCCCACACTGTACCCTTCAGGTCTCATCAAGAGGGCAAAGAACCATGGTCGAGCTGCCCGCAAGACCCTGCCCAGTCACCACAAAACAGTCTCATTGGCATAAACCTATCGCGATCCTCATCTTCCCCCTCTTCCATACGATCTCAGCATATTGACGCGTTTTCGAATGCGCTGTACCAGCAGTGAAATAGTAATTGACGATGAGGATGGTTGGAAGTTCACGTGATGCGTCCGGCATGGCCGCGGTTGCCCTGCGATACGATGATGTCACATTGGGCTCAGCTGAAAATTCGAAGATTTGAAGAACGCCAGCGAAGCGGTGACAGACAAGGGGTTGGTGGTCAGGGACGATGAGTTGTCATTGCGTCCAGCCCATCGTCAATTGCAAAGATCGTTCCCGCACCCGCGCGGCAGGTGAAGTGGGGCGTTCACCATGGCAACGCAGCTATCAGCGGTTGTTTATCAAGATGCCAGCTGAGCCAGTGCTCTCCCGCACGGCCATTCCTAGACAGGCCCAACGTCCAATTTCAAGGTCCATCCAGCCCAAAATAATCTCCTTCTCCGCATTTGCCAACTCTTAGCTGCATGCACCCTCGACTCCCCTTGCTGCGCGCGACTCACCCTTCAACCTTATCTCCAACCGATATCTCACCACTACACCACCAGCGGCTGCTACATACGCTGCAAGTCAGCCGAGCACTCGCTACCGCTTTGCAACAAAGCAATTGCACGTTTCAAGATGGAGGCGCTGCTGTCGCTGTCCTTTGACAACATTGCGTCAAAGGATACAGCCAAGATTCGCAAAGGCCTGCGCCAGATCGAGGGCATGCTAGCACACATCTGCCTCGACGGCAGCAAGACAAAGCCCGCCACACCTGGACATCGACGAAACCAATCTGCAGTTAATGTGGGCGAGCAGCAAGATACACCCAAGAAGCTAGGAGAGCTGTCTGAAGACCCTGCATTTCGAGAGTTCTTCCGGTTGCAAGATGGGTTCGAGTGGAATGGTGCGCATTTCATGTGAGATCAGACGAAAGACATGCTAACTTGCGCCAGTTACTACACGCGTCGCAGACTGCCTCGAGAGGCTACTCGGCATGGGCAGCAGTAAGAGTAATGCGCTCCACTATTACTCTTGGACCTTCACTGACAACAACCAGACGGCCAGAACGACATGCTCATCCTCGCGGCGCTATCGAACCTCCAAGGCCTACTTCTCCTGCATCCACCGTCGCGCATCCTTTTCGGTCGCGAAGTCTACATGAACCTCCTCCTCGACCTTCTCGACCCGTACAATTGCCCAGCCATTCAGTCGCAAGCGATCCTCGTCCTCGTCACAGCGCTGCTCGCCACACCACAGAACACCCGAATCTTCGAGCAGATGGATGGTCTGCTTACTATCACAAGTCTGCAAAGCGACGAGGAGACAACACAAAGCGTCAAGGTCAAGGTGCTAGAGTTCCTGTACTTCTATCTTCTGCCTGAGGCACCTCCACTATCAAGAAAGCTCGCCAGCGCATTTGAGAGGCGAGGGAGCACAGACAGCTCAAAGAGCGTCACAAACAAGAACACCAGGTCGCAAGAAGAAAAGCAGCGCATGCTCGGCAAATACATCGCCAATGTCGACTGCTTATTTGAGGATATGCAGGACGATGACCCATTCGCCAGCGTGAGGGTATGATCGTCTCGCAAAGCAGCCCATCGGTCGCCATTTCATTTGTATATCTATTTGCTTTTATACTTCTTGTTACTATTTGTCGGCCCACTGCCGCGGTCTCATACTTTCTTTGGGTCCAGCAAGCGAGGCGTTGGAGGGGTGTTCAGCAAAAACAGACTGAGCGTTACACATCTCCTGGCACTTGAGTGCATTGTTAATTTGGGCGGAAGCGTTTCCATGGCATCAGCATACTCGGCGGGCGCACATTCACAAGTTGAATTTCTTTAGTAATATAGCATACTGGGAGCTAGCACTACCCGCTTGCATTCTTTGGCTGGGATACCACTGCTCTGCTTTGAGGGTGCAATCACATCTTGTTTACGCGATCTGAGCACATTGGCTGGCCAAGTGACAACACATGCGAACTGCAAGGGTTAGCATGCTGTCGTGAGATGTGGTGTCGGAGAAGTCGGCACAATGATTGGTCGGGTACTCGGGAGAGTAAGACTGAAAGAGGGATGCAAGCACCAAAAGTCACGATACATCTACGAGTTGAAGATCCTTACATGACGGCTGGCTAAACGGCATCTGAACATCGACTCTTGCAAGCCGAACAACATCGAGCCATGTTGATGAAGCTTGTGAGCAACGACATCAAGATAGAGGTTTCGTCAGCACCAGCACTGTCAGCTGTTGACGTACCCTCCCGGCACTTGATAAGCTTACCCTGCAGCCCTACCGTAGTCTTCGTACCCGTACCAAGTACTTTCCCATGGCCGACACGTGATGTCAAACGCCAAGGGATGCAGGCGCTTACGGATGCGTCAGGAACGTCGTGATTCGGACGAGCGGGCACACGACCTTGTACGACAGCGACAAGTTGCCACAGCAGGCTGCGACAAGAATGCCAAACGCCAAACCGGATGACCGCGTTCTCAAACCTCCGATCAAAGTGTGGTTCGCAAATCAACGAAAGCCACTCCTATCCTAGCGCCGGCAGCGACTGGAAGCTAGACTCGGCTGGGCGTTAGTGCCTGGCGTTGATTGATGTCGCGTGCCCTGTGCTGAGCGGAGTTCTGACAACCACACTGCAGTGAGGTATGCCCAATGGCCAGCAAGCAGCGTCCTGATCCCGAAACCTGCTTGAGTTGACGGAGAGATCAAGAACAATTGCAAGCAAGAAAAGAGTACGAAAGGTCTGTATAGCAGCAACACAACCTTAATTGGAATGCATGACGTCCTTGCCTGAAATGGCATGCACTCACGCGCTGCCTGCCGGATCTCGGCTGCTTCGCGCTCCAGCAAACCGAAGAGTGCGATGCAGCTTCATCCGGGAAGCTTTAACGAGGCAGGCTAGCACTTGCCTTGTCTTGGTAATAATATCAAGCTTTTGGTCCGCCAGCGTCCGCTGACTTCAAGATGTCGCCCAAGTCCTACCATTTTTTTAGTCTCACTCTTGCGTTCTTATTTCCTCCCTACATATCCTGTCACTGCGACTCTCCTGCTAAAAACTCAACTGTCTCTCCCAACCTGGAATCGCTACTGTAGACAGTGCAAACAACCTATGCGCCACTGATAGCTTGACAACAAAGCACATGCGGGCTTATTGGTTAGCTACACTGCTTGACTTTACACAAGCTCGCGGCATACCACCACTATCGGCCTGGAAAACTAAATTCTAATACCTCGAGCTCTGAAAACGCCTCCACCCGAACATCAATCGATACTTTGAGCACTGTTGCTTGCAAAGCTTTCTACACATCACCATGGGTATAGGCGCCGTCGCGGAGCCACTAGTTGTGGTGACCTTGCTCTTCGGAGGCACCTGGGTGAATCGCAACAAAGAGTACAGATTGTTCGGCCGACGAAGAGACCACACAACATCCCCTCGATCACCCTCGCAAGATTCTGAGTCAGGACGTTCCTCCGTATCATCAAGCGATTCACTGCTACCTGGTGTCGACGAGGTCCCGAAATGGCGAACACGAGAGCTACGAGTCTTCGGTTTTCGGACAGAAGTCACATCGCCCAACTCGAGAAGGTTCAAGGACTACTTCCTGAGCCGACTACTCAAGAAATTCCCCTTCTTGGTTGAAGCATGGTATTGGGCTCTGATCTACTGGGTATGCCTCCACCAACACTACCTCACCGTACTGATACTAACATACACAGGTCTACCAACTAGGCCGCGCTTTCAGTGCCGTAACAATGCGCGAAGGCACCGTAAACGTCGCCCGCCGGCACGCCCTGCAACTAATCCACCTCGAGCAATCCCTCCACATATTCCGTGAACTCAGCGTGCAACACTGGTTCCTCCAACAACCCCTACTCCTCCACTGGACAAACCGGATATATAGCTTCATCCACATCCCCGGCACCATCCTCTTCCTCGTGTTTCTTTTCTTCTACACAACCATGCAGAACCGCGTCGACCTCCCCTCGTACCGCCAACGAAATCACAAGTCCACCTCTCCTTCGCGCAACGAACCGCACGGCAGTCCTGCGGGACCGAAACTCTACGAGGCGCGCCGCCGCACGATGGCAACATGCAATCTCATTGCCTTCATCATCTTCACGCTCTGGCCGTGCATGCCACCGCGCCTACTCTCCGACCCAGACGTGCCCGGTGCCGTGGGCAAAGAAGCACGAAGCTTCGGGTTCGTAGACACAGTGCACGGCGCCGAGGGCGAGAGTAGCGTGTGGACCCAGAACAAGTTTTGCAACCAATACGCTGCGATGCCCTCGTTGCACTTTGGATATTCGCTTTTGATTGGACTGACGATTCTGTCGTTACCGTTAGCACCACAACATCAGCGCTCGAGGGTCTTGAGCGTACGTACGCCATTTGCGGGGAACACGCTTAGGCTTAGACTGCCGGGGGCGAGACGCCTCGCATGCTTGGTTGTAGGAGTTGCGTACCCGACTATCATTCTCGTAGCCATTGTTGCGACAGCGAATCACTTCATTCTCGATGCTGTGGCGGGCGCGATGGTGTGTGGACTGGCGTGGACAGGGAATCGTGTGTTATTGAATCTGCTGCCTCTGGAGGATTACTTTTTGTGGTGTGTTAGGATTGACAAGCCGGAGAGGAGGGCGGTATTGTTTGAGGTTGGCGAGGATGATGAGAGGGTGTTAAGGAAGGGTGTTGTTGTTCGATGAACCCGAGGGTGAAGTTTCCAAGGTTGTATTGGGTGGAAGTGGTGAAAAGTGATGGAGTAATGACTAATGTGGAGATGAGAGCTTAGTGGACGCGAGATACCTTATGAGCTCCATTGGGGCACTTGTATGTAGTCTTTAGCAACGGTGGATACTTTTCTCGATCAGTGAGTACTATAATATAAAGTCAGAGCGAGGGGGCATTCAGCTACTTTTCCATCTGTTTGGCTCTGGGAGGCATTGTCATTACTGTCCTATCGTCCAACTCGCGGGCACTGAGGTCATCTCATCGTGCAAATTAACGCCTTCGCCTCGACCCGTCCATACAGCCAGGACAAGATACCGAACCCAAGAGGTACTCACTCCACTTTCCTCTCCCTTCCCCCCTCACCCTCCGCCTTCGACCCCAGTAACACCGAACAATCCATATCCTTAACCCTCATCGCCCTCGGATTCCCGCAATCAATCGGCCCCTTACTCCAAAGCCCCGCGCGACACTCCCCACAACTCCTCCACGTCTCATGATCCCACCACTCACAACCCACATACCCGAGCCTCAACTTACTCTCCTTATAACCAAACGGTCCGATCTTCAAATTCTCATACCCCGGCACCCAATGCTTGATGCTTGTCATGAACCCCGGTCTCAATTCAAGAGACTGCTTCATATTCCCGTTTGTGTACACGCCAGCCGCCAAACGCTCGCCTTGGAGACCACAGAACTCCCAGATTTGCAGGTGGAAGGGCAGGATTACGTCGGTTTGGTGTTGGGATTCGGGGACGTGGGGGGCATTGGGGCGCGTGGTTTCGATGATAGCGGGCATGAGGACGATTGTTGAGGCTTGCGCGTTGAAAATGTCGCCGGCGACGTGTGTGGTGAGCTCGGGTTGGGGGGTGACTGTGGCGGACGCGAATTCAAACGTGACATCTTCGAGGGGCGTGGAGGGAGTCGGGGGAATCTTGACGTCGCGGCCGGCGATTTTGATGTTGTCGTAGGGATCCATGAATTTACAGTCGATATAGGTGAACTGAGCATAGTTGGCATCTTGATCCGTCAGCCTGGAGGTATTCACTTACTCGTTGCGGCCCGGGTACACCGGTCTCACAATTCAACGGCCCCATTGACCAAGGGTGAGGCTCACAAAGCCCACAATTGAAGCCGCCGAACGAAGTCCACTTGCAGCCACCGTACTGGAAGGACCCTGAGTGTTCGTTGAAATCGTAAGGTCCAACGACGAGGGTATCCGCCTTGTTTGGTGCAGGTGGGTGAAGGCGCATGTAAGTCCAGGTCTTGTCGGTGAGCTTGATCTCAATGTGTTTGTTACCATCGTACCACCAGCCTCGGACGGCGAGGGCACCATTATCGCAGAACTCCGAGAAGCTCATGGTGAAATAGTAGTAGAGATGGTTCTCATGAAATTCGTCGCTGGGCGCGTCGATGAACACGTCGATGGTAAGGTTGACAGATGGAGACGAGGCAGAGTAGGAGTCGCCAATGGCACTGACCTCCTTCAGGCTGTCTGATGATGAGGTCTTAGTCTTGATGTCACGGCCTATGACCTGTCCGTTCATATGATTGTCGACGAAGTAACAAGTTCGGTACGTGAGCTGGAGGAAGTTAGTAATCTCCGGCATCGCGCAGACGAAAGCAAACACTCACACGCTGGTTCCCAGGCTGGCCAGTCTGGCAATTCAGCGGCCCCAATGACCATGGCTGCATCTCACACCACCCGCAAGGATAGCCGCCTTCAGAGGTCCACTTGCAGCCGTCGTACTCAACGATGAAACCGTGCTGGTCATAGCTGTATGGACCGAAAGTCAGGTCCAAGCTAGGGTGAAGATTGATGGGGAATCTCTGAGTCGGGTTCAGAGCAAGCTCGAACCTTGTTTGGCCGTTGCTCATCCAGCCGCGAGCCTTAAGAGCACCGTTGTCGCAGTATTCTGAGAAGCTGACGTAGATGCGGTAGAGGTTGTCGGGGATACCATCATCGGGAGTGACAGCTTGGATATTGCGAACAGGTGCTTCGATGCGAATATCCTTAGGGGTAGTCACGGTGGTGGTGTCGGCGGCAGGAGCAACCAGAAAGGACCCTTGGAGGTCGTCGCGGGAGGTGGTTCCCTTCCAGTCTTCACCAGGAGGAAGCACAAACACCGAGCCGGGCTTGGTCTTCCGCCAGAAAGAGCAAACGAGATTCCGGTGCTGGAGCTTGTCAGCCTATGTAACGGCAGAACAGTAGTTTGACACTCACCCTATACAAGTGCGGGTCAATCGCACAATCAAGCTGATTAGCACCTTCAGGACCCTCCCACGGTGCGCTCTGATCGCACACCCCACACTTCCTAATCTTTGTTTCGCCGTCCCTCCACTTGCAGTCTTCGTACTCGAAGAAAGTGTCAGAAGTGTCGTAGTCGTGACGGATGGAGATGTCGTCGCCAGCAGTATCCAGAGCGAAGGTTTTAGTCAACCCTCCCTCGAAATCCCAACCGTACTCGTGGCCGTCATCGTGGTAGAACTCGGCGTAAACGTGAAACGCTGGCTTGAGGGGCTCGATCTTGACGTCAATGTTACAGTACTCATGGATATAGAGCTCGAAAGAGTATTCTTCGTGGCCCTTGCTCTGCGTGGTGACGGAGTCGGCAGTGAAGGCATTCACAATATCGGTGCCAGCCTCAAGAGACTGCACTGTGCCATGCGCGGTGAAATTGGTGGTAGGAGCCGGAGCAGCAAAACCGATGACCGCGACAAGCAGCAAGAGAAGGCTGGAGGCCTTCATGGTGACCGTAGTCGTCAGTAAGGCGTCCCAGTAATACTCGAGAGGTAGTCAAGACCTTGCGGCAGGGTGGTGAGAGAAGGAGATGAGGATGAGGGGGGCATCGTTTTCGTGTCGTGCGAGCCCCGCCAACTGCGACTTTAGAGGCGAAGTGAAGGTGAAGGTGATGGTGAACGTAGCATGGCGCACGAGCAAACGAACGACTTGGCATTCATGCTCAAGGTAAGGCGAATTCAAGCAGGTATACCCAAATTATGGGAGGTAGTCAGGTCCTGCCGGTCGTCTTTTTGTGAACTTACAAGGAGGTATAAGATTACAAAGTATTTCGCCCATTTCACACCAGAGCCAGAATTACTTCGCATGCCTCCGGGCTTGCCTAAGAGTGGGTAGCTACAGCGTTCCGAATTTTCTGCAAACATGAGGGACTGGCGGTCGTATGAGTGATAAGCATGTCTCTGGATCCCCTGCACCTGCTTTTGGAGGGACATTACATATTCTAGTCGAGTCCAACGACGTGCATCAGCTTGCACAAGGCTGGTCAAAAGAAGACAGGCCTATGTGTACAACCCGAAAGCCTAAGATTGTTAGTTAGACATGTGTCACCAGTGAAAGTTAAAAGCCAGCCAAGTACTCACACCATACCACAGCTCAAAGCAGTACAGCTTACGGCGGCGTTAGACCACGGTCTCGCAGACGCGCTCTCCTACACCAGATAGACTCGAATCCATGCGATGGCTTTCCAAGGACAACGATCGAACGCAGCGAAGCGAGACTGCTCTGTTAGTCACAGTCTCAAGGCTGGGGAAGTGTGGTGATATGGATGAAATAATATTACAATGACTATGGGTACAATTGACTGGAAGAATCTTGATGGGTATCTGTAAGGCAGGACTAGGCCAACAACAAGCGCTGGAGTTCGCGACTTGAGGAATGATAACAAAAGAATGACTGTCTATGCAATCTGGTAATGACAACAAAGGAAACAACCCACTACCGCCTGCTGCTCTTAGTGTGGTCGCGGCTGGGTCTGTCGTCCCTAGCACGACCCATCTCTTCGTCAGGAATCCTATCCCGGCGTGCAGAGTACGCGCGCTGAGGCTGGCGAACATCGTCGTGGCGAACATCGTAGGCGCCGCGACGCTCATCCTCTTCGTCAGAGAAGTCGACGTAGACAGAGGCAGGACGCGGTCGGCTCTCTCTTGGCAGCTTCGAATTCTTAGCCTTAAGCTCCTCAGGCATGTAGACCTTATCTAGATGTTGCTCCAGCAGGCGTACGTTCTTGCCGTTGCACTTGATTGCAGCGTCTGCCAGATCGCCAATGAAGGGAACCAGACCGACGACGAAGTCGAGAGCGAGGTTGAACATCATCATCAGCAACACACTCTGCGGCAGACCGCATGCCACCTTTCGCATGCTCAGGATGAGTTTGAGTGCAAGCAGTGCGTCGGCTGCGTCGCCAATGGCGGGCACAAGACCAATGACAGAGGACCAACCGAAGCGCATACCCATGAAACTGAAGAGAGCGAAGTCCAGTCGGTAGGCGGTTTTGCGGGCTCTGGCGAGAATGTTGGCCTCCTGTTCCGGGATGTAGGCGGGGATCTGCTTCTTGACTTTCTTCGTCTTGCCTGGCTTCCTGGGGTGGGGGACCTCCTCGTAGTAGGGGTCCTGACTCGCGGTCAGTTAACAACACAGCGCAATGGTGAGGAAGCGACTTACATATGGACCAGCGGCAGCCTTGTTTGCGTACTTGCTCATCTCGCCTGTGAGCATCTTCTTCGCCGCGTACTTTGCGACGAGTTGGGCCATGTTTGCGGTGTTGTTGGTGTTGTTGGTGTGCCGGTGGATGCGACAAGAAGGGGTTCTTGTTGGCTGGGAGTACAGTCGTAGACGACCTGCGGAAAGACCTTATATGTCTTGGGTTCCTTTGGGTTCTTTGACGATATGTTGACAATGCGCTGCGCGGCGGCTGTCTCACGAAGAGCGCACGAAATGTGGTTGGGCGGCGGCAGTCCTCTCCAGAAATTCTGAAACGGGCGCGTCGCTGCCTATGAATAGACGGCGAGTGCGATTGCAGACAACAAAGGCTGCTTGCTGCGTTGGCGATCAGGTGAAGGTGCAACAAGCAATTCGAGGGCAGGCGCCGCGGGCTCTTAAGTCGCAGAGGATTCGGCGGTGTGCTGCTGGCTCGCCTGCCCTGATTCCATCAAGTCGCAACACGCTGTGACGTGATGGTGTTTCTAGCCCCGTCTTTGCCATCTCTGGAGCGATCGACATAGCTGTGGCGAGTGGTGTTGCACAGCCACTACACGTCAATCGAAGCTCGAAGCTGCGTCGCTGGTGGTTGAACAGCGAACCTCTGCATCTAGAACCCCCACGCACGTGTTCACCACATTCTTCCACATTCTTTCCGTGCGGCAGTGCACGACAATCAGCGTATTCTAGCAGCATACCCGCGACGATCTAGCTGCAGCTTGCGACGCGCCCGCTGCCCGCTGCCCCACGATATCCCCGCCGCGCGATTGAACAGGTGCCCATAGCATGCTGCGCGACACCGGCCAACATGACTACCACAAATACCAAGATGACGCTCGTTGACTGGCTGGACGACCTGTGTGTCCGCTTCATCGTCAACCTCCCGCAGGAAGAACTGCTCTCCGTAGAGCGCATATGCTTCCAGATCGAAGAAGCACAATGGTTCTACGAAGACTTCATCCGCCCGCTGGACCCCCACGGCCTGCCCTCGATGCACCTGCGCAAGTTCTCGCAGCTCATGTTCCAGCATTGCCCGCTGTTCTCGGCGTACTCAGCGGAGCTGCACCAGCAGGCCTATGACCAATTCCTCGCCTACAAGACCCGTGTGCCCGTCCGCGGGGCCATCATGTTGAACCAGGAGATGACACACGCAGTGCTGGTCAAAGGGTGGAAGAAAGGCGCGAAGTGGAGTTTCCCACGAGGCAAGATCAACAAAGGGGAGAATGACCTGGATTGCGCAGTGAGAGAGGTCTGGGAGGAGACAGGCTATGATCTGAAGGAAGCCGATCTGGTGCTGCCAGAGGAGCAGATGAAGAGCATCACCGTCACAATGCGTGAGCAGAGTATGATGCTCTACGTCTTCCGAGGCGTGCCCATGGATACATACTTCGAGCCGCGGACAAGGAAGGAGATCTCCAAGATTGACTGGTACAAGCTGACGGATCTGCCTACCGTGAGGCGGAAGAACCAGGTACAGCAGCAGGGCACCGGCCAGGACTTGATCAAGGAGAGCAGTTTCTACATGGTGGCTCCATTCCTTGGACCCCTACGCGCGTGGATAAAGCTGCAACACAAGCTCGACAAGCAAAGAGCTCGATCTGGGCAACACGTGGCACCACCACCTGCGATTACAGACGACGAGGAACTTCAGGCTGAGGTGTATGAGGCTACAGGCGACGAAGGCACAGCACAACCTGCTGCGCAGCCCATCGATCAGAGCTTTGCCAATCTTGTTGCATGGTTGGGGCAGAGCCAGGCGCCAAGCGAGCTGGCAGCACAGTCGCAACCGTCCGTGGATCCGGCAGCAGAGCTCAAGAAACTCCTGAGTGTTGGCAGTGGGCCGTCAGCGCCTACACCTCCCGTAGAGGCACCTGGCATCCAGCCTCGAGCAAACCCTCTGCTAGCTTTGTTGCAAGGGAACAGCGGCTCTGGAGGACATTCAGGATCGTTACCGCAGACACCGGTCGAACGAATCTTGCACACGCCAATGCAACCGCCTCAGAGTCCATATGGTCAGCATCACCCGTTACCTCCGCAGATGGGCCCCCCGCCTCCGTTCCCCTTCCCACCACACCAGAACATGCATTTCCAAGGGCAGCCACAGCACCCGCAAGATATGCCATTGCACCTTCCACGCCACTTCATGCCACCTCCACCTCCGCCGAATCAGGGCTTCCAGCAACAGCAAGGCTACGGCCAGCAGCCGCCTCAACAGGACCAATTCACTGGACCACTCGGGAGAGGGCCAGAAGTGCCCGCTGCGTCTGGTCTACCAACACCGAAGCTTACTGCACATGCTCTTGGGTTGCTGAACTCCTTCAAGATCAGCGACCAGAAGCCTACCCCACCACAAGTCCATGCCTCGTTGCTGCAGCAGCCTCAGTACAGCACTCCAAGGCTGCAGCAGCCGCATCCGCCGCATCCACCTCATGAGCTGGTGTCGCCTCCTCACATGATCAGTCCGCCTACATACCAATCGCCTCCGCTCAGTCAACCACAGCCAAAGCCAAGGACCGTCCACCAAGACTCGCTGCTTACCCTGTTTAGCGCGACTCCACCAGCCAAGTCTCCTGTACCTGCGGAGCCTGCCGAGCTTTCTGCGCATCCTCTGACACCAGGCTTCATCCAAGCTCAGCCAGCAACGAACCAAGCTAAGCCTCCAAATCAGGCCTTGCTTGACCTGTTCAGCACACAGAAGAAATCTGGGCTTACTTCGGCTACCGTGAGTGGGCCAGTGAACGCCCCAGACTTTGATACCGTCAGGAGACGAAAGCAACCGTCTGTGAATGGAGGCTCTCGCGGGCCTTCTCCAGCCACTACTATCGTTGCATCAAAGCATGCCCAGCAGACACATGGTGATGTACGAGCAGCGCCTGTCCCGGCATTCCAACCGCAGATCTTGAAGCGGCCCCAACAGGGTGCTCCAGCCTCAGGCCCTAACGCGCATGCACAAGGCCTACTAGACATGTTCAAGGGCCCTTCGCCGCAACCTACATCTGCTCAGCCTGTTGCCGTTCCAGCTCCCACAGCGCAAGCACAGGGTTTGTTGGACATGTTCAAAGGGGCTTCTCCGCAACCGGCAGCTGCACGACCAGCACAAGCGGAAAACCTGCTCGCTATGTTCAAGGGAGCTTCGCCTCATGTCAAATCCGCCCAACTAGCACCGACAGCGCCAGCATCTGGTCCCCCGCCCATTGCACAGGCACAAGGTCTCTCGAACCTGTTCAAGAGTCCCTCACCGCAACCACCTGCGCAGCCTACCCAGGCCACGCAAGCTCGATCGAACGCATCTCCAGCTCTCGTTGCCGCGCAGCCCGCCACTTTCGACCGCCGCGAATCCATTCCCTCAGACCAGCGCAACGCTCTCCTCGGCCTCTTCAACAGACCATCACCCCAACCCGCAACCCGCGTCCCAACACAACAATCCCACGGCCCTCTCCCCTTCAGTAGGACGCCCAACCCACCAACGCCCAAAACCGCCATGTCCGGCCTCGTCAGCCCCGTAAGCCCATTACAGCAAGGAAGTCGCACTGGCACACCTGCAGACCTCGCGAGCAGGAGCCGCATCTCGAGTATTGGCGAGTCTGTACCGGGTCAGCCTGGTCTGCCGGGTTTGCAAGACGTTCAGGGTCAGAGTGGTGTTGGTGGTGCGCCGTTGGGTGCGGTCGCGAGTCGGTCGAGTGAGGCGAAGAGTCCGGTTGATAAGACATTTTTGCTGGGGTTTCTGGAGGATGTTGCGAGAAGGGGAAGGTGAGGAGTTGCATTGGGGTTTAGCGTTTGGCATGGCTGCACACAGGAGTGCTTGGGTTTGTATGGTATTGATAGTCATAAGGGTGGGAATAGTATAGGTGTTCTAATATGGATAACAACCCAAGGATTGAAGTCAATACAAAGCCTGAAGGCACTCGCGCCACCTAACCTAACCTCCACAATCGTAGCAACAGCATAAGCACAAAGGGTATCAGTGACAGCAACAACGGGCCCCCAGTCATTCGGACCATCCTAAGCCTTCCGAAACACATATGCAGGCACCATCACCACACTCCCATCCTCAGCCCGTACATCAATCTCCTCCACAGCTCTTTCACATTTTTCACCGTACCTACGTCGAAACATCGCCTCAAGCAGCTCAAACGCTTCCGGAAGTAGACCACCGACCAACAAACCCTCAACCTTACTCCCGGAGGTACTCAGCACCGCAGGCGTCATACCCTGCGCCACACTCTCCACAACATCCCACTCGCACCCATGCGCTAGTATACTAGCCAAATGCACGGGGTTGGTTAGATTGCAGCTTAAGAATACTGCGGGCGCGATGTTAATGATTTGTTGGTAGAGATTGTGCCTGGTCCAGGGGAGGATGGGAGGGGGTGCGGGTGGGGCGTAGGGTTGGTAGTTGTGTGCGGACCGTGGCAGGGTTGGCAGGGTTGGCAGGGTTTGGAGGCATTCATGATACTCTAAAGCCTCACCCTGGAGTGCTTCAATGCACTCTGGTTCTTTCTTGGAGCCCGCGATCCTAGCTTTTTGCGATTTTGAGAATCGCCGCGGGTTTGGCAGACGGCTAGAGGCATTCAGCTCACTGTGAGCTACCTCCGTTGGGCTTGAGGATCGCGACCGTGCGAAGTGCGATTGTGAGTATTTGTGGGGGCTCGAAGAAGGGCTGAAGGCCCTCACGGGGTGCTGACTGCCTTCAGCATAGGCTGCTCGGTAGGTTTTGATGGATGAGGGTAGGGGAGCCTCGAGGGAGAAGATGTTGGTGGACGACATCTTGTAAGATTGTGAAGTTGGGAATATTGGGATATGAGAGAGGTGTGATGTGAGATGAACACGAAGGGTGATTGAAGACCTGGAAATTTAATGAAGTGTGATAAAGTTCATACATAATAGAGGAATGACTTTGGGACTCTACTCTTGCAAACCAGTCTCAAACAGTTAATGAGGGGCGCACCCCAGAGATCTCGAGGCGTGTAATCAGAGGAAGTGTATGTTGAAGGCCTCCAGCCCATGGTATATATATGGCATTCTTGTGGCTCCGAACGATGAATTTACCCTTGGAATATTTGCGAAGTCCGGCTCTTTACCTGAGAGAAAATATACTAAAGACCTCCAACCCATGGTGTAGGTCTGAGAGCACAGCTTTTTTGTGGTTCGTAACTATGCGACCGAATTATGAACCCACCTTGAAACATTTGCGGAGTCCAGCTCTCTTCTTTGCCCACGGTGTCCAGTACCGCCACACGTCTTTACCCATACTTCGAGCGGCCCACAAGACGCTCAACACCGAGAAAAATAATGCTCACTTCCAAATGATGCATTATGCAGTGCCATGGCGCATAGAGTCGCAACTGATAGTGAATGCTGGCACTAGGCTGCTCTGAGCAAGAGTGGCGCGGTGAGGCGAGCAGCCAGGTACCAGAGCAAACGCGTCGACAGTGCCTGTTTCACACAGGAGCCTCAGAGTGTGATACAAGGAAACACTCTTTGGCGATGTTTGCTTTGTTCGACGAATAGCAGGCGGGAGTGAAAGTGACACGGTATTGAGTTTGGGTCGCTCGGCTGGCTTTTCCTTGATGCAGTGACTGGATTAGTGAAGCTCGTCCGTGGGTTTCCAAAGGTTTCGATTTGGTGTCGCGGGAAGGCGCGCTAACAATTGCTTGGCTTGGACCCACACGCGCTGAGGCAACCTGGAGCTTCACCGTCACTGACGCGGACCCGAGCTTCTACTTAAACTACCACATCCGCCTGCACTCCACTCCATCATCCCCATCACCCGCCACACACCACCCCTCAACTCTACCACGCCGTAGCTCTTGGTAGCACTTTCCGCACAGTACAAACAACCACTCCAGCTACAAATAATCATATATCCCCCACAATGTCGGCTGAACCAGACCACGCAACGCAGAAGCCGGACCTGTCCAAGTGAGTTTGCTTGCCACAATACCGTGCAAGTGAGATGCAGCTGCTGACAGACCACCAGGGACCCTTCAGGCGCTGAACCCAAGACCGTGCGTACAGCTCGACGTGATGCTGAGGTCACTCATACTGACCCGCCACAGGAAGATGAGATCGCAACAGCCATCCTCAAGAAGAAGAAGAAGCCCAACTCCCTCATGTAAGCATCTCAGCTGTCGCACAGAGAAGCAATGTACTGACTTGGGCAGTGTCACCGACGCCGTCAACGATGACAACTCGATTATCGCCCTCTCGAACAACACCATGGAGACGCTCCAGCTGTTCCGTGGTGACACGGTCCTCGTCAAGGGCAAGAAGCGCAAGGACACAGTCTTGATCGTGCTCGCAGACGACGACCTCGACGATGGCTCCGCACGGATAAACCGCGTTGTTCGCCACAACCTGCGAGTCAAGCACGGTGATGTGATCACCATCCACCCTTGCCCAGACATCAAATATGTATGTGCGACTTTGGAAAGTGCATCAAGCTCAATACTGACTATAGTTACAGGCCAAGCGCATCGCAGTCCTTCCTATTGCAGACACAGTCGAGGGCATCACCGGCTCATTATTCGACGTTTTCCTCGCCCCATACTTCCGCGAAGCCTACCGACCTGTACGACAGGGCGACACATTTACCGCGCGCGGCGGTATGCGACAAGTCGAATTCAAGGTGGTCGAGGTTGACCCGCCAGAGTTCGGTATTGTCGCACAAGATACCGTTATCCACTGCGAGGGCGAGCCAATCCAGCGCGAGGACGAGGAGGGCAACCTCAACGAGGTGGGCTATGACGACATCGGTGGCTGCCGCAAGCAGATGGCACAGATCCGTGAACTTGTCGAGCTGCCGCTGAGGCATCCCCAGCTCTTCAAGTCAATCGGTATCAAGCCGCCCCGTGGTATCCTCATGTACGGTCCCCCGGGTACTGGTAAGACGCTCATGGCTCGTGCGGTGGCCAACGAGACCGGTGCGTTCTTCTTCCTGATCAACGGTCCCGAGATTATGTCGAAGATGGCTGGTGAGTCGGAATCCAACCTGCGCAAGGCTTTCGAGGAGGCGGAGAAGAACTCCCCCGCCATCATCTTCATCGACGAGATCGACTCCATCGCTCCCAAGCGTGAGAAGACCAACGGTGAAGTCGAGCGCCGTGTCGTGTCTCAGCTTCTCACCCTCATGGACGGCATGAAGGCACGCTCCAACGTTGTCGTCATGGCCGCAACCAACCGCCCCAACTCGATCGACCCTGCTCTCCGCCGTTTCGGTCGCTTCGATCGCGAGGTTGACATCGGTATTCCCGACCCCACCGGCCGTCTCGAGATCATGCAGATCCACACTAAGAACATGAAGCTCGGCGACGACGTCGACCTCCAGGTCATTGCAGCCGAGACCCACGGTTACGTCGGTTCCGATTTGGCATCCCTCTGCTCTGAGGCTGCCATGCAGCAGATTCGTGAGAAGATGGACTTGATCGATTTGGACGAGGACACAATCGACGCTGAGGTGCTCGACTCGCTGGGTGTCACCATGGAGAACTTCCGCTTCGCCCTCGGTATCTCGAACCCCTCTGCTCTCCGTGAGGTTGCCGTTGTGGAGGTGCCCAACGTTCGATGGGAGGACATTGGTGGTCTCGAGGAGGTCAAGCGCGAGCTCATTGAGTCCGTGCAGTACCCTGTCGACCACCCGGAGAAGTTCCTCAAATTCGGCATGTCGCCCTCGCGTGGTGTGCTGTTCTACGGTCCTCCTGGTACTGGTAAGACGCTGCTCGCAAAGGCTGTTGCCAACGAGTGCGCCGCCAACTTCATCTCCGTCAAGGGTCCCGAGCTGCTCTCCATGTGGTTCGGTGAGTCTGAGAGCAACATTCGTGACATCTTCGACAAGGCGCGTGCTGCCGCACCTTGCGTCGTCTTCCTTGACGAGCTTGATTCCATCGCCAAGTCTCGTGGTGGCTCTCAGGGTGATGCCGGCGGTGCTTCCGACCGTGTTGTCAACCAGCTTCTGACCGAGATGGATGGTATGACATCGAAGAAGAACGTCTTCGTCATTGGTGCCACCAACCGACCGGAGCAGCTCGATAACGCTCTGTGCCGTCCTGGACGTCTGGACACCCTCGTCTACGTTCCTCTGCCCGACCAGGCCTCCCGTGTCAGCATCCTCAAGGCTCAGCTCCGCAAGACCCCTGTCGCTGCCGACATCGATATCGACTTCATTGCATCCAACACACACGGCTTCTCTGGTGCTGATCTTGGCTTCGTCACACAGCGTGCCGTCAAGCTCGCGATCAAGCAGTCGATTGCTCTCGACATTGAGCGCCGCAAGAAGGCTGAGGCTGAGGGTCAGGATATCGACATGGAGGACGAGGGCGAGGACGCCGTTCCTGAGCTCACCAAGGCTCACTTCGAGGAGGCCATGCGCTCTGCTCGCCGCTCCGTCACTGATGTTGAGATCCGCCGCTACGAGGCTTTCGCACAGTCGATGAAGAACTCCGGCGGCTCAAGCTTCTTCCGCTTCCCCGATGCCGAGCAGGCGTCGAATGAGCAGAACACATTCGGCAACGCTGGCGAGGACGAGGATCTGTACAACTAAGCGAGTGTTTTCTCTGGTTCACGAAGGTTCATATGGGTTCATGACTGACATCATGATCAACTTTGGCGCTTTTCATCTCTCACATGTTCACACCGAATAGATAGAGGCGACTAATTGTGTCGCTTTACGAGTATTGGTAGTATGCCATACGCATACTTGAATGAATGTACGTTCAACAAATTGTCTTTGTATGCGTGCCATCTACGCTCTACGTGGTATCTATGATCTTCGTCAAACTCCCTCCGCGACCATGCTCTAGCGATCTGTGCACTTAACGCACACGTGTCTTGCGTTTCCTCTGGTAGATGGCGTCCTGAACTGCAAACATGCACGGCAAGATCTGCTCATAACCATGATACTGACCCCAGCTAGCAGGTCGCTATCCCTTGGACCCTTCTACGTTGATTCAAACTTATCGTTCTCAAAGCCCGCGCTCATGTCCCTCACTCCATCTTAATCTCAACAACTCTCTCCAACTCCCTCCTCACAACCTTAGTCCCCTCACCCACCACCTCACTGGGTAACCTCAGGTCACCAACCTCCGTCTCTTCTCCGTCCCCGTTCACATGCCCATTCGCCCTCCCCCCATCTTTCTCTGCGCCAGCACCCTCAGCCATGCACACCTTAATCCGGTTCATCGCCAAGCTATACGCCTCATTCGCTGTTGTCGCTTGCCCCGTCCGGAATAGCTCGGTTATGTAGGCCCGTAGGCTGGCTTGGAAACCGGAGGTTTGTAGAAGTTGGGTCAAAGTGGATTCGATGGTGCGGATTCCGCCGCTGGAGAGGAGAGAGGAGTAGATGCTGTTGCGTAGGTCGCTGGGGAGGGCGGATGCCTGGGCTGGGGACATTGTTACGGACATGGTGGTGGGTGTGGTGGGTGTGGGGTTTGGTCGGAGAAGCGGTGGTGCGTCTGGACGCTGGCTTGTTGTTGGACTTCGAGTAAGAGTCCTGGCGGTGTCGCTCCACTACGTCCTCAGTGGTGACGGCGTTAACGCTCGTTCAGGCCTTGGTCCTTTGTACTAGTGGTGAAGCGACTCCTATGGTTGACCCTTGCTAGAGGTGCTTGGCGTTTGTCGTGCTGATGGATGTCCCAATCGGTGGTAGTGGTGGTAGTGGTCCTAGCTTGAGGTCCCAAGTGTTTGTTCGTGGTGCGAAGTCCGTGGGAAAGATCAATCGTACTATTCTTGGTTGACCGAGCTTTTGAGGTGGTCCACTGTTTGGTTTGACGGGCGAACGGGTTGGCGTGGTTTGGTGTCAAGCACGTGCGCCTGTGTAGTTGTCGATCAGGGTGGTACAATGGTTCGCCGAGTTTTCGATGAGTGATATATGCAGGTACCCAACTACCGATATACGGCGTTCTGGAGATCCCCCTGAAGCAAGGTGGGGAGACGACCGAGGATGCGACTACTTGGTATTTCTGTGAGGTGATGCAGCCTTGTGTGGGAAGGGATCCCGAAATAGCTTTCTGATACCGGAGGCAAGCTCCGGTGATGGAGTCGGAGATGAGATCAGAGAGGGCCAAAGCACAGCCAGTGTAAAGGAGGGTTACGACAGCAGTTGGTCGATTAAGTAGGGGTGCTCGGTATTGGGTACAGATGCAGTTTATGGGGTGTAGCTAGAGTATTGGTTCAATGAACATCAGGCGCTCGGACTTACCCGCGTCGGTGCCCTCTGCTAGCCGCCTTGCCGGCATGGGTTGGCATGGAGAAGGATGCACGCCTGGCGTGCGGCATATCAGCTTTGGAGGAGGACAGCGCTGCACCTGCACCTGCACTGCACTGCACCTCGCCCTCGCTCGCCCTCGCCATCGCAGCGATCCGGTGAAGCTTGCAATCTCTGCACCGAGCTACACTGTACCTCCACGCCGCCGCCTGCGAGCGCCCACCGCCATTAAGCACTCCGCCGTGTCCTCCCCCGCCGCGCGCTTCGCTTCCGTCTGCCAGGCCTCGCAGCACCAGCACCGCAGCGCTTCACCACCAGCTCCTTCACCTCCACCACCACCACCACTACCACCACCACTACCACCACCACCACCACCACCACTGCTATCCCCTCTCGCGGCGGCCGTGCATCTGACACAGCGCACTCCTCTGCTCGTCGCGGGCGAAACACGCCGGGCCAATCTCGCTTCGTCTCAGACAGGGAAGACATACATACGCAGCGCCCGCCCAGGCCGTCGTCGAGTCCAGCGGAGCACCCCAAGGGCCCCAAGATAACGGCGAGCTTCCCCTCCGCGAGCTCGACCGCGCCGGGTCCAGCTCTTGGCCGCACGAGCTCCTGCACCGCACCGCCGCCCTCCCGCCGACGTCATCCCCTCGCCTTCGTACAGCAGCCAGCATGGCGTACAACAACCTCTCCAAGTACCACGAGGACTCGGACGCCGACGACGAGTTTGAGCGCAGCGGCTGGCAGCAGCGCGACCAGATCCCCGTCGAGTACGAGAGCTCGCCCACCAGCTCCGGCCCGCTGAGCACCGAGCACACCCCGACCACCTTCACCCACAGCAGGGACAGCCGCATCAGCCCCACCGGCCTGATTGTCGACTGGAGCGCCGAGCAGGTTGCCGACTACATCTCCGCCCTCGGCCTCGAGCAGTATGCAGACACGTTTGTTGGTAGGTGGCATGCACGGCGATAAGGCTGAGACTGGCCAGGGCGCTAACATGGACTGTGTGCAGACGAGGGCATCACCGGCGATGTGCTGGTTTCGCTGCAGCATGCCGAGCTCAAGGAGATGGGCGTGGGCAGCGTCGGCCACCGTCTGTCCATACTCAAGGCCGTGTACGAGATCAAGGTCAGGCAGAACGTGCCCATAGAGCCGGACGACTATGTTCCGCTGTGTATGTACACCCTGCTTGTCTACCGTGTCATCAATGCTAACGACCATGGCAGCCGCCGACACATCAGCACAGGAAGCACCGCCCACACAAGACGACTTCGCCAAGGTCATTCGCGTCGTCCAGGCGCGGGACGAGCGGATACACACAGCGGAATCAGAGCTACGGCATCTGCGCGAAGATCTCAGCCGGGTCATAGACGAGAACAAGCGGTTACGAGAAGAGATCCTGCCCATCGTGCGCATGCTGAAGGAGCAGCAACAAACGCTCCCCACACTACCCACAACACACGAACACGTTACATCGCCGCCGGCCACCCAAGACAATAGGACCGGTAGCAGTCTGTCCCGTAAGTTCTCCACCAAGAAGCTTTTCCTAGGGTCAGCCCCAAAGAATCCTTCTCCAACCATCCAAGAGCACCGTGCGCTCGTCGACCACTCTTCGTTGGACCCCTCAGCAGCAGCAGTCGCAGCATCCTCACACCTCACAGCATCGCTGGGCGCAGGCGCGCAAATGTCCCCCAACTCCATTACCCAGCCCTCGCCCACCTCCCCCGCATACACCCAAGGCCGCACCCAGTACGCTCGTCCCGAGATACCACGGAGCCACCAGGACCACGACAACAACACACAAAGCTGGCCGTACTCAGACCAAGTGGCCGCCAACCGCGACCCCCGCGCAACGCCTGGCCTTCCGACTGGCCGATCGATGGGACGCTCCGCTCCCACACCCACGCCCGACGATCGAGACCGAGACCCTCCGCTGTCTGGCGGCTCCAGCACGAACAACCTACAGCCATCCTCAAGCTCCCAACAGGCACCGTCGTCGAACCCGCAAGTCGAAATCTTCAAATCCTTCCGCGTATCGATCGACGACCCCTGCCACAAAGTCCTTCCTGTGGCACTCAAGAAATACAACATCACAGCAGACTGGCGGCAGTACGCGCTGTACATTGTACACGGAGACCAGGAGCGTTGCCTGGGTCTGAATGAGCGACCTCTGATTTTGTTCAAGCAGCTAGACAAGGAAGGGCGAAAGCCCATGTTCATGCTGCGAAAGCACGCTGCGCCAGAACAAGGTCACGTCAGCACTGTTGGCGGGAATGACGTTCGAGCTGTACCTCCAAACAGCGGATTCGGGTGGGATAGCCAGAATCGCGGGACGCCGCTGCCTGGCGGTGTACTATAAGGCACGGCGATTAGCAATGGTGCCATCACACAGCGCAAAGATTCGCACATCTTGGGACTATTGGCGTGTCCTTACGCACGGAGTACGGCGCTGCCTGCAAAATCATTTACCTGGCGTTTGGGACTTGCTTCGCTTCGACATCATTACGCTTGTTCGCTTCACACCTTGCACATTACGAAAACGGATTGCCATCCTTTTGAGGACGGAAAAGTGGGAGGATGGATCTGGAGCGATACGAACATCTTGTTGTTATGTAGGACTGCTGCGCGCAGATTTAGGACTTTCACAAGCGGCAAATGTTCGCACTTCGAGTGGCCGGCTATCATATGAACGCTGTTGTTGGTTGTAAATGCGAGAAGTACATCGAGACCCCAGAGACACATGTTGACGAGTTTCAGGAGTCGCATTTGCTTACTTCCTTTCTAGTGCATCGCTGCTCTATCTCTGCGCTTTCCGATCCGATGCGCGTCCCATGTCTGCAGCATTCTAGTGCTCAGTTACCACATCTTTGCCACATCCAGGGCAGCACAAGCATTGCCACGGGCCGCGCAGGTGCAACATTACCGTGAAGCAGCACACCAACCAAAAGTCAACCAATAGACAGGCCTTTCCAGACCCGACGTTTGTGGCATCTCGCCAAGCGTCAGCGCTAATTGTTCAAATTGGGAGGCTGCGCTGACCTTCAAGCTTGAGTCCCTGTTGACGTCACCACTACTCTTTCCTTACACATTCGACATGCACTTACCGAAACTCCTTCATAAGCAAGAGAAGAAGGGCGGTACTGCTTATAGTGCAGTCGAGGTTGATGCAGACGGCTTGGATGCAAAAACAGATAAGGCTCCTACAGCTCCGGATTGGCCTGCTGAGCTTCACCGCATAGAGAATGCACCAACATGGGTAGTGGTTGACTGCCTTTTGCTCTCGTTGCCCATTTCTTTTATCGGTCTGTATTCACAACGCTAACTCAGCCCCTTTCAGCTGGCATTATTTCGTGTTGGCTATTATTGCCTGTAAGCTTGATGGTCGGGATGTCTCGCCTCATGGCAAGCATATACAGGACGCCCTCCTCATCGGCCCCATGATCTATCCTCTCGACTTCACTGCGCTTGGAGGTCGAGCTCTAAGGAAGTTTGCATTGTGGAAATCTGGCGAGGGTGCGACACTTGGAGTAAGTCAATTACTGATAGCATGACCTATGCTTACATCATGGTAGTTCTTGAAGCATATGGTCGGCAGTCAGAGCCTAGTAGCCACCGTCGGACACGCTCTCACTTTACACTCGCTGGATGTGTTGACAGTAGCCCTACTCGCGTTCTGGACTCTTTCGCCACTAGGAAGTCAGAGTGTCTTGCGCATTCTCTGTTGGTGTGCAATATCAAGACACTGACAACTATGGAATTGCAGTTGTCTCCATAGGCGTTGATGACAGCCGAGAAACTGGAATGGACACCAGAGGACGCTTGGAGTCACCCAAACATACCTCGAATCGATAACCTTGGACTAGCAAAATCGAATAACTCAACAGTATGGCCTTAGTATACGGTGAATCCCAATGGAAATTACAGCTACGCGTCTCTTGCGGGCGTTAACATTGTGAACCTCTCGGAACGCCGGCTCCACCAATTTTACCATCCCTTACGAGTACATGTACTTTGGATGCGAGCTGTCACCCAAGGACAACATCTCTAAACACTCTGCAGTTGGGACACTCTCTTCAGCAGCCTTCGGTTATAGATTACCTTCTTGAGTTGCAGAACCAGAGCAGGCTTATCAACGAGGGTTGGGACTTTTCCTTGAATGCAACCAATTATACGCTTGCGCAGTCCTTATTCAAAGACAGGAGTTTCTTCATGTACAGCAAAGTCACATGGAAGGACGTTGTGGGCTTCTCTACGGTGGTCCAGGCCAATAACATCTGCCAGTCCGATAGATGCGCAGTGGGGCGTCTGCGGTGCATGGACAGACAGGACAAGCACGGTGTTGCGATCCTCTATGGTCTCGCCCACGTTGGGCACTGGAACCATTACTTGATTCGGCGTCTCGCATCGTTGAGAGGTCAGGTCTCAACACATACGGCGTGGCAAATCCATGGGATATGTTGAGTGGATAGACCGACCCAAAATTGGACGCAATATATTGGAGTGCCACAGAAGGCGGTGGAAATGTCCCGTCGCCTAACAAAGGCTCTGAACACGTTCGTCGATTCGCCCCGTTGGCCCATGACCATTACCATGAGCGTTCGTTTTGCCAAAAGATCTCTAGACAAAGCCACCGGGCAGCCGTTAGATAATTTAACAATGAACTCGACGCAGGCCGTGGTAACGCTGTCAATACCAGTTTACCGCGTCAACGCTCCATGGGCGGCGCATCTCGTTATCTGCTCGACCATTCTGCTGGTTCTCAGTAGCTTCGGTATCTTCATCCAGTCGCGGACTGCGGTACCGGATGTCTTCAACCACGTTTCCTTGTTAACGCGCACCAACCCATATATCAATGTGCCAGCTAGAGGCTCAGGACTCGATGGAGCAGACCGTGCACGACTGTTGCGGAGAATGCGAATTCAATTAGGCGATACCGAATCTCTGTCAGAGACTGGGCATGTCGCGTTCAGAAGCGTTGCTAGTAGCGATGATTGTCGGGAAGGAAGGATTCAAAGAGAAAGGCTGTACCGCTGAGTGCGCCGTCCGCTGGCATGACAGACCTGTTGAAAGCTGCAGCAAGCGCTTGCACAAACTTTGAACTCACTGAACGGCTTCCTTGAGCAAAGTTATCTTGGATTGAACATGTCGCTCCACTCAATGTGTTGAGTAGTCGCGCCTGCCTCAAGCTGATGTACTTAGTCAGCAGTGTCGTCACCACCTTTCACACCAGGGCATCATTCTTCCTCTTCACCCTTCTTCTGCCCCTTTCCCAATTGCTGTTTCCTTAACACTCTCAACCCTGTATTACTGTCATTCTGCCGTGTCCGCGGAGGTTCCTTCAAGCTTTCAGGCCATCTCACTTCGCTAAAGAAGTCTTGATGTCATTTTCTACGACTACCAACACCAGATCAACCCTGACGTGTCTCACAGCGACCTATCAATGGAGGACTCGATATCGCGATCAATGAATACCATACCAGGGCAGGACGGCATTCTAGCGTATCATGGACGGACGCGATGTACCCCACTTTACGCTACTGCACTCTGCGCCTCGCTAATCTCGCGTGGTTCGACTGTCAGGGTGATGATACGGCATCGTTTTTCCGTGCAGGGCGTGTTCCAGGCAACTGAGCGTCTTCATAGGTGCGGTGAAGCGTGACGGTAAGGCTGAACTGTAAAATTCAAACACTGATTGGGAGCAGGGCGGCTGGGCTGATGAGTCTTGTCGTCACTGTGGACTGTACCTAGACATGAGTAATGGCAGAGTGTGAGCTGTACGCCATTATCCATGTGGTAGGGTGCAGGTAAAGAGCAAGAGCTTGGCTATAAAGTCGTGAAGCACCCTTCGCAGTACGTGGATAGCATCGGAAATTCAGACCCGTACGAACACATCACACCAGCAACATTAGCGCGACGCAGATCTTCAGTCAGGATGCACAACTTCATCTTCGCAGCAGGTTTCACGGCTTTTGCTTCAGCTCAGTCGCGCGTCGTTGAGGCACCTCCGCCACCACCAGTACTCCTCTCGACGACTAAGTCTGGTGTCCTCCCAGTCATCCCATCTGCCACTGGAACTCCCTTCGCAGGTGTCGACACACTCCAGGGTGCTATCATCTCGCCTCTCCCTCCGAACCCAAGCTACACCCCCGTCGAGGGCCCCGCACCCTCCCAGACCAACCAGCCCGCTGCCACCTATGTTGCCACACTCCCTGACTCTATGTTCAACCCTCTGGTCGGCGACACCGTCCAAGGTACTGTTGAGGCCGTCGGCACCACAGACGGTGTCCAGTTCACCGTTAACATCACCAACCTTCCCAACCAAGCCGCCTACGGGCCCTTTAACTGGCATATCCACACGCTCCCCGTCCCTGACGACGGCAACTGCACTGCTACCATGGGCCACCTGGACCCTCAGAATGCGGGCGAGCTGTACATGTGCAACACTGCCGCGCCTGAGAACTGCCAGGTTGGCGATTTGGCCGGCAAGCATGGCGGCAAGATCACGACCGAGGGAAACTTTAGTACGAGTTTTGCTGATAACTTTTTAAGTACTGAGGAGGGGAGCCCGGCGTTCTTTGGGGGATTAGCGTTTGTGCTGCACACTGGTAATACCACCAGGATTACTTGTGCGAACTTTGAGGCTCAGGGAGCTGGAAATGGTACCGGTGGTAACGGTACGAGCGGAAGCAATGCTACGGCGACTAGCACGGGTGGGGTTCCTGAATTCACTGGTGCTGCCGGTAAGCTGACTGCGGGTGTTGCTGCTATTGTTTTTGGTTTCGCTGTTGCGCTGTTGTAGACTGTGGGCGCGATCTAGCTGTAGCTGTACACAATGCCTAATATCTTAATGATATGATGCATCCTAAGCATGATCACTCCATCCAAACATCTTATTGATCACTCAAAATGCGACAGTCAAGACTGGAGCTCAGGTATCAATGGTTCTCAGCCCCTGTGTAGAACCCTGGAGGCCTTCAAGTCATTTACCCAAGTAATGGTAGATAGGTATCTTCTGGTAGCGAGACTTGTCGTCCATATCACAGTTCACATACAACCAAGGCACACAAAGATTACCAATATCCAAAATCGAATTTCCGTACATATCCTTAAAGAAAGAAAAAAGTCAAGCAAAACCCTTCTGCCCGGCCATCTCTAGGTGAGGCCAGGCAACCGGATTCGTTAAAGCAAGGCATATCCAAGCCCAAAAACTTTTATTCCCCTCGAAAGGTTCCAAGAGAGAAAAAGAAAAGGAAAAGAGAGCGTCTACTCAACGCGAACCATCTTGGTAACGACGTTAGTCACCGTCTTGGTCGCAGAGACAGTCGTAGTCGCAGTGACCGTGACCCTCTTGTTGGGCGAAATGAGGCGGTTGTATGCTATTCGACGTATTAGCACCATTCACTCCACCTACACATATCCACCTCCACCAACATCAAGACCAAAACATGAAGGGGAAGGGGAATGGGGAGCAGAAACGACTATAGAGGAACGACTTTAGGGGTTGGGGTCGTACCGTTGCTGCCACGCATCAACACCTCGAACCTGTCGCCCTCGGCATCAGCAGGGCCGCGCTGCTGCCCGTGGTTGGTCGCCTGGGCGGCGCTCATGGGCGCGTTGAAGAGCGCGCAGCGGACCACGATGTTGGCCTCGGGGTTGGGGCACGCGGGGCCGGGGGCCAGAGAGGGGTGGCGCTGGAAGTAGATGTTGACTGTGCCGCGAATTAGCTTGGTCTTGTTTCCAAATTTATGCGGGTGCGTCATGATGGAGAGAGAAGGAGGTGGGTGTAGTGACCAAGTGTCACCATGTGTGATGGAAGAGCAGCAATACAAAGGAATAGGAAAGCAAAAAACATACACGAAGCGCACCCCCCCGTCAGATCACACTCCCTCGCACAAGCACCAACATCATACCCCTTCAACTCCTTGTACGCCACATACGCATCGTCATCGTGCAAAGCAGCATTCCCAGCAACCAGGAAGTTCTCGTAGTTGCCGGGGTGCTCAGCTACAGTGCTGTTGGCCACCACGTCGTAGTAGTTGAAGGAGGCGAAGGCCTCCGGGGTGTTGGGCGTCGGTGTTGGAGCAACACCGCGGCGGAGGGGACGGCAGTCACCGCTGGTGGCGGCGAGGGCTGGGGCTGCGAGGGTTGCGAGGAAGAGAAGAGGGGTGAACATCTTGAAGCTTGATGGCAATATACTTCAGATATGTAGATTTGGTGAAGGTGTGAACGGGGAAGGGGACCTGGCGGATGGGTGCGATTTATACTGCTTGTTCATTGCCAAGATGTCTTGATGCCGGAGTGTAGAGTTTTTGCGTACCCCTCTTCGTACGCGTAACAATATCTTGTTACCTTGGGATGCCGGCAGACATGATAGACGTGGACAGATTGCTCGAACTCGCTACCGTACTCTGGGCCGGGCTGAGTGGACAATAAACCGCTGAACACTAGGATGTTCACCAAGGGTGCAGTCTGGACATTCGTGATATTAAACTGTACCATCCTGGAATCTACAATGTTTGAAACTTGGTCGTCGTCAAGTAGGCCTATGGAGGAGCAACGTCCGTGTACTGAGGGGTGGAGGCTCTTCCAGACCCTGCATGAGGGCTCATGTCAGTGGTAATCCCACCTTTATAGTCGCCAGGGTCTGAAATCCTTTCCACCTTAGGCTATACATGGGTACCTGAGAGGCATTCAATAGGTCGATCCAGGTCACAGAAAGTGGAGAGGGCGGACAATAGAGCACTATGCCGCGGCGCTGGGTCCTGGGCGGAGGTACAATTTTACGAGAATGCAGTCCCGAAATTGGAGCACTGCCAATGCTTGGAAGACTTCCAGGGTCGCGCAGAGAGGACCGGCGTGAAGGTGCAAGATTTTGGACCCTTGTACCGCAGATGCTGTGAAGATCTCTCGGTTATCGTGTGAAGCTCAGACGCTGCAAGAATCTCAATTCAAAGCGACGGGGATGAGTGCTGAAAGATCATCAAGATATCAAAATCTATGAATCGTTACATCAGCCAGAGGCGACCATCTGAGACGAGCTTACGAGGTACCGAGAACCTCCAAGCTCATGCCTGGCAGACCTAGTATCCACCACCATACGCCGGCTGCAGTCCATACGGTGTACCACTAACATGGTCAACCCCCTTGTCACCAAGGTAATCACCAAGCGCCTTCTCCAGCCTATCCACAATCTCTTGGTCAACCTTACTCCACACCTTGATAGCCTCCCTCTGCACCTGCGGCAGCGCTTTCTTCATATGCCCACTGAGGTTCGAAATAAAGATCTCGTCCTGCTTCCACTCCTTGAATAGCTTCCACAGATCGCGGGGCTGCTCGAAATCTTCGTCGGTGACTTCGGATGTGTAGTTGGCTACTGAACCAATCCACTCGTCGTGTGCGACGTCGGTGGGGCCGCCGGAGTTGACCTTGCGGAAGGACGAGCGGACGTAGTCGGGGTCGGCCCCGTAGTTGCCATCGATGCGCATTGGGCCGTCACGCTGATAGGGTGAGTACACGTACTTTGCGCGGTTGCAGGGGAGTTGTTGGTAGTTTGGTCCGACGCGGTAGCGGGCGGCGTCGGGGTAACTGAACATGCGGGCTTGCAGCATGATGTCGGCTGAGGGACCGATGCCAGGGACCATGGTGCTGGGTGAGAAGGCGGCCTGCTCTATGTCTTGGAAGTAGTTGGCAGGGTTCTTGTTCAGAGTGAGCTTGCCAACAGGCTGGAGAGGGAAGTCCTTGTGTGGCCAGATTCGAGTGTCGTCGAAGATGTTCCAGCGGTAGGTTTCGGCTTCCTTGGGATCCATGACTTGGATCATGAGCGTCCAGGTAGGGTAGTCACCCTTCTCGATGGCGTTGTACATATCTTTGACGTGGTAGTCAGGCTCCTCTCCAGCAAGGCGTACGGCGTCATCCGACTTCATTGTGATGTTGCCGCCATCAGGCTTGAAGTGCAGCTTAACGTACTTGAAGGTGCCATCCTCAGGCTTGCCAAATTTGTAGGTGTGAACTCCATAGCCATTGACATTCCTCAAACTCTCAGGTACACCTCGTTGGCCGAACAATTGCATCAAGCAGTGTGTTCCTTCTTGATTGTTGTTGTGAAAATCCCAGAACATGCTCGAGTCAGGAACATGTGTTTGAGGGTGGTTCTGATGCGAACGGTTCAACGAAGGGAACTTGACAGGGTCCCTGATAAAGAAGACAGGCAAGTCGTTGCCGACAAAGTCCCAGTTGCCCTCATCGGTGAAGAACTTCAGTGCAAAACCTCGGATATCGCGGACTGTGTCTGAGGATCCCTTGGCGCCAGCAACAGTAGAAATTCGTGCTAGGACCTTAGTCTTCTTACCCACTTCACTGAAGAGGTTGGCCGATGTGATGTTGGTTATGTCGTGTGTAACCTCAAATTCTCCCCATGCTCCAGCGGCCTTCGCATGGACGACTCTGGACTATATAAGTATGAAGTCTGAGATGTTGGAAAGAGTGCATACCGTTCAGGTATCCTCTCGCGAGGGAAGTGTGCGAGTGTTTCAATGAGCTGTGTGTCTGACAGAAGTGCAAGACCTCCGCCTTTCAGCGGATTGCCTCGCAGGATGGTCTGTGAAGTTGGGTCTCCTGCTGGCCTTCCCTCAGCCAGGGTGTAGACGGGCTTGTCGTTGTTTTGCTGTTACGAGTCAGTCAGTAACATAGTTAGATATGGGAAAGCGGTCACATACTGGTGCCATATTGATGGATCTGATCGCTGAATGCTAATGAGTACGCGGAGATTAGACGACATACTGCAAGGGGTGCAGGCGATTTTATCCTCAGCACGCATGCGCGTATGCGCACGCATTTTACGATGAAGTCATTCTCAACGCGTGCTCGAAACATCCACCAGCTACCCTTGTTGTTTGCTCTGTATTTGTTGCGTCATCGTGACTGAGCATAGTTAAAGTCGTACTCGTTTTGCTTATCCCGCGAATCACTTCAGTGTGGGCCCTCCAACTTTTGATGCGGAGGCCGCGGATACAGCGTTTTATAAGCCGTTGTCGACCGTTGAGGCTCGACCGCCCGAAGAATCTGGCCAGCAAACGTGCGCACTGGGATCTTGTACGAACACGTTAACGGACGAGTGGGGATGGCAATTGACAAGTGCGCGATGGATGATGTTGATGTTGCGCGGATGCAGCTGACTGATGAGGCGATGACGATTACTTTTGCTTTGATAGGCGGAGATGGTCCGGCAGGAAGCGGCGATCGTTCGGCAGTTCCTGCCTCACATTTACCATCACCTTGCAAGGTAGCCACGATGGTAACAAACGGAGTCGATATGCCGCTACTCAAATGCGAGAACTTATAAGACTTCAATACCGTTTAACCTCTCGCCAAGTTGAGAATCTCTAGGACTTGATCCTTGTTGCCAACCAGACCCTCCTGAGCTCCGAACACATCTGTCAGGGTGCTCTCAGCGACCTTCTCAAGATCTTCATCTTTGACTACGCCCACTTCCTTCAGCGTGTGTGGTAGCTCCAGCATCTTAACAAAATTCTCTACCGCATCAGCAAGGCTTGTCTCTTCTGTCTTCAGCACCTTGTTCCAAATGTCCAGTACCTTCTTCTGGACCTCCTTCTGTCTTTCGCTTCCTTCGTATGTGTACCGCAGTACAGGTGCCAACATTATGCAAGATGTGACACCGTGCATCACGCCACAGATGCTGCCGAGCTGATGACCGATTGCGTGCGATGGGCCCATAGGTATGCTCCAGAGCAGCAAGCCCATCATAGCGTTCCTGCTCCCAAGCTGGCATTGACTGATACCATCTACGAGTTCGTCGTGGTCGTCTTGACTTTCGCCGTCCTTGTAGTCTTTCAGACCCTTGAGAAGGATGGCGAGGGCGTCTTCCATGTGATGGAAAGCATCGGTCTTGCACTGATCATTTAGCATCGTCTCCACACAATGGTCGACAGCTCGCATGCCAGATGAGAGCCAGAGCTTCCTGGGTGAGGTTGAAGCGACCTCAGGATCGAGAAGGATGAGGTCAGGTGCAGCATTTGGACTGGCGAAGTGCTGCTTTTTCTGTGTTGTAGGGCTGGTTGCTGACGATTTGTTGTTCCATTCACTTGCACTCAGACTGGTGGGAACGAGTATGAGCCGTATCTTGGGGTCTTTGAGGTCGTCTACTGTGCCCTTCTCTTGATTCACGAGAGCTTCCATAGCTTCCGTTGTAAGGTTTTCAGGGCTGAGGTTCGTCTGCATCAGGCGAGCGATTTTGCAAGCGTCCGAGTAGCTGCTGCTTCCAATGCTGAGTAAACAGTCCGCTTCTCTCTCGTTCAGGAGTCTTGCAATTTCGAGTACATCTTCGTACGGTGAGTGTGCACCAACGCCGGCTTTCTTGCCAACAACGAAGTGTCCGAGCTTTTCCTTGAGCTTCTTCACAACGTCTGTGTTAGCATCAAGTGCCTTCGAGTAGACAAGAACCACCCGTTGGCAGCTCCATTCCCCTATCGCATGGATGATATCTTCGATGTAGTTGGATCTCAGGATCGCATTGTGCCCTTTGCGTGCCAGGATAGGAAGTTGCTGGATCGTTCGTTTGCCGCGTTGCGAAGTGTACATTGTGGCTTAACTTGTGTAGCGAGATTCCTTTTTTTTTGGATTCGATAAGTACCGAAGAATGCAAATGGAGGCTGCTTCAGAGACCGGGTTATCATGCACATAAGTGGTGTGCTGCGAGTCATCCCTATGACGCAATTTGAACCTCATTTTCTGTAACTTGGGTAGAAAACAGGACTATCCGCAGACCTTATCAGCAAAATCGTGATCAAACACTGGAAGGTTCGTGTCGTGATAGAGGAAGATAATGTCGTGCAGCCGGGAGTACAACGTGGTAAATATTACCGGTACATGATGTTTCTAGGGGTGTGCGCTACGGTGTAACGGTCGGTTGATCAGGGTCTCGGTTCGGTTCACTCCGAGGTACACGTATTTGTTAGTTGTTGTTGATAAGAGAGTGGGTTATTACGGTACGAAGTGTCGTCTTGAACAACACTGTAACGGAAGAGATGATGAGCGTGTGAATGCTTGCGCGGGTCACCATGGGAAGGCTTGTGGCCTCGCTGCTGTTTCCAATCATTGCAGCAGTCACGCATGTATTACCTCTCTATGTATATGTTAAATCTGAACAAGACCCAAGGGTGGAAATCAGTAGTGTGGAGTAGTCCTACATCCAGAAGTAAAATAACGCCACAGTAGATGGGATCGTGGAGAGTCTGAGAGGTCGCAGGCGTTAGATGCAAGCCAGCAGCTTCACAATGATGCCCAGGCAGGAGCAGGAGCCCTAGCGTCGCCCCGCATCTCTTGGAGGCTGGCGCCGCTGTCACTCTCTTCGGTTTCATCCGTCGTGATCGACATCCTCCAAGCTGAAGCCGAAGCGTGATCCTTTCGTGCGGGGGTTGGTGTTTGCTTTTGGCGGGGTCTGCTGCAGGGGGCCCCTCTCCGTCTGCGGGGCGCGTTCCGGGCAAAGGATGAAGCTGTACTGAAGACGTGCTTGAGTACCTTCTTAAGCATCACGAAACCCCCAGTTTCTCTCTTTGAGCGCTTTTATCTATCCATTAAGCTTTGTAAGTTAGTTGCCCAAGATGTCGCTGCCCGAAGGTGTCCTAAAGAACCTCAGGAAGACGGCCGACGATGGATGCGCCGACCCCAAATCCAATATTCCAGGAGCCAGTGTTGTTGCAGTTGGCAGAGATAGCAAAGAGTTGTTTGCGCATGCTGTGTGCTAGCGAGGTGCCAATTCTTCTGAGTCCATGACGCTGGACAATGTGTTCTGGATCGCGTCGTACACGAAGATGATCGCCGGCCTGGCATGCATGCAGCTGGTGGAACAGGGCAAGCCGCATCTGGACAATGGAGACGAGATTGAGAGATTGAGAGATTGAATCCAGAATTCAAGGACTTACAGGTCCTGCAGAAAGATGGGAATCTTGTGGACAAGAACAAGAAAATCACCCTGAGGATGCTGCTTACCCACATGGGTACGTGGAAACAAAAAGGTTCTCGACTGAGTCGAAAACTGACCAGTATCAGCTGGCTTTGGTTATACGTTCTTCAATGAATGGCCCCGGGACTTCTCCCACCCAATTGGGTTCGATGATGTAACGGTGTATAAAGCCTTCTGAACTCTAGGGTTAAGAAGGTCGGCCTTTTTGACCGCGACAGATGAGTTCTCCAGCCACATCAAAGACATCTTGCAGCCGTTGGTGTTCTAACAAGGAAAGGGCTGGGAGTACGGTGTCAAACATTGACTTTCGCTGGTATTGCCCTTGAGCGTGCGACCGGGCTATCATTGGACGACTAATATCTTTTAGCCGTTGGGATTCCCGACAGCTGAGATGAAGAAGCAGCTTGCGTACATAAACCAACGCAACAAATATGGTTCACTTATCGCTCGCGATCATTTACTGCGCAAGCCCTTAGTCGTGAAGCCTTCTGAAGTGAAGGATGTCTTAAACAGTGGTGGTGCGGGCTGTTTCGCAAAGCCTTCGGACTACGCGTGTAAGTCGTCCGATGTTCGGTTGGCTCGGAGCAAGCTCGCTGACAATATGCAGAAATCATCGCAACGCTCCTGGACGATGGCACATCACCAACAACCGGTGCGAAAATACTTGATAAGGCCAAAGTAGACACGATGTTCACCAACCAGGTCGAAAAGTTCCCCGACTTCGCTCGTCAAGGCATACCGGCTGCCAAACCCGATCTCACAAATGCTGTTCCCGAGATGTACCTAGTCGAGGGGAACCCACCTCAAGGTTGGGGCCTGACATTTATGTTATCGAATGGAGGTCCGACCGAAAGATCAAAGAGCACTGGGTTCTGGGCTGCATTACCGAATTGCTGGTAGTGGGGTGATCGTGAGAAGGGAGTCGGTGGTATCGTCTGTACCCAAACACTACCTTTTGCTGACGCCAAAGTGCTCGGCCTGTTGTTCAATGTTGAAGGGCAGGTGTATCAGGCTCTTGGTGCCTGAGTTCGAGCAATATTGATATGTCGATACAGCATGGAAAGTGCATAAAGCATACTTATTAGCGGTAGTTCCTAGCACATGCGTGTTGCGTCCAAGCGTTGTTTTGCCGAGCTCTGAGTGGTTGATAAAGCCCAGCGAAGAGGGTCTCGGTGCCACTCTGCACTCGATTCTTATCAGGTCTGCCTGATCGCCCCAAAAAGAAGCTTTGGGCTGATCGAGCTAAGAATGATGGATTCGTCCGGAGCCTTGAGCCCACATAATTATCGCGAACAGGTTTTATAAGGCGCACGGACAACAGCCGGGTGACAGCTATCAACATGAACACTCAAAGAGCCAATCAGTACGAGATTCCTCGGCATTTCACCACGCGAAGAGCCGTAGAATGCGTAGAAGATTTGCTTAGCCGCGCACTAGCTTTCCCCGCAAATCCCGATCAGGACATCGACCCACCAAGACTGAACCTCGTAAGCTGCTCACGCGGGGTTGTGCAGGAGAAGTGTCAGCGACGTGGAAGCTATTTTCGCTCCTCTGCACGCCGCTTCACTTTCTCTTTCCTAATTCCGACGTCCTGTCCGATGTAAAGCTATGAATTTTGTTGATGTACAGCCAAAGTCGTTCCTTGATTATGCATGGACATCGCCCACGCCTCCGGCGATGAGTGCCCCAAACCCTTCGAAGACAAGCAGGAAGCAGAATCGGTGTTGTGATCAATGTCGGAAGGGCAAGCGAGCGTGCGACGCGGCGATACTGGAAGACTCGTTGCTAGACGCGAGCAAATCGGGAGACCATCCGAGTGTCTTCCATTACAGTGGTGAGCTGCATTCGCTCTAAGAGCGGCACAGCCGACGATTGACAATGCAGATGTCTATGGACCATTAGCTGCCTGTGGAAACTGTGAGAAGACGAAAAAGAGTTGTACATTCGAATGGCTTCGCTCGCAGAGGGTGTCACAGGCAACACAGGCTCCGCCAAATCCGGTCCCACCGGCGAAACGTCGCCGAACGGACAGCAATGCAGCAATCCCGCTTCGAAACACCAATGGATCATCAAGGCAGGTTCAAATTGGAAAGCCGATATGTCGATCAGATATCACAGGGAGTGGGAGCTTGATGAGCCCAGCCCAACTAGGGGTCACATTTGGCGACTTCCCGGGAGTGCCGGCACTTCAGATGGACTCTTCGACAAATGCATTTCGGTCAATACCGGCTCTGTGGTATGATAGCATCGATATGTCTGCGAAGGAGCAACTTGGCCATTTCAGCGATGTATTCGAAGACGGGGCTAGCCAATTGACGTGTGATTCCGGTCAAGGCTCATCCCTCGAAACACCACCTGGAAGCGTGAAAGACACAATAGAGGAGAGAGGTCATCGCCCAAGTAATGGCGACGCCGTGGATGATGGCGAGACTGCACCGAAAGTGGACGGCGCTATAATGCGCGCTGGGCGAAAACGACGGCGCCGTAGCTCGTCGGTGTCACTCTCAAATGGTGCGCTTCCTTGCCCAGCCATATCATTTGCAGCCGAGTTTGTTTCGTCTGCAAACAAAGCGTTTTTGAGGGAGGGGTTACTGAAGATATATCACGACAGCTTCGAGAACGCGCTTTCATGCTGGTTGACCGAGCGGACTTGCCCTTACACCGCAAAAGCAGACATATCGTTAACAAACGACGGTAGACCTGATTGGAACCGCATGTACCACCGCGTCTTTCGACTTGATCGTTTGGCTTCCTCGATTCGAGGGCGACAACTTACCTTTCAGGAGGACAAAGCAGTTGGCAAAGCTCTCAATTCTGCGATATTCTCGTTCGCCACACAGTGGGCTCAATCATCGGAAAGGAGCAGAGCCAAGTACCCCTTCGACCATGGCGCAAACTCAGAAGGTTTTACGAGTCAGAGTGCCGATATGTCTTTGAGTGGCATCGAGTTTGACCGGACACTGCAAATCACCGCATGGAACGAAGCACGCGTGGCTTTACAGGATGCCGGAGATATCGAGTCATTCAGATTGGTGCTCGCGCAAATAGTCTTCTCTCTGACCCAGCGACGAAACGACCCGGACACTGAACTTGGAATGGCATCTGACCAGGTCGAACTAGAAAGATCGGCGTTCAATATTGGTGATGCAGGAGTGGAGGAATATGAGGACCTAATGGCGAGGCTCAACCTCGCAATCGATGCTGAGGACCCTCCCGTGCATTTGGAGAAAGGTGTTCGGCTGATACACTCCCTGAGATCACGAATGACGATGCGTGCAGGTACACCGCTGCTCAAGCCACGAGCCAACCGACGTGGTAAACAGTATAGGCCGGCCGCAAATCGTGTCGATGCTGCCGATCGTGCCACAGTCGATCTGTTATTCTGGCTCGGAGTTATGTTCGACACTTTGTCTTCAGCGATGCACAAGCGACCACTAGTGTTGTCCGACGAGGACAGTAATGTCTACGCCAACGAGCCAAGGACAACAGCGGATCAGATGCAGCGCGATGTCGGATCAATCGTACCCAGAAGTACCGAGGGCGTCTGGGATATCCACCTTTTCGCCCATCAGCGTACTCGGCTGCAACAGAAGCTTGTCCGGTGGCCATGCTCGTTCGAGCAGGCTGCTGCTCTTCTGTGTGATGCGGCACCGGTGAAGGTTCTTCTCTTTCGCAAAGTTACACGAATACAGACGCTCCTTTCTCGCAGCTGTCATGGTGAAAGAGTCGAACGCTCCATCAAAGCTGCTCTCAGTGTATGCGAACATTGGGAGAGACTTTACGCTCCATTCATCCGAGATTGTGTCCAGTATCATGACACCTTGCCACCTCGCATTCAATCGTGGTATATCTGTTTGACTGGGCATTGGCATCTTGCCACGTTGCTCTTAGCAGACCTCATCGAGATTGTGGACGATTCGGAGTTCGGCCTGGAAACTCAGCAGATGCTCCGTACTTCGACTGATTTTGTGGCTTGCTTTCGAAAGAGCAACTGCCAAGCTCTTTCAGATTTGGCCCGATGTTCGTGTCCGCGAGAGAATGCTTCGTTTGCGCAATCACGAGACTTTCACTTCGCCGTCAATCAGGGGGCCTTATTGACAGAGCCTTGGACTGCAGTGTTGATTCGTGCATTTGCCAAAGCTGGAGTGGTGTTACTTGAGACCGGGCATATGCTGCCTTCGTTCTCCGTTGATGGTAGTTCCGGAGCGGAAGAGGCGTTTCAGCGGGCAGAGGATTGCGTCCAAGCCTTGTGGTACCTAGGACGAAAATCTGACATGGCTCTTTCGGCGGCGAAGATATTGGGCGACGCATTGAAACAAAAGCGTAAGGGCGCCGAAGAAAAATTGAAGGAGATGAGTTCTTATCTCGAAGTCGAGATGTGGCAGGGCTTCGATCAGTTGGATAAGTCAGCTGCGTGGGACTGTTCCATGTAGTATCGTAGGACTGTACAGTAGTTTCCTAAACATGGATGCGCTGTTCATACAATCGAAGCTCTGAACGCAACAGCTGTACGCGTCGCTGCTCATTAGGGAAACAAAGTGCCAAGCCGCTAGGTAGCTCTCTAGCTTCACGCCACTTTTCTGTCAGGAGCGACCGTTCACCTTGTCCCTTACCTATATGCCTACTCCTTATCGGAAAATAGATACTTGGCCCTGCAACAATGAGAAAGCATCGGTTGTAAGACAAGTGAGCGATGTATCTGGGGGGATTGTGTCGCTGGAAGTTCGACGACCTTGCCTTGTTTCGATATCCTACGCGAACACGGGAAATCGCGCTAAGTCGCGTCCAGCCACAACGGTTCTAACTGGCATTCTCCATACGTCATGGGTCCCCCTGAGTACGGTGTCCCGTTGGGCTCCATAATGTATGCTAACCTGCTTAAGGCTCTGGGATACTCTCCGGTACTTTGAGGAAGTCAAGCCTATTGCTCAATACGCGGAGGAACATTACAAAGAACAAGGCAGAGCTCTCCGAATTGCTGTTGATGATGCTGATTGGCGATTCAACAACCTGGTCATGGCGCAGGTGTATGCCATCCACAGTACGTGTTTGAGAACTCCAGACATCGCCATACTAATCCTCGCAGTCTCCAACGACGCTGCCTTCCAAGGTATCGAAAAAGCCATGTTTTGCCGCATTTCTAAGCTCCTGAATCTCAACATACAACTGATCTTTGTATTTGACGGTCTTGGGGTTCCCGCTAGGTCATACCTGCCAACTTCCCCGATTACAAGATCCTGCAGAAGTACTATAGACCAAAGATTACAAGCGATGAACTCTTGGTGGCGAAAAAGTCGCTCGACTTGAATGCTCCACGACCTGTCGATGAGCAAAAGCTGTTCGATGTCACGAGTAGCCGCTTTAACATTTGGGGAAGACCGTACATGGACTGGGTGGGCTCAGTGCTATTCACACGGTCATTGTTGCAGAGGAACAGCTCTCATTCGAGGGGGCTGTGCATGACATCAAGCTCACGAAGCAGCGCGCAAGCAAAAGTGAAGCAGTCATGGCGTTGCGTTCTCTGGAACGCAGAATCACGTTTTCCCCCTTTGGCGTTATCGCCTTGCAAAGGGAAGACTTCGAGGGCGGGGAGCGCGAGGTAATGTGGAATGGTAAAAGAGATGTGCCGCTTGACCCAACCCACCGAGTTAAGTGCGATTACTTTCCGGCATTCTGACTTCAGCAAGTCATTCCCAGGACATCCTTGATCCACTTCCTCCAGCACCAAAGCAGAAGACTTCGAAGCGCAACGAGCAGTCAGGCATTGGCGTCGATACTGAAACGTCAACGTCACCTGCAAACAAGAAAACAGAAGTCACAGAAACGTGGCCAGGTGGCACAAGCGTCACATAATCCTCAATTAATGAGCCAGGGTCCGGGAGGTCACAAACAGCAGCAGTTGATGAACATTCATCGCAAGCCGATAAATCGAAGTCGAACGGCAAGTGCAACAACAAGGTGAACCGCTCAACGCCTTCAAAGACCACATGCCCGACAGCAAGCAACGACCAAATTTTGCGAAGTCATCGATCTATCAAACTTGAATGAGAATTTGATCTTATGCCTTCCTCCTGTACGGCAGTCCAAGGGGCTGTCGTCATCACTGGAATCGCTGTCCAATGTAGTGGATCTTGACTCACCAGTGTCATTAGCGAACGAAAGCTAAGACTCAGCTCGTGCAATTCGTCTGAGCATGCAATCACCACGTTCAGATTGCAAGGCAGCACATAGTACTACAGTGTTGAGAGGCTGAAGCATGCCACACACACCACAGGCTACTCAGAAACGACTCAGTATCGTCTGCCACAAGAACGGCTCCTTCGCGACCACTGACAAAGCAGTCAGTGCAAACACAAACGATGTCGCCGTTGCGAGCGAGCTTGATCAGCTTCGTGCTGCTCGGCTCAAGCACTTTGCCTCGAGCCCTGTTCCTACGCCCTGAATAGTCATGTCAAACATGAATCCAGCCCTATCAGGAGTTGCAGCTACCGCTGATTGCATCGATCTGACAAGTGACTGAGCTACCGGGTCTCCATGCATTGCTCGACCACATGGACTTGCGAAATGGCTTCACCACACGCCATAGTAGTGTAAGGTCTTTCACGATTCATGTAAAAGTCCAGGAGCTATTATGCCTACATGAACTTTCACTGTCCACCGGAGAGGTGCAGCGCTTGCAGTCATCTCTATTCACGAATAGTCGTCCCGAGGTCAATACACGCCACAAATGCAATCAACCATAACAGACAGTCTACACAATGACGACAGGAATCATCCTCCAACAAGACTTCGTCGACGACATGCTGATGGTACTTCCAGCGGCCACTCGAACGCCAAGCGCAATCGCATGTTGTCTCTGTTATGAAGAGTACGGCAATATCGTTCTGACTAACGAAGCGGACACGAAGTCCTGGCGCGACCTTCCCTACCACGACACTTTCGCACCGGATTTGGTTGAACCTATCGCCACTCCTTGTGACTATTACTTCTGTATTCTCTGCATCGGCAAGTGGCTACTGAAAAAGCAGACGTGTCCAATGTGTCGCACTCCGGTCAACCCTCCAGATCGCGCATATGGAGCTGATGACTGCGATGAAGTGTCGTCCGCTCGACCCGAAGGCCTTATGCATACCTATCGAATCTCGGAATCGCGAGCTGCAGAGATCTACGATATAATACGACTTAACACGTGTCGGCTCCTTACCACGGATGCGCTAATGCCAGTGATTTGGTCGCCTGAGAATCTGGTTTTTAACCTTCCCGAGCTGATGGTCACGATAGCCTGACATTTCTACTACAATCTACTGGGCGACCAGTCCCATCAGATATGTCGTCCATCAAGCGAAGCACCCACATGACCCACTTCTCTGGCTTCTGGAACCGGCGGGACCTTGAGTATCTTGCACGAGCAGATGCTCCGTTAGCTCAGCATCCTGATGCGTACGAGCTGCACGTATTCTCCTGCATGAACATGCCCCATCTCAAAACCTTCATGGCTGATGAGTATGGTGTCTCTCCTGACTGAATGAACATAACAGGAATCGTATTCTCCTTGGTGAAGCAGAAGATGCCTGATCTCATGGGGGCGTCTCAAGTCACGCCTGGGATGCGTATGTATACTGCGTTCTTCACACACTGTTCATCTGGCAGGCATACTGCTGGCGAATCCAGGTTCTCTTTGACTCGGATTCGGCCAACTCCGATGTCTAGAGTCAGTACGACGACACTGGCAGTTGGAAGGCATGACGCAATAGTCGCGTGGCTACAAACGCATCAATTGAGGCAACAACGTGAATGGCTGGGTTTGTGGTGAGCCGTCAGCCCTTCAGAAAAGCCTTATTGACAAGCGATTTTCATTTTTGTTATACAGTCATCGATCGAGGATACAGAGCTGCTGCACAACTTTGTTCCGTCTCTGCCATCCCACCTCCCTTCGAATGACAATTCTAACTTTAGTCCGTTCATTCTCAATGTATCCACGAGTCTCATGACCCGGAAGACAAATCCCGCAGCATGATCTAATAACTCCTCGTACTCTTCATCGTCAGAAAAATCCTGCGCCAAGTCTATGTGAATATCAACTGTCGTGCATGGAACTTGAAGACCGGCAAGAGACTCCAGAGCTTTGAGACATCTTGTCTCTTCGTCGTCTTTCCACTTGGGTTCCCGTAATTGAGTGTATTTGAAGGGCCGAATTTGCAAGTGCAATCGGCGAACGTGGTCGGCTGGACGTATGGCGAGACCAAAGCTGTCAGTCTCGAGGAACGATCGTAGCAACCCAAGCTCTTCGTGAACAAACTTGAAGGTACGCGTCCTGTAGTACGTATCGAGTACCTCTCTGGCAGCATTCATTCCGATCCGATCTGGGCCTAACTGCAGGAGAATTGGGTCCTCGGCCCATTGGTATGATTGTGTGCCGATCGACTGCCGCACAAGTAGGGCCAGCTTGCTCCCAGTCGAATGGCGGACGACAACCTCGTTGTCGTAAGAGCCTTGCACACAGAAAGTATGTATGTGGTGGCGAAGCTCCCAGGGCAAATATGAATACATCCTCAGAGCCGATTGCTCCTGTTCAAGTCTCGGTCTGTCTCTCCCAAAACTGCTACGAATCGTTTAGTACCAAGCGCAACGTTTGAGTCGAACACTAGCTTACTGGTTTGCAGGCCGCGATTCTTGGTGTGTAGTTGCATGATCGTAATTGTATGCCCCCATTTTTCGACTATAAGACCTTGCGCGACCGCTCCAAGATTATCAGGACGGCTCTGCCTCGATATAAATCACCGCGCAATGTCTCAAACTCGAGCCCACGCCCAGATATGCTTTGCGAACAGCGCGTGAGCACTATGCTGCAACGAAACTATTTTCGCGAGCAGTTCTCGCGCACCAGTCCCAATGGGGTAAATTGGAGGACCCGGCGTGTCAGACACGGCACGCCACTACGCAGGAGCCCCACGAATCATCGAATCGCACGTGAGATCTATTCCTGAATTGTCAACTGTCGGGAAGCGTGGACAGTGCGCATATGGGAAGAATTGACGGATTGAACTGAGGTTGTATTGGGTGAAGCTACGGACAGTATGTATAGGTGAGTAGCTGTAAACAACGCTAGTGTGACGTGGCAGTCACTCTCATGGCAGGTGAGGTTCGACAGGCAAGAGCACCCTGAACCGTGACATCAACTGATAGACATTTCCCTCACTATCACCTTCTTAGTCCTCCAATGAGAGGATCCTATGTCTGGTACCTGTAACTACGTGGCTGAAGTCACATGATATTCTGTTGTAGAAGGCACTGCCCAAGAGCAATTGCACTTGCCTCTGAGCGGAGAACTCCTTTACAAGAACATCACCGAACAACAACACAGATAGCAATACAATCATTTATCACAGCCTCCGACCAATACTGCTCATGCAGTTACAGTTATGAGCCCGGCTGTTGACTTCAACCGCTGTATTCGCTACTGCATGCTGATGAGCTATTGACTGCTGTCAATAGAGCTACGTCATCAAACCGCTACCTTTACCTACTGAGAGTCTAGAGCGCACTGTCCCGTACCAGAGTCAACCTGAGAGCCGATGAGCCTGATTCAGGATGGCTACTACTGAGCTGGATGGACTGATTACAAGGACGACGATAATACTTGAGAAGCCTGCAGACTGGGGGGAATGAATCTTCCTACGAAAGGATAGCACAGACAGGCATCAACTGTGGTCAATGATCAATCCAGACCTTGACAAGACGGTCCTTGAGAAGCTTGAGGAGCCAGCAGCTGTTGAGCCGGAGCAATACCATGATGAGACAGAGGAGGATACTGGCATTGTGCTCAGGGATATGATAACTGAGGAGTTCCAGCGATACCAGCATGCAGAGAGGAACTACGATTGAGCACTGGCCAGATACACAATCAAGAGAAAAGCATTGAACAACTTTACTCGAAGATTGGCCGAATGATCAGCCGCCAACACATACATCTCATCCAGAGCGACAATACTGCGTACGCTCGACTGAAGAAGCTGAAGAAGCACCTCTGCCCATCAACAGCTGAGAGAGAGCTGCAGCTGATAGCCAAGTATTGTCAATTGCAGAGTCGACCACGAAACAACATTGACAGCTGGCTTGAGGAGTGGCTACATGTTGTACGGCAGTGCAAGTCAGCTAATCTGCCTGATGTTACACCACCATGAACCCAGCGTGACTTCCTGTTAGCTATCAAGGGCAAAAAGAGATTGGCAATTGGTGCTCATGGAGACCATGCAGTCAATGAGAAGCAGACAGCTGACAGGCAAATGATATATATGAGTCCAAGCCCAAAGATCTCCAAGTCAGAGCTGGCAGACACTGAGCCACTGTTCTACGGTGCATCAGATGCAGCCCTTACCAATGACCTGTTGATCCGACGCAGCTCTCAGGGATATCTGTTCATGCTGTACGGCATGCCTATCGACTGGAAAGCAACACTCCAACGTTCAGTCACAAAATCAAGCACTGAGGCAGAGCTGCTAGCTCTATCAACAGCAGCCAGTGAGCTACAGGCTTGGAATTGACTTGTTACGATCAAAGGGCAACTCGCAACAACACTGAAAAAACAGGACTACGCAACGATACGAGAGGAGCCGAGGAACTGTAGTATCGATCGACCCAAGCAGTGAGGCCGCGTCAGCGATACTCAGTATGATCAACACTCTTAATATCGATCGACCCGAGCAGTGAGGCCGCGTTGGCGATACTCAGCATGATCATCAATCTCAGTTGAGCAACTTGAGCAACTCGAGCAGTTAGGCCGCGTCAGTATACTTGGTACGAGCAGTATAATCAGTACGAGCAGTATAATCGGTACGAGCAGTATACTTGGAACGCTCGGTATACTTGGTACGATCAGTATACTCAGTACCAAGCGATCCAAGCAATCCTCCTGCTCAAGTATATAGCAAGTAGACATGCTGCCCTTATGGCATCGTGTTCAACCTCGTCAATCAACTTTGTTATTAGAATCTCACCCACTCTCGAGTTAGACAGCATACTCTGTACTACTCATTGCTCCCAGTCGCCACGGTCTTTGACTAGACGACTACCTGACTATTACAAAGGCTATGACAGGCCCAACTGATAGTCACCAACCCCTGACGGCTTCTGTACCTCTGATCATCCCCGAGAACCAATTGAATAGTGTCTATAGGCTTTGCTTAAGGCACGACTTCAACAGAACTATTCAAACACATCAAGCTCGATCTAAAGATGGTACCAACAATCTACTGTGACAACCTGCAGACTGTGGGTGTTGTCACCAAGAACAAAGACAAGCTGTTCATGCGATTACGACATGTGGATGTCCACCAACATTGGCTGAGACAGGAGGTGGCTGATGGACGTATATTGGTTCAGTGGAAGCCCACCAATCTCATGCCAGCCAGTGGACGCACCAAGATCCTCGTGCGCCAGAAGAATGCTGAGTTTGTCCAACAGCTTGGCATGAGAGACATCAAAGATTGCCTATCAAAGGCAGAAGGACTGGACAGTCCTGATCCAGCGAGCTTGACTCACTGGTGCTAGGATGATATTGAAAAGGAGTATCGTCTCAGATATCCTATTAGGGTGCAATATGGAGCATCATTTGCTCAAGAAGATCAGCTTTGGTTGACACCGCAGCTGAGGGGCTGTGTAACTACGTAGCTGAAGTCACATGATATTCTATTGTAGAAGGCACTGCTAAGAGCAATTGCACTTACCTCTGAGCGGAGAACTCCTGTACAAGAACATCACCGAACAACAACACAGATAGCAATACAATCATTTATCACAGCCTCCGACCGACACTGCTCACGCAGTTACAGTACCTGTCGCTCGGGGTAAGCCTCAGCCTTGCAGGCTACAGAGCCGCATCAACACCCTCCAAGGCAGGCACGCGCGATGAGCCATACAATGTTCCCCGGCCCCCCATACACGCGAGTTTTGCCATTTTGAGCGTACCTGACCATGCAAGGCGCAGCGTTCCTTAGCATAAGGCGACAGTTCTTTCCTGGAGGAAGAGAGGGTGATGGATCCACCAATCGCCGCAAGAACGCCTTAGGTTCACTTCTGCTTAGGCAGAAACGACACAATCAGGCGCCAGCGAGACCTTACGGCTCAATAGTGACGCCGGTCAATGATGTGGCTGGTATTGTATTGCTCAGTCACATCTGTACACCGTGTACGCATGTGACAAGGTCTCCAACACGACTTCCACCTCGAGGACTAGAGTAATGCACTCTTTTGGTCACACACACTTCCGATGCATCTCGCGTCAAATTTAGTGCACTAATACGTCCCGGCGAACGCCTCGGTAGTTGTGTCTGCAGTGCGGCTGCACCCGTCGAACGACAGCCGCGAACCTAGTGGTTGGTGCGGCTGTGGAGGCTGAGAACATCTCTGGGTGCTAAATCAACTTACGCTGACTGAGACAACATGACGCATCTCAGATTTCAACGCACTAATCGTCAAAACCAGATGTTTGTGAATCCGAAGACCTTACTGGCCAGTTTTCCTTTTCAGCAGCAACCTCCTGGAGGCCTCGTCCGAAACATTTCCATTTCGCAGGCTCCTACTTGCCACATCACTAACCCCGGACGTTGGTCGAGACCTCCATTGGACAAATGGTGAACGATTCATCTTCGAAATGGAATAGGCAAAAGGGATGGCAGCTTCTTAGTCCCATTCTCGCGCACCAAGAACATCCAGTCTGTGTCCAAGGTCCAAGCTTGGCCAGCTCAGTGACTGCAAATAGATGGCTGTGTCTAGTCCCTCTGCTATATGCGGCCTCTCGGGGCCAACGCCATTTCATACTACCATTGGACATACTGTTCACTGCCCTCCTACAGGCCTTTCTGGTTGACCAGCGCTGAGCAGCAAGAGAACCTATTCCTGCGTTGACCGAGTGTCAGTACAAGAGTATGAATCATTCACCGGCTCCACTGTTCCTTCTTCATCGCCTTTTTGACGGCCTCTACACGCTACTTACCTTTGGTGGTAATGTCAAGCGAATTGTAGCCTGGAATACTGGACACTCGAACGACTCTCTCCACGCTACGCCCTTCACCAGTCACGACACTCAGCCCCCCCTAGTCGCCATGGCACTTGCTTACGAGGCAATTCCTTCAATCTCAAGTCGACCACTGCTCAACATATATGAGTTTTGAGTGTATGCTCTCTGGCTGACCATCACAACATCGTTACTCAATAGACTTGCCCGGTCTATATTATAAATTTCGTTCCCATCATTTATTTTCTTCCGTGTTTCAACATGACCGTTAGCAACAACTCCGTATATATCTCCGGCCTGGCTCATGAGTACCCTCAATACTCGCAAACACAAGAACAGTTCGCCGACCTCGTCACAAGATTGGTTCCTGAGTACATCACATCGCCAGGGTAAGTGAAATGCAAACATTCCGAACGCTATGTAGCCTTGGGTGCTGACGTATGATAAGGTTCCAGAGATTACTACATGTCAACCGCAACACACAGATCCTGTCCCGTCCCACGATCTTCGACTACTCCATATGGACTAAAGCCGATGCAAAACCTCCTACTATCGATGAATTGTCGCAGATTTTCCGAACGACTGGTGTCGATCTTACAGTAGCGGCATGCAAAAAAGCAATGAAGGAAGCACAATTGTCAGCGACCGACATCACACACGTTGTAGCAGTCACATGTACCGACCAGGGTAGCCCTGGCTATGATCTCTTCGTCAGCCAGAAGCTTCAGTTGCCTTCTGGTGTACAGAGGGCTCTACTACACGGTGTTGGTTGTGCTGGTGGTCTGTCAGCGCTTCGAGAGGCAGCAAACCTCGCCGCAGCTGCATCTTCAAGAGGGAGATCAGCCCGAATCCTGGTCTTTGCGACTGAGCTCTGCAGTCTCTTCTTGAGGGCAGAGTTGCAGGCTGCATGTAAAGACAACGAGAACCTGCACATTGCCCCGGCATTGTTCTCGGACGGCTCTGCTGCACTGGTAGTCTGCAATGGACTAGCCATGAGAGACGATCAAAAGCCAATTTACGAGCTCCAAGAGTGGGGAAGTGCAGTAATTCCGGGGACGAAAGATCACATGTCGTACTCTGTGAGCCCGAGTGGTATGATAGCTACCATCACCAAAGAGGTACCAAAAGCCACCGTCGGCGCTATTGGTACCATGTTCGACCAAATCTGCAACCCGACCGGCGCACCCATCGATCCTACAACATTCGACTGGGCCGTCCACCCAGGCGGAGTCACAATCTTGCAAGGCGCTCAGCAGGCAATGAACCTCACCGACGACCACATTCGAGCTTCCCTCGATACATACCAGAAGTACGGCAACTCTTCAAGTCCGACAGTACTTGTTGTGCTAGACAAGTTGAGGAGAATGGGTAAAGGTCGAGATGACGTAGTGGCCACCAGTTTCGGGCCTGGTTTGATGATTGAGATGTTCCGCATGAGGCGGTGTCGAGACGATGAGTCTCAACAGGCTTTAAGTCTGGGTGTACTGGCTAAAGCTCATAGACTTGGGATGTCAGTTGTCTCGAGGCTTTCGAGATCCGGCAAGAGATCTTCGGTGGTGCATAGGGTGAGGGCAAGTAAGGAGGCGTAGGCCGGATCGTAGAGTGACTGCTGGGTGGTTGCATGAAACATCACTCCAGTTTAAAGCAAGTAGAAACTGGTCGTCGAGGAATCTCCATCAGCAAACTGGATTGTACAACATAATAGAAGTATCCTATCCATCAACAGTTGCTGTCTTGAAGTGTTCTTGACATAGTTCCAAGGGCCTGATCACATTCTTGATGATTGCGCTCTGCCATACCTGAGTTGGATCTCTTGCCGTAGTGAAACACCAGCTCACAGCAGAAGCGTATTCATGTCCGCCTTCGTCGCGTACGTCATGTGACCATCTGAGTGCGGCCACAAGATCGAAAGCTTCCTTTGTTTCTCCAGTCGCAGCAGGATAGGCTTTTCGATAGGGATGGTCCTCCAAGCGCTGCGCGAAACAAAGCTCCAAAAGCAGGATACCAAGTGAATAGAAGTTGCAGTCGTCCTTGTTGGTTCTTGAATTTGGGTCAGGCTGTGAAAAGCCTTGACGTATGAACAGCTCGTGGATTGGGGAATTGGATCCATCGTCTTCGTAAGGATGGAAAAGAATATCCTCTTTTTTCAGTCTGGTGTCGAGCCATGGGGTCTCCTGAAGCTGAGCGACTGAAGAAGCGAGTAGCAATGCAACAGAGTAACGCTCACGCCGGCTCAAAGATCTGTCAGCGATGACGCTGTCGAGTGACGGTGATATCCCCATGCTAGGCCTTTTGCGCTTCCTGCTCGAATGCACATGGTATTCTTCGTCATCTTTACTTAGAATGCCTAAGCATTTCGAGCAGTTCGTGCTTCCTAACGTTTGGCATAGCTCAATGTTTCGCTTCATGTTCAGGCCTTCTCTGATTGGTGAATTTGAATTCAGTGGCGCGAAGGTAACAGTTTTTGACTTCTTCGCTATTGCTGAAGGCGGCGGATCTGTCAGCGTAACGACCGGCACTTCATTCTTAGCCATATTGGCAATTCGTCGACCACAACACTCCAATGCTGGTCCACATTGCAGCTCTCGCCATGACCACGAAGTTGGTCTTACTGATGGATCCATGGCATATGTCAGAATAAGCTCGAAAGAGGTGTCAGGTCGCGTACGGTGTTCAAGCCGGAGATGTGCGTAATGACAGGGTTGGCATAAACATTGCCATGCCCCTTGGATGGCCATGAACAACAGTTTGCATCTCCTGCGAGACTTTTTCAAAGCGTCTTCCAATGCCAGGTTTTTTTGCTTATTCACCGGGCCAGACTCTGCAAGGGCAGAGATTTCGTCGCTTGTAGTAAGAAGCTGGCGCAAGCGTTCGTTGCATTTCTCCAGCTGTTGCACCAGCCCAGTGCGAACAGACTCATTGAGACTGAATCTCATGCGAAACTTTTCGTAATCCCACTTTGCTCTTACGAGCGACTTAGTCTGTGTGCCCGATGGCAACGGACTTGGCGGGCGTTGTTGGCTTTTCGTTGGAGGTATGGTGAGTTTGTCCTGGATGGAGGTATCATTGAAAGACAATTCTTTTCTTAAAGCCTGCGCTGTTTCGTTCAAGTCGTGGATGATGTCCAGGTACAAATCGTATGAATCCTTGAGTCGCTCCTCAAGACGTTCTTGCATGACCTTGTCAGTCCAGCCTTTTCCTCCTGGCGTCCGAATCAGATACTCCACCTCCTTCGGCTCATTAATAAGCGGAAGGAGAAGCGCCTTCAAGTTCCGTCTGTACATGATATCGTGGTATTTGACGTCGTTCTTGCATTTCGTATATTCCTTCCGGATCCGCCAAAAGAAGCCTCCAATCTCGGCAACTTTGCGCCAGTGTTCGAGGCCAGAGATAATAAGGGGAAGAGCACCAAGAACAACTCCAGCGACTTCGAGACCGCTCATGATTGGAGCAAGTGCGGTGATCTCAGCAACGAAGTCTCGCTGAGGCTGATGAAGAGGCTAACTGAACGATGGTGGGGAAGGAGCGCCAGCCGAACCCCACTTTCTCAGCCCCCAACCATCAACACCTCTCCATACTCTATTGACCTTGATACTGCACCCAGCTTGCGGCTTCTGAAGACGACCTTGATTACAAAACCCCCTTGTGCAGGGCGTCATGGCGCCATCGGTGTCAGCACAATGCCGCAAATGTCTCACGAAACTGAAAGCAATCACTACGGCTGCTACAACGGAGACACACGGCTCACATCCAGGTTTCGTGGGTCGTGATCGAGTACGCGATATACTCGAAAGGCTCAGCTTATGGAGTGGCAACATAGGCGCCCTTCATCCACCTAGATCGTCGCTTTCCCTCGAAACACGCCTTCACAACGCCAGCGACGTATTGATCTTCATACTGGATCTGCTGACAGAACTTAACGATGCAATCGATGAGCGTGAGTTTCTTAGTTGATGTCTACAAAGTTGCAGGATTCTGGACTGATAAGTTCTAGTCTCTGATATCGCTTCTGGCAGGCGCGAAGGTGGAGTCGCGTTCGCCTTTGACGGGAATGCAGACGACCAGTATGAAGTAGCAGAGCTTTTGGAAGAGATTTCTCTTGCTATTGGGCGACTTTTTAAAGTCTCTACTCTCATTCGACAGGTCGCTCCTGTCGATCTATTTGAGAAAGCTCTCAGCCGAGATCGGTATCGCTTCAACAATCAGTACGACGTTGCTTACGTAGGTGAAAAATATCCCAAATTGGCTACAGAATCAGTTACTTGGCTCCGGAAAAGAATGGGCGAGGCCATCACCCGTCGGCGACACTATCTCAGTTACATCCAAGATCACCGCGCGAAGCTCGAAGGTACATCCACTCGCCGAGATACCGAGGATGAACGCGAACCACAATCCATAGGGATACAATCCTCTATAGATGACGGTGCCGTCATAGGCCTATCCTTGGATGCTGAGAGTCGGCCTGATACCTTCTTCACGGAAGTGACCACCAAGATGCAGCCGGGTGTGCTTTCGCAGGAGATGCTCCTTACTAACAGCGGAGCTGATTTTGACGAGGATGCGAAGTCATACACAACCATAACGCATTCTGTAGATGGAGATTATGAATCATCTGCTGCTATCAAGATACCAAAACTCGAAGATTTACGGAGAGACTCCGTGAGTGAAGTAGAGTGCCCTTTCTGCTTTCGTCTGAAAAAATTCAAGAGCGAGGGACAGTGGCGACGACACGTATTCTCTGATCTTCGAGCTTACGTTTGCACATTCCCCGACTGCGAAGTGGCCTATTTCGGCGACATAAACGAATGGTTTCAGCACGAAATGCAGAACCATCGAGTCCAGTTCAACTGCCAAATCTGCCGGGAAAAAACGTTTGGCCTCAGAGAAAATTACCTCGCCCACGTTCGTGACAATCATCTGGACCTACTCAACAAAAGCGATGAAAGTCTTGTTCTTGCCATCGCAAGGCAACCGCTCACCCAAATACCAACAGAGGATTGCCCTTGTTGTTCAGAGTGGACAGAACGCGCTCAGGCTTCAGTGGTAGCCTCCGGCGCGTCCGAGGGTCAGCAAGATCTGATTTGCGCTGAACCAAAGGTGTTCAGACGACATCTTGCTACTCATTTAGAACAGCTGGCTTTGTTCGCTGTTCCTTTCCCCGCAGATATGGAAAATGAAGCCGACTCAAACGCTGCTTTAGCCACGTACGATCCAAACGATCAACTGGAGGCCTTCTTTGTCAACGAAGGATCGGAAAGAAAGCCGTACACGGAAGTGCAGATAGATGAACTCACAAGGCTGCTGAGTCGTTCAGAACCCTTATGGAGCGCAGTTCCACGGACGTACGCCATACTTCGAACAGTAAACCGTCTTGAACTTCTACAGGAGTTCATCAAGGCGGACCTTTCAGACTATTACATCCCTTACACAGAGCATCATCTTCGTCGCACTGGCTTTAATGGTGATTCCGAAGCTTTTTTCGAAGCGCAGAAGCTGGTACTAACAAAATCAGCTCAAAGGAGTGTGCTTATGGGACGCCACTGCTACTTTCATGACCACAAAGAGTCTATACAATTTCGAAATGAGAGGCAGCTGAACTACGGCGGCTCGTCCTCAGTGGAAGTGGTGACAAGCTTGGACGACGCCAAAGTTTACGTGAGAAAAGTCAGATTACGATCTCGAACAGAGAAAACAGAGACTCAAGATATGCAAGCCTCAATCACGGAAATCAAAATCTTGCGACGTCTTCGACACCCAAACATCATACAATATGTTGGCAGCTTCACAGATGCCAGTAGCATTGGCTGTATTCTAAGTCCTGCTGCTGAAGAGAACTTGGACGAATATCTTACCCATCCCGAAGCTCGGAGACTGCGAATGTTCTTTGGGTGCTTGACGAATGCGGTCGCGTATCTACACGATCAGGGGGTAGTACACAACGATATAAAGCCGAGCCATGTCCTCGTATGTGGTGACCTCGTGTCTTTGACAGGGTTCTCGTTGTCGTTGGATCTTGCTATTTCAGATGACGGCATGGTACACGGAAAGCCGGTGGCATATACGCGCCAGTATTGCGCACCCGAGACATTCAACCATGAAACACGAGGGCCAAAAGTGGACATCTGGAACTTAGGCCTTGTCTTTGCGCAGATGTTCATCAAACTTAAAGTACAACTACAAGGGGAAATTCAGTCTGAGTTTGCTGCGGATTTACCTGAGAAGTTGACTTTACTTGAGGAGCTAGGAAGTCGATCGGATAATGTACTGCTTGATTGGATACGCCCAATGTTGTCCGTACAGCAACACCTGCGTCCGAGCGCATCTGCTTTAGCGGCTTCCATCCGGGCAGCTCAAGTTGATGGCAATGATGCAGTCTTCTTCGCACCGTGCTGTAGTTCTCAAGATGATGATGAAGACGAAAATTCAAATCCAGTCATCGAACAAGATCTAGACGCTGTCACGAACAATTCAGATGGTGTTGAGGCCGTTGGTTCTACTCTTGATGACCACATCATTGATTTGAGGGGCATCTTCGAATTGCGCAACTCTGAGATATATACTGAGGGCGAAATTGGCACAATAGCAAACTCTCTGAGACGATCGAAGCCGCAGTGGGGAGATTTCCCACGTACATATGTCGTTCTCAGGATGATTGGCCGTTTAGATCTTCTTGATGGTCTTATTGCCGATGGCTACTCCGATTTCTGGATTCCATATACAGATCGTGGGCTTCCAAAGATGATACCAGCCGATGTTAGGCAGCCTTTCATTGACACTCAACGATTGGTACTGTCGCAGTCGATAGAGCTCAAGAGAGACCAACATGCACACTTCGACCACAAAGATGAACGAGTACCCTTCGATGTCATGGAGACTCTAGGATCCGGCAGTTTCGGACATATTAGCAGAGCAATAAGTCGGTTCGATCACAAAGAGTACGCCCTGCGAAGATGGCCCCGAGACAAACGCAAGAAGGATGCAGAGAAGGCAGAGATTAACCGGACTGTCAACGAAATTAAGGTGCTCAGGCATCTCAATCACCGACATATCGTTACATTTGCTGGAAGCTACACGGACCTCAAATTCATTAGCTGCGTTGTAGCTCCTGTTGCCGAAATGGACCTGGGTCAGTATCTAGACCGGGTCCAAGCCACCGACTACCGAACTCTTCAATCATTCTTCGGGTGCTTAGCTATAGCTGTACAGTATCTGCACGACAAGAAGATCAGGCATGGTGACATAAGAGCAGGAGCAATCCTTGTTCATGGGGGTACAGTGCAGTTGAGCTCATTCGGTTCAGCTTACGATTTCACCAATGCTGTCGACAGTACCACTACGGTCCCGCAGGCATATTCACTTCGCACATGCGCACCTGAACTTGTGTACTTGGTGCACCAGATGGGTGATACGAAGTCTGACATTTGGAGTCTGGGCGTTGTGTTCCTGGACATGGTTGTTGCTTTGAAGGGCAAGAGACTGGATGACACAAACGCATATTTCCAACAACATGGATCTAAGGATATACATATCCATGCGAACATTGCAGCGTTGTCAGACTATCTCGAGGAGCTCGGAAAAAACGGAGAAGCCATCGGCAATCCACCTCTAGCCTGGATTCCCGATATGCTCTCGGAGGACTCCGATCTGCGACTAGATGCACCGAATCTGGTGAAGCGCATTGCTGGGGCCGGTATGACTTATCACAATCCTTTCTTTGGAGGATGCTGTCTGCCTTGAGATGATTGATTGTGGGTCGGATATAAAGGCTCATGATAGCGTGGCCCTGCAACTCGAGTGCTGTATAGATCGCAGGCAATAGCGTTTGTTCATGTACCTGGTTGGAGTTTAATCAGATGGACCTGATCTGGCTGAAGAGGCTCTTCAGGGCAGTCGGTCGAAGTCATAACTCGTCAAATTGCGATACTGAACGCGATATCTCGATGATTTCAGCTCGGAAATGTTCATGGCCTCGCAATTTTTGATGAAGCTCAGGTATTGAGTGGAGTGGACGAACTGCTGATTGGGAAGGATGTCGCAGTAGCCACTTGTCATGATGCCTGAGTCGGCCTGCCTGCATCGCTCAGCCTCACCTGCCCCACACCTACCTTTTCAACCGGCTGTGCACGCGCAGTCACTGACAGTAAATGTGACAGGAAGTCGGATCAGATGTTTTGATAAGAGATATAAAGTGCAGCTTCTGAAGAGGGATGTTGCAGTCTTGAGCACAGAACGAAGCGATTCCACATTCTAGGAGGACACTAACCGCATTTGGACATAATCGATGTCTCGAGTATCTCGTCTTCGGCATGCCACAGGCATTGTAGCGAAACATGCTCTCCCGGAAAGGCTCCCAAAAGTAACACAAAAACTCATTGTAGACACGAAGCAGAATTTTTCTGGACAACGTCCGCCTCAATGTCCACCTACAAGCGCTCCAAGGCACAACAAACCCTCGAAACACCCATCTGAAACCTCAACCGTCGAGCATATCGTGAAGTACAGCCGGCTCAGGCGCGCGCCAGCGGAGACCGCAAACAGCAGTTACGAATGCTAACGAACGGTAGGACATGGCCAACCCTTGTTGTGCATATGGGAGTGGACGTTGACGTTTGACGGAAGCTGTCCGTCTTCGTTCCGTTGCGGCTATGTACTCGCAGAAGAGTGGAAAGTGCCTCATGTATACAGCGCAGAACAAGGAACTCCCGGTAGATTGAGCGGAAGTGCACAACCTGAGTTCAACAGGCAAACTTGACACTTGGAGTCCCTGGGTCTTGGGAACAAAGCAGATGTGGTGTTGCAATAGCATTACGTAGATAAAATATTTTCGCTAACTCAATGCACAGTATACACAATGACGTCTACAGTTACAAGCTGCGCTTCAACAAAGAAACCAATCGCGTACACGCATGCTTGATATCGTGCCTCGTGCCATGGCATGCCCAAGTCACTGTTATCCCTGATGCGCTGAAATGCTGATGGGGTACTCAAAAGAAACGCTAGAGGTAGGAAACACTGAACGCCGTCAGGACTGTCATCTCAGTACTGAATTCTTCCGGCCCATGTCCAGGATCTCTGAAGGTACTGTGCTTCGTGTGCTGAAGCGTACTTCTGTGCCTGGGTGTTGCTTGAAGATGGGTGCTGTGCCAACTGATGTGTTGGTTTGATGGCGTTGGTGCTTGATATCTTTGCCGGCAAGCCCGCCGGTTTGTTTGTAGGTCTTTGGCACAGGAGGCATCTCGGGGACCACGTCGCCGTTCATGTCTTCTGAGTAGGCGGAGCTTTGCGTCATGCGGTACTGTTCCCTAAGCTTCTGCTCCTCAACGCGGTTTGATTGCTGGTTCACCCATGAGTTGATGGTACGGAAACGAGGCACTGATGATCGGTTCGTCATAAAGCTGTCACGTCCCAAAGGCTGGTTCATTGTGTCGCGGTTGGGATCATGGGGGGTTTGTGGTGCCTGAGAGTTGGTCCAGCTGAATCTACTGGCCATACCGCCGAGTCCAGGTCGTTGCGAGATGGACGGGCGGTTCGACATAAACTGTTTGAATGTTGGAGGCGCCGGTTGTCGAGGTGCTACTTGCTGCTGTTGCATGTACTCATCGTCATCGTCCATGGACCTGGTATTGTGTGTCGAGTCGCTGCTTCGTTGGCCCTGCATTCCAAGAACAGTGGAAGATGGCGCGGCGCTATTGTTGCGTTTGTGGGAGTTCATTCGCGATGGTGGATCTTCAAGAAGGAAGCTTTGCTGCGTCTTGTCGGAGGAGCCGTTGCGGAAACTGAATCATGTCAATTGTGAGGTGCAAGGTGAGAGTAAAATGAACATACCTATCGCTGCGGCCCAGAGGCTGTACGCGAGTTTGTGACGAGAGAGAACCGGATCGAGTGCCCATGGCAGCTGGTGGAGGAGGGTAGACTGCGTCATTCCTGACAGAATACCTCTGCTCAAGATTTTGCTTATTATCCCAATCGTACTTTGAGCCGGATCCCTGACCAACACGCCTTGTTACCTGGTTCTTGCCTTGTCTGACTACATCCGAGAACGACAGTCCCCGCCTGCGCATTGTGTAGAAAGCCAACACAAGCATCACGACAATAATCGTAGCACCTAGTCCCAGTCAGTAGCCGTCGCACATCCATGATTCTATGTGACTCACCGATTGAGCCAGCAGCAATGAGGAGATGCTCTGTTGTCTGCGATATGCGTCCGTTACCACCGCCATTGTGGTGAGGCTTTGGGGGTGGTTGCAGAGACACAACAACGGTCTCCGTAGGATCGTTGTCTGCCAAGGCTCCAACAGTAGCCAGGGTTTGCGACAGTGTCATCGTGATCAGTAGCTGTTATCGTCAGTTCCTGCATGCACGTTGCGTATCCCAAACTGATCGTACCGGTGGGGGTCCTCCAGATGGTGGCGTGGCAGTCGTGAAAGGCGTTCGAAAGTCATCCTCATCGTCACTGTCGTTCCCATCGTCCGTAGTAGTAGGTTGCTGTCTCTTCGTGTACGACCGTGACAATATCTGATCGATGGTTGGTGTGGGTGTCGCATTGGACCCGGCCTCCTGTTCATCCCCAGTAACACTATCCCTCTCCACAACCACATATTCCACCTTTTCGTTCCATCTGCGAGGCTTCGGCGAGATCATCTTTGCGCGATATACGATAGGTCGAATAGGGTAGGGCCCTCTCAGTCTTCCTGCCGCTTAATCGCTCCACCAAACAACATCTGCAGATCGACCAGCGGTAGAGATTTCGATCGAATGAAGGGAATGTACAGTCTCGAGCCTGCTAAGACCGCCACCAGGGTGGTATGAAATGAATGTTGGGGTGAACGAAAGTACGGAGTATGATATTAGCAACAACAGCCCGCCTGCGGAACGAAAGACAAAAAGGAAGCAAGTCAGCAGAAACGCAGCGAAAGGCTGGGCGAACGCTCTGGACGAGACATGTTCATGCGACAGCGCGAGGGGTGCATTTGAGAAAGTGCATGAATGACGCTAGCATCTGGTCCCTTCTGAACCCATGTCGGTTTGAGGGTCGACCCGAGATGTGAACGAGCCCCTAGGAGCGTCTACAGCTCCAAACGGCAATCTGGAGGGTCTAAAGAGCAGCTAATACACTGAAAAGGGGTATGATGAGCGACGATATGAGGCAAACATATGAAGCGGGTCCTGAGCGCTCGTCTTGGAGTTGTCTCAAGTCATGGTGGTCGCGTTTCAACACCCGCATCCGGCACGCTTGGTGGCCCATGGTGCAGATCAGACGCCACAGGGGGCATCGTGAGACCTGCGAAAGCTCTGCCATGATTGGGCTTGCTATGAAGTCGTTCGAGCTGTCATAATGCTGCTATGTCTCCCCAATCATTCCCCGCATAAGATGCACCTTATTACAGACAGTCCTCGGAGAATTGTGATATTGCGAAGGTTGCTGAGCAGCCTCGTGATGCCAATACGACGACCCAGCCACACTTGTGAAAAATTGCTGCGCCTCACCTAAAGCCTCGGCCCCACCAGGCTTCCGCGTGTTACGGCGGTGCGAAGCGTCTGGCCGAGGCGTCCAAAAGTCGACGTTATGCAAAAGTCGCAGACGTTCTGTAGACATCGGTTTGGGCACACACTCTCATCATTGTGCGGTCGCGGGGAAATGTGAGGGTCTACGAGCAGTGGCCACGAAGGATGCCAATGTCAGCAGCGATCTGGTTTTGTCTGTCAGCACGGCCGAAGACTTAAGAGAAAGCCCAAGCGAGCGCCGAGCAGTTCGGATCGTGCGGCTGTGCTTGGCCATCGTTATGACCGAACAGGCCGTCACAGCCGGCCGAGCTGATGTTCGTCCTATGGGTGGCTTAGGGCTGAGTTGAGCTCGAGGCTTCGTTGGCTGCTCAGCCCCTCAGGATGGAGTGGGTTTGTCAAGTCATTAGGACGGATCAGGGCGCTGTTAGTAAGTGAGCTGAGAGTTGATAAAGTCGATTGATGTTCCTGTGTTCGTTCGCTCTTTCCTCCACCTAATTCACGACTTACGTCAACCGCCTGCATCCTTCCAGCTACCCCGCCTTACACAACGTTCAACTTCAAGACAACACTTTTCAGTTTATATCCGTACCTAAAACACATAAATCATGTCTGGATACGATCAATATAATCAGGGCTACGGCCAGCAGCAGCAATACCCGCCACAAGGCCACAGCCCATACCCTCAACAGGGTGGGTACGACCAGGGCGGCTATCAGCAGCAAGGTTACCAGCAACCTCAGCAGCAGTATGGCCAGCAGGGATACGGGGACCAACAAGGCCACAACTCACAATACGGTCCCCCTGCGCAAGGTGGCTTCCAGCACGGCCAGCAAGTAGGCCAATATGGCGACTACAATCAGCAGCAGCAGCAAGGGTCAGTACAAGACGTCCAATGTTTCGAAACAACAGCTTTTTCTGACATCACGTTCAGGCAATACGGCCAACCCCAGCAGGGAGGCTACCCCGGCTCTCAACCACAGAACCAGTTCCCTCAGCAGGGTTCTTACGGTCAGGACCAATACCCACATGCCCAGAACGCCTACAGCCAGCCTGGACAGCCGCAGCAGTACGGTTCTAGCGACCCAGCTATGCAGCAAGAGGGTGACCGAGGTCTTTTGGGCGCTATGGGTGGTGGTGCTGCCGGATACTTTGGCGGCAACAAGATGGGTGGCCACGGCATTCTGGGTGCCATAGCAGGTGCCGTGCTCGGCAGCAAGCTCGAAGACCACAACAAGAAGCCTAAGCACAACCAGCATGGCGGCTACAACGGGCACTAAGTACTGATCCTGGTTCCCGTTTTTTTTGGGGTTCGGCATCTGAATATTGTGGCGTTTTGGGAACCCCACGATTGTGTATAGGCATTCTTTTTACGACCTCGGAATCACGCCTTGGGTGTAGATATTGTTACTCGGCGTTTAGGATGAATGACAACCACGATCGATCGCAATACACAAAACTTGCTCTCAGCCTCATTTTATCGCAAACAGACGAGCTTTTCTAGATTGTAACACCATTGATGTCGAAACAGCTACCGCCACCGACGAAACATGTTCGTACATGGGCTGGTCAACGATGTTATTGGAGGAAAGATTGAAATCCACGGAAATTGTTGTTCGCGGGAAGCTAAAACATTTTGGGGCAATTTCTCAGGCGCGAACATCAACTTGAATTTCGACTCTTGTAATATACTGCCGTGCGAACTTGACACGACATCGTGCTCGCTAATCACCAGAGCTGCAGGTACCCGCGATCGACTGACCATCGACTCACACGCCCTACATCCGTCACCAGCACAGAACGTCAACATTGTTTCGTTGGTCAATTGATCTTACTTGGAGCCTCTTGCTCTATCATCAGCGGCATGCATCACCTTGACTGCAACCTCTGAGCACGTTTGCGGCACATAACCCACCACGGCAGTAAACTACCGAGCTGTTCTTCGTGCCGCCTTTCTCGTCACTGCATACCGAACACACAATACAACCTCGACCGAAATCCACGATCCTTGTTAGATCGCATCGTACTATCATCGTACTACCTAATGTGGACTGAAAAGCGACTTGGAAGCATGATTGTACGAATGTGGAGTGACATGTCAACATGTCAATCTATGTGACGGGGCGAATGTAACACCTGCAATATACGGAAACGGCGTTGGGAATCACATATATCTCAGTGATGACGGACACAGGTGCGGCTAAGCCTTCATCTGCACTATACCGACGGGGCCAAAGGTTCAGACGGAGTCGTTTCACTATCCTGAGCCCTATCTGTCGTTACATTGCGTGCAGCTTACGAAAGCTCGTCTCAGAGTATACTGTCTACAGCTGAAACACAACCTCACCAACTATATGCCTACTGCTCTTTCCTAGCATCGCAGTGAAAGTCCCCTTCTCAATCTTCCACTTCTGCGCCACGATATCCCACATACTAACATCACGCCTTTGTAGCGTGAACTCGATATCCTTGGTCTCTCCCGGCTGCAAGAAGACTTTCGAGAACCCACGAAGCTGCTTGACAGGACTATTCGCAGCTTCCGGGTACCCAAGATACAACTGTGCGACCTCAGCGCCTGCAACATCTCCAGTGTTTGTGATGCTGGCCTTGAACGATAGTAACTCATCGTACAAGTCAGCCGGCCCACCTTCGACTGTCGGACCGTTGGCGTAAGTCGAGACATTGAGCGGGCTCGCCGTCAAGGTCAAGTTTCCGTACTCGAACGTCGTGTACGACAGTCCGTAACCAAACTCGTAGCGTGGCTCGATACCGGCCTGATCAAAGTGGCGGTAGTCGATATACAGACCCTCGGTGTAGTCGCACTCGCAGCACGGGCAGATTTCACCATTGTAATCACTCTCGTTTTTGGCGATGGTGTACACCAGCTTGCCGCTCGGATTCACATCGCCAAACAGCACATCCATTATCGAGTGCCCGGACTCCTGCCCCAGGGTCCCCGCATTCAGGACAGCCGTGACATTGGGATGCTCAATCCAGGCGTCCACAAGACGCACACCGGCGTTATTCATGACGACGATGGTGTTGTTGCAGTACGTCGCTAAGTCATTGACGAGCTTATCGCCAACGGGATCGCGCAGGGAGCGTCGGTCGGCGCCTTCTTTGGCGAAGGCGTTGATGAATACTAGGCATTGCTCGGACTGTTCTGCATAGCCTTGCACTGATACGCCGGTTACTGCGAAGAAGCCGGCGCCGGTTGCTGGGGGAGGTGTGACGGTGTGGTTGTCGGAGAGGATGTAGCGGAAGTCGAAACCATTGACCGATGATGCGCGCTGGGTGAGTGCGTCGAGAGGGGAGACGAGGAAGCCCACTGGCGCGGTGCCGCTGCCGCCGCCGGAGCCGAGGTGGGAAGCGTATGTCTCTCCCAGATAATCTCCGAAGTTCAATAGTGGCTGTGGTCCGAAGCCTAGGTTTGCTGCGTTGAGGCCGAAGACTGCGATTTGAGTGACGTTTTTGAATGGCAGTGTGTTGCGTTTGTTCTTGAGCAGGACAATGGATTCGCTGGCGGCTTTGCGAATCAATTCGCGGCTCGAAGGCTTGCGGATAATCTTGGACTCAACTTCTTCTATGTTGGGGTATTCGTCCTGTCGTATGTTGAGGTTGAGCTGAGTTGCGACGATGCGAAGGGCATGCTCCCTTATGATCTCCTCTGAGATAGTGCCGTTCTGGAGTAAGGCAGTGATGTTTCCGAGGTCGTAGCCGGAGTTCCAATCAAGACCGTTGATCAAGCCCCTGGTACGGTTGACAGGTGCTGTTGCATCTGGGACAATTAAACCTGATAAAGTCAACTTATGCATTGTTCCATTTATGCGAACGAGTTCGTACCTTTGAAGCCAAGCTCACCCTTCAATACTGTGTTCTGAATATGCTCATTTTCGCAGCCAATCGTGCCGTTGACGCGGTTCATGACACACATGACAGATCCCATGCCTTCCTTGACTGCGTCGTACCACGGCCATAGGTAAAGCTCATGGAGTGTACGATCGTCCATGTTACTCGAGGTACGGTTCTCAGCGCTTCCAGATGCTGTGCGGTTCGTCTCCTGTTCATTGGCTGGAATCAATCAGCATCATGTACTTCATCACGTCAAGTACTGCTTTCCTACCCAGATAGTGTTTGCCCGAAGCAATGACATTTTGCTGCTGAATAGCTTTGACCCCAACGCCAAACATCTTGCCATTGAGCCATGGATCAGAGCCCCAGCCTTCGAACAGTCGAGAGCCATAGACGCTCCTTCCAAGTGGGCCTGTCGTAGGACCGAGCATCATGGCATAACCTTTTTCGCGGAACTCCAATGCCATAGCTGCATGCTGAGCTTCGACGAGCGATAGGTCCCATGAGCCAGCGAGTGTCTGCGGTGTGACCCACCCTGATACACCTTTGCCTCCAGCCACACCAAGGGGGCCTATTAAGAGGAGTCAGGGACTGTTGTACTTATTGAGTGGGGCATTGACTTACCATCTGTCACCGTGAAAGGTAGATACCCTGGTGCAACGCCATTTCGAACAGTTATGTTTGCGAGCTCTTGAGTGGTCCAAGAGGATACCAGCTCCTCTGCAGCTTTATAAGCAGCATCCCAATCGTGGTATGGCTGTTGGGCAAGCGTCGTGGGCAACAAAAAGAGAGCGGCAACGATAGCACTGTACGCAGAAGCAGTGCGTGAGAACATACTCGCTACGATATTTAGCTTGATTGCTGTGACTCTCCTCCAGGAGCTGCGAATTTTTGCTTAAAGTATCATCCCGGTTGCCATCTTCCCGCTGTGTTCTCCGCATGTTATTGCCGAGCCTGCCCTCAAGATGACGGTCATTGTCAATACTTCGTCTTCCGCGGCAGACATCATGCCGAATGAAGAACATAGATGTCTTGGTCTTCGCGATGCTGGTCTTGAATGCAGCATTCTGCTGTGTCGCCTTACCCCAGAGGGCCGTCCCCGCATGTCGGCAAGTTTCCCCACATTCCTTCAAGTGGACCGGTTTCAGCTGCGTGGTAGTTGGGTCACCCTCAGCATAATCTTAGCTTATGTGTATCGATAATCATCGAGCCGAATTGCTTGGTCCATGCTGTTCAAGCGTGCCATTTGCTCCTAAATCTATTTCCGGGAGAGGTCAGTGTGCTGATATTGAGGCTTTAGCTGCATGTTCGTTACCACGCGCAACGTTAGGTCTAGCAATGCTTCGCCAATAATTTGTCATAACAACCCGTCATCGATCAGCGTTGCGTCAAAATAATATCGTAGGATCGCATGCGACAAATCTCGCCAGCTTGGCGCACAAGGATATCTTCTCAAGACTGCGGAGGGTAACAGCAGGCATCAAACGAAAATATGCATGGCGGACTTGCGAGTAAGTTTGCAGAAATCCAAGAAACATCGGAAAGTACAAAGACAGATTTAAAGAATGTCAAGATTTAGTTAGGTGGACGTGGGTGGACATTGCTTGTGGAAGAATGCAGGCGTCTTGATAGTTAGAGAACTCAAAACACTGGTTAGCCAAAATTTGGTTCAACCACAATTTATCAGGGGTCTCGAAAAGACGCGTTATGGAGAGAGTATTGTTTTTCATTGCTTAATCATCCATTACGCTACTGCCATCGATCTCAGTTCCTCCTTGATAGCGCCACCTACACACAGGTTGCCCTAACATTACATTCAATTTCGTTGCCACGTCAATCTCAAACTCCGACGATAGACTCGTTGCGCACCTCAGCGTGGAGCTTCTCGTCCTTCTCCATGGCGGCGGCTGCTGCGGCAGGATCTTGCATAGCGTGAGGCACAAGCTGATCGCCGAAGAGCTCATCCATTTGCTCAAGTGTCTTTCCTTTGGTCTCTGGGAAGAAGAACCAGTAGCACAGGAATGCGATGATGTTGAACACGAAGAAGACGTAGAAGTACTGAAACTCAATCGCGGTAAGCGCCTGAGGGGAGAATTGGGCGAAAATCAAGTTGACAGCCCAGTTAGTGAAGGTGGTGATGGCGTTACCCAGGGCTCGGACTTCGACGGGGAAAATCTAGTTTGCTTTGTTAGTCTTTGCAGGCTTCTTTTCTTCTTTTGTTACTTACTTCTGCGGGATACACCCAAGAGATGATACCGAGTGGAGTGTAGAAGAACGAGAACGCGAAGTTCATAGCCACCATGCTGCGCAACTGTGCGCCGTTGTTGGGGTTAAAGTACTGTCCTTGTACGGCATTGACAAGGAGAGCAGCAGCAAGACAGGCGGCAGAGATGAGCAGAGGCTTGATGCGACCGAACCTATCCAGGATGGCGAGACCAATTGTGCACCACACAATAGACAAAGCTCCGCTAATGCCAATGATCAGGAGAGACTCGCGCGTCGAGATACCAAGGATGTTATAGATGCGAGGACCGTAGTAGTTGATAACATTGATGCCAGAAAGAGGACCGAAGGCCTGGACACCGCATCCAAGAAGCAGTCGCTTGCGCCAGGAAGGTTTGGTAAGAATCGAAAGTACGGTAATGTTGCCGAGTGCCCGGTCAGCCGCAATAACATCGCGAATCTCTCGGTATTCAAGATCGATGATCTCAGAGTCGTAACCCCTGCGGAGCTTCTGGAGCGAGGCCATGGCTTCTTCGTGGCGGTCCCTCTCCATGAGCCATCGTGGTGACTCCTGGAGGAAGAAGATACCGGTGATGAGGATCAGACCAGGGAAGCACTGGAAGGCAAGCGGGAAGCGCCCTGAAAAATATCAGTCCTGCGAAGGCGGCTTCAAAGCGAGGAATACTCACAGGAGAACTGGGTGGAGTTTGAAGAACAACCGTAGCCCAACCACTGGGCTACGAAAAAACCCCAACTCAACATCCACTGCAGGAGACCAGAGAGCACGCCACGATGCTTGGCTTCCGAAAGCTCTGCAGCATACAGAGGAATGGTGGATGTGAGTTGGCCAACTGCGACACCTCCGATGAAGCGGCCAACGATGAGCATCGCCATGTTGACGGCACCAGCCTGGAGAGCACTGCCAAAGACCGAAATCAGAGCGCCAACCATGATGGTCCAGCGGCGACCCATCTTGTGAGCGAAGAGCATGTTGAATATGGTTCCGGCAATAGCTCCGCCCTGGAAGGCGGACACAATGCCACCAGTGGTGGTGTCATTAGGAGTGTTGAAGTAGTCCTTGAAAGTTTGGAGTGCAATGGTAGATGTGATGATACCACTATCGTAACCGAAGAGGAAACCTCCGGTGGCAAGGAAGACCGCAGAGAAGACTGTGGTTGCGAGACCCATCTTGTCAGCGTTGAGGAGACGTTGGCGATGATCTTTTCGACAAGGGAGACCAGCGCCTATGTATACTACACCACGACAACGGTAGATCGTAAGAAGCGACCTAGGCCTTTACCCCGGACTATACCATGCCGAGGACTTCAAGGACTGTACTTGCGCATGTGGAGCGACATATACTCCAATCCTTCGAGGCACGAACCCCAAGGGCAGCTAGCGGGACATCACCGATCTGGTAAAGACGGGCAGTCTGATCGTTGCATTGGCAGACAAAGCGCGTCGACAGTTGTGGTTAGATCTCTGCCAGCGCGCTAAGCGCACTAAATCGGATACCCTTGCTTTCATGTGGAGACCGCCATCAACCGCCCGTTCTCTGGCGTCCTTCCCCACATTCCTCTGCTCGGATAGCTCTTCGGCAGATGGGCAAGCCTCTGCTAGACTGCGTTCGATAGTCTTTCGGTGCAGGTTGTCCCGAATGAGATCGCGGCTCTTGCGTGGTGCGATGCAAGTCGTACGTTCGACGAAAACCATGACCTTGGCACGTGTTATCATCTCGTACTAGCATCGTCGGCTTCCAAATCTCAAAAGACACCAGTAATAAGAACTTGTCGGCCGTATTTCTACGTTCAGCAAGACAGCCTACGCGGTTCGGTAGAACGAACCGCGAAGAGGCATCATACACTTCATCGTGTTGTGGTAGTGCGCCTTCTCAGCAAGCCTCAGCATTCTCATATCGCCAAGTTCGAGCTTCTACAGTCAGTCTGCAGTCTCTGTCTACGTCTGGACTTGCTCGCCACATCACACCGAGTACCTCCAGTATGGCACTTCGAGTCACACGTTGTGGCATACATGCCTTTCACGAAGTTCTTGGCATCGATACCGACAAAATACGATTCTTCTGGGTCTTACAATCATATCTTCCCGATGGTCAGCAAACAGCATACCGCGTTGAGTTATCCACATCACAGTCTTTCAACACACTTTCATGGGATTCGACTAAGGTCGAGGGAAACCAACAACGCAACATTCTTTGCGCTCCACAAGGCGGCTTCCAATCCACGACCTTCCACTATTGGAGGGTGACTGTGTGGGACCAAGATGGTAACACATCACAAAGTGCCATCAATGAGTTCTTCACCGCATACCCAAGGTCAAGTGGCTTGCTTCCTCCATACAGCATGAACCAGACCTACATGCCTCACACTAGCCTGATCTTCCGCACCTGGTTCGAGGATGAGGCCAATCGGTGGAAAGGAGTATGGATCGGCGACAATGGGGACAAGCCAGTCTACGTACGCAAAGCAATCCATCTAGACCGAAAGCCGTCCCGTGCTATTGTATTCGCCAGTGGCCTGGGCCACTTCAATTTCGTTTGTAACGGCGACCCCTCGGCGGCAAATGGCCACAAGCTTGACCCTGGTTGGACCAACTACCACCGCACGGTCCAGTTCACTGCGTATGATATCTCCAGCATGCTGCAGCAGGGTGAGAACGTGCTGGGCGCTCACATTGGCAATGGCTTCTACGCCGGAGACCAAGGCGACGACCGTTTCTTCTGGCCTTGCTATGAAGACAACACATATGTGCGATATGGCAACGAGCTATGCTTCTTCGCTGAGCTGCACCTCTTCTACGAGGATGGGAGCCGCGAGACCATCACCACGGGGCCTGATTGGAGCATACGCAAGAGCGCAACGACACTGGCAAACATCTACTCATCTGAGACCAAGGACCTTCGTGCTTACCCACATGGATGGGACACACCAGGCTTCAATGAAGATGACCAGTGGAAGAAAGCTACGCCTGTTACTGGCCCTAGAGGCAAGCTGAAGTACCAGAACCAGCCTCCAGTCGTACTGCACGAGACCTTCACGCCCAAAACGCAGAAGACACTTGAGCCAGGCATCGTCGCCTTCGACATGGGCCAAAACATGACGACGATGATCAAGATCCAGGTTCAAGGACCTGCAGGCTCCGAGGTTATCGTCCGGTTCTCAGAGACAGTCGGCGACAATGGCAAAGTACTCATGCCAGATCCGCTCTTCAAAGCATTCGAGACAGGTGTGTTCTGCAAATTCACCCTCGCCGGCACCGGCATTGAAACCTGGGAGCCCGATTTCTGCTTCACAAGCGCACGCTACATCCAAATCGAAGGCGTCGCTCTGGAGTCGGACAAATCTTGCACCCTGCCTACCATTGTCTCCCTCGAAAGCCGCCACATCTCCTCCGCCGCCCGCCGTCTCGGCACCATGACTACCGACAAAGAAGACTGCAACCAGCTGCTCAACATGTGCTACTGGTCTTTTGTCTCCAACCTATTCAGCTACCACACCGACTGTCCGCAAATCGAAAAGTTCGGCTGGCTCGAAGTCACGCACCTGCTTGCGCCCGCAACCCAATACATTCGGGACATGGAATCTCTGTACAGCAAGATCCTCGACGACATCGTCGACGCGCAGGAACCCAATGGCTTGTGTCCCACCATGGCGCCTGAGATACGGTATATGTGCGGACCTCTGCACGACACGATAACATGGGGCGGCGCGGTGGCGCTGCTACCTGAGATACTGAGGTTCTACTACGGCACCACGCAAGTCTTCGAGAAGCTGTTCGAGCCCTGTGTACGGTATATGGAGTACATAGCCACCAAAGAGCGCGATGGCGGATTGATCGAACACGGTCTCGGCGACTGGGGGCGCGATATAGCCTTTGGCAACAATCAAGCCAATATCGAGACGGCAATCTACTACCGCTGCCTGCGCAACATACAGGGCATGGCCAAGGAACTGAAGAAGGCGGACCAGGAACAGCGGTTCAAGGCGTGGGCAGACCGTATCTTCGCTGTCTACAATAAGCACCTGCTCGTCACGGAGAAGAAGAAATATCCCTACGCATTCTACACGTCCCGCGACGCACCCGGCCTCCAAGACAGGAACATGGTCGCGCAAGCCTTTGCGCTCCAATTCAGCCTCGTCCCCACCGAACACATCGCCGACATCCAAGCCGCCTTCCTCGCCGACTGCTCCGACGCCGGCAATCGTATCCAAGCCGGCGAAATCGGCCTCAAATACCTCTGGAACACGCTCACAGACGTTGACCGCCCAGACCTCGTGCTCGAAATGGCGCGCCAGGAGGAACACCCCTCTTACATGCGTTTCCTGCGCCGGGGCGAGACGACGCTGAACGAGTTCTGGCAGGACGCGTGTCGGAGCAAGTGTCACGATATGCTTGGGACGATATATGAATGGTTTTATGAGGCGGTGCTGGGTGTCAAGTGCGAGACGGAAGCGTATCGGACGTGGACCGTTAGGCCGCCGCTGAGGAGCGAGTTCAAGCATGTGAAGGGGGATGTGGAGTGTCCGTATGGGAAGATTGAGGTTGAGTATGAGCGGGACGGGGAGGTTCAAGGGGTTAAGATGAAGGTCACAGTGCCGACTAGCACGACTGGGTATCTCCTGTTGCCGAGGGAGGAGAGCGAGGTTGATGTCATGCGGGTGCAGGCGGAGCAAAATACAGTGACGGAGAAAGGGAGGAGGGTGGCGTTGAAGCCGGGGCGATATGAGTTGGTGTTGAGGCCCTGAACGACTGCAAGACCGATCTTGTATAACAACATCTACTTCAAATATCGAGCGTGTTGTTGTTGAGACTCTGAGACGGTTGCGACGAATGCCGTATCGCGACCACTCCTGCGCCAGGGACGTGACGGTCATGAGGCCGTTGTAGTTTAGATAGAGGACTGACAAGAGAAGCTGTGGCGTGTTGGCAACGACGACATTGCTGATCAAACCAGCTACGCCTGATGTTGGGAGCGACCATCTGATGAAGGCTCGCGGATCGACAGAGCCGAGACCCTGTGTATAGATGCCAGCTTTATCACGGTCATCGGCTTTGTACCAATATACACACCGTGCTCGAGGACGAAGATAGAGACGCCGACCAGTACAATAAAAGTGGTCAGGAACGCGAACCATTGGCGACTACTGGCAGCCGTGAAGTGGCGTCTTCTCCGTTGATGAAAGTATTTGGGGGGGGGGGGGGCGCAGTCCAACTGATGCTGTTGTACTCGCCGGACTCGGTGCGCTGCGCATAGCTCACAGCGGGCTTGAAGTGTTTCAATGACTTGTCGAGCAAGCACATGCCTTTCGTCTTTGGGTCTGGCGCCATCAAGAATGATGACACAGCGTCTCCAATGGTCAACCTCGGTACGTCTCGGATTCTGAGGGCGATGCACTGCATGGTGGCTGTTTTCAAAAGTCCAATGAGCAGCACCACAAGCATCAGATGGGCACGGTACTCCAGACGACAATGTTGATCGATCTTCTCACTTCTGCAGTACTGGACTGGTTTCTTGAACGGCTGCCAAGGGTCGATCCCACTTTGTACTTTGGAGATCCAGCTTGCGCAACTCGCGCCGTTAGTGGGGTATTGTTGGCAAATCTATTCGACAGGATTGGGTTGATCATCATCAAGACTGGTTACGGGAGCAACTTACGTCTCGTAGTCGGCGATGGCTCCGTCGGTGTAACGTAGGATTGTGTTGGAAACTGCAAGTACGACGCTTCCCGCGCAGACCGGTAGTTTTGGGCATAAGCATTGACACAATCGGTCCTGGTCAGACGCTGAAGACGCCCCGTCTGGGCGAAGTTGAACATGCGATCGCTGATGTTGATCTGATTGTCATCAAATATGCTACTGCGTTTGAAGTTCGGCGTAGACGGTTCGACAAACGATTGTAATAGTTTACCTACAACAAGTGCAATGGTAGAGACGATGTTCCCAATAGGAGCCGAGCACGACGCGCAGCCTGCGTATTTGCCCCAGGCTGCGAATACTAGGAGTCCCAATGTCGACCCATCTGAATTTCGCATGTGCTCGCTCGGCCTCAGCTCTTGTAGGTGCACTCATACACCGCATACAGTAGTTGCTGGCCCCTAACAGCATGGTACCCAGAACGTTGGTGCGTAAGTGAACGCCGATGTTGGTCTTTTTGGTAGTCTCGCATTGGCCGTCATAAAGGAACCGCGTTCCCTCATTGCCGCTGAAACGTGGAAAGCCAGCTCGACCTGCACCTACAAGGAGAAAGAAGGTGTTCATGAAGAGAACAAAACTTCCTGATAGCGCGCAATATCGGATGCCGATTTTCCATTGCGGGTGAGTAGATCGCAGGTCTTTGCTTGTTGAGTCGATCGAAGAGGTTCTCCGTGCATGAGCGCTGAGATCTTCGGAGAGGAGTGCGTTCTGATGCTCAAGGTACTCTGCGGCAAGTTCGTGTCTGCAAGCTATCGCCTTGAGGTTTTTTGTGTTGCAAGACAAACTTTAGATGTATGCAGTTTATCGAAATAGATTTGGGTATCATCGCTAAAAGTCAGAGTCCTTCATCCAGCTGTTTCCATCGCCGGTATCTACACAGCGGCTTCCTGCGCAGCTTCAGCAGCTTCCCTCTTCCTGATCTGCTCTTCCAACCTCTTCTTCTCCGCATTCTTCAGCCTCATCATGGTCACCTCCTCCAGACTCGGTGTCTTGGGACTGAACGAAAACTTTGGTGTGCCTAATGGCGTAGCCCCGGCTCCAGCGCCTAAGCTAGACCCAAATGACGCTCGGAACGACTTCGCTGCGGGTGTTGCCGGCGCCGATGGTGCTGCGGGATGTACGCTTGTCGAGGTAGAGGCGCCGTTGGCGTTGGTCGAGGTAAGGTCCGGCTCGCCGTTCGCCCAGGCTACAGAGTCGAGGGCCGGGTAATCCGCCTTCGCATCCGAGACCGCGGCGTGCGCATGGTCGAGCCGTCCATAGACAACGAACACCATAGCCACCAGCTTTCGATGTTTCTCACCCTCGAGCTTCAGCTTCTTGTCCTTGCCCATGATAATGCTATCAATCTTGCCGTACTTCTCGAACATGTTCCTGACTGTCTCTTTGTGCCAGGTCGTCGAGTCGCCTTCCCTGTGGAAGCGTATCTTGATCGTACGGTCAAGCTCAGCAGACTGCCCAGGCTTCGGCGCTTGCGGCTGAGGACTTTTGACTGGCTCTGCGGTAGCCACCTCCTCTTCTTTGCGCGCCTTGTCTTTGCGATCCTGCGCCTCTTTCCGTCGCCTCTTGCCATCCTCCGCTAGGCGTTGAATCTCCTGCTCCCTCCTCTCTGCCTCACCCATGTCTGCTGCGCGCTTCCTCTTCAAGCTTGGCCCAAAGTCTGCGCTTTCCCTTTCTCGACGCTCCAGCTCCTCCTTCATCTTCCGCCTATTCCCACTCAGCAGCTGCTCTTGGAACGCTTTCTCGCGCCGCCGCGTGCGTGCACGGTCGTATTCAGCCTTCAGCTTGGAGTCTATGAGAATGTCGCGCGCCCATCCCAGAGCGATGAACTTATCGGCAGCATCTTTACTGTCTGGGTTCTTGTCCGGGTGGTAGCGGATCGAGGCTTTGCGGTATGCGCGCTTGATGACTGCTTCTTCGGCATCGAAGGGGACGCCGAGAAGCTCGTAGTAGTCTTCGTTGGTCGAGCGCGCGAGCTCCTGGAGATCTGTGTTGGTGTCGCCCATGGCGGCGGTTGTGCGGTGCGTTGCTCGCTATGCGCAGAGGACGAGAACAGCAGCACGACCGAAAGATGCTGTTCGGGGGGGGGGGGGGGGCAACAGCGGCCTCACGTGCTGGGAGTGCGAGGTGGAGTGCGAGGTGGAGTGCGAGGTGGTGTTCGAGGTGTAAGTCGCACACGTGCCAGGCGGCAGAAACAGTTCACATGCAATTGCCCACTAGCGCACCGTTGGACTTCTCCAGGGCTTGGCATCGTCGGGATCTTCGGAGAATTATCAGAGCTCCCTCCAACGGCTGGAGCTCACACGCCTCACCTCCCCATGTCAGTTGCATCTACGCTTCGACGCACGATGACTACTCCGCCGAAGGAAGGTGCTGCCGCTGGTCGGAAGGTGCTCGAAGGTGTCTTTGCCATCAACAAGCCTCAATGGGCGTCCTCGGCCGGTGTGCTGCGTGACCTGCAGACCGAGTTCGCCAAATCAGACCTCTTCCAGCCATGGCTCGAGTCCACGCGTCGCCAGATGCTCCTCTCGGGATCGAAGAAGAAGCATGTCGAGCAACTGAAAGTCAAGCTCGGCCACGGCGGGACCCTTGATCCCATGGCCACTGGCGTCCTCATCGTTGGAGCGGGCAAGGGCACAAAAGAGCTCGGCAAGTTCCTCGAATGCACCAAGAGCTACGAGTGCGTCGTCCTCTTCGGCGCAGCAACAGACAGCTACGATGCAGTCGGCAAAATCATCAGCAAAGCCGACTACGCGCACGTCACGCGCGAGCTGGTCGAGGAGAAGCTGAAAGACTTCCGGGGCGACATCATGCAAAAGCCCAGCGTCTTCTCCGCGCTGAAGGTCGACGGGAAGAAGATGTACGAGTACGCGCGCGAAGGAAAAGACGTGCCCGCCGTCGCCGCACGCCGTGTCACCGTCGAGGAACTGGAACTGGTGGAATGGCTCGAGCCAGGGACGCACGACTTCGCCTGGCCCGCAGAAGAAGTCGACGACGAGGGAAAAGCAGGCGCGGAGAAACTGCTGGGAATCCGGAAATCCGACGCCGTCCAACACCTCCGCAACTCGAAGCGCGCGCGCTCGCCGGACACGAACCCGACCGCCGCACGCTCCGTCACACCCGCCTCAGACCACCCCATCAAGGACGCGGGCCCGCAGCCCAAGAAACCGCGCACCGACAGCGAACCAGCCATGTCCGGCGCCCTCCCCGCGTCCACCCAGCACCCGCACCCGCACCCGCACCCGCACCCGCAACCGCTACCGCTACCCTACCACGCACAATCCACCTCGCCCTCGCACACAGGGCCTGACGCAGACGATGTAGAAAATGCAGAAGACGTACAAGCGCAACCGCAGAACACCGACGAAAACGCCGCCCTAGGCAGCGTAGAGCGCCCGCTCGACGCAGACATCCCCGAACCCCCCGTGCCGGTGGAGAAACAGCCAGCAGACAGTGTGGAGCAGGCCGAGGTTGTAGACCAAGCGTTCACCAGCGCTGCCAACCAAACACCAGAAACAAAGCCGATTGATAAGGCGCACCAACCACCCGCCGCACGACTACGCATGACGGTGACGTCTGGCTTCTACGTCCGCTCGCTGTGCCACGACCTCGGGCTGGCATGCAACTCTCTCGGCCTCATGTCGAGTCTAGTGAGAAGCAGACAGGGGGCCTACGACCTGGGCGGAGAAAACGTCCTCGAGTACTCTGACCTCGAGAAGGGTGCGGGGGTGTGGGAAGCAAAGGTCGAGGGCATGCTGGACAGGTTTATGAGGAGGGAGGGGTGGGAGCAGGAGGTGCTCGAGGACGAGGAGAGCTGGCAGGCGAGGAAGACAGAATTCATGGCGAACCGGAAGGACGACGACCGCAACCGAAGCTACAGAGGAGGAGGTGGTGGGAGAGGGAAGTACAGGGGTGGTGGCAAGGGACAGGGCAAGTATAGCAAGAGCATGAATGGTGGGCGGAGGGACTAGGAGTCCTCGAGGAAGAAGCGACAAGCAAAGCAGTGATACCCCAAACAAAGATGAAAACAACAGCAACTCTTATGAATATCTTAAGAATACGTCTCCCTGGGTGAACGCCGTGCAATGCCATAGGTATCCCGCTCAACGCCCAAATCGAAACAATCAGAGCCCAGATCGAAACAACCAGAACCCAAAGATGCCAATCAACGCCCGCCTCCCCTCCATCTACCCATGTACACTCGCCCTCGAGCTCCTCCGGCTGTGAAAGCTCTCGCGCATACTTCGGATCCCCTCCTCAACACGCACAATCGGCTCAGCGCCCTGCAGGCCCTCTTCTTCATCCTTCCGATCCTCATGGTTGATAAACAAAAAACTGACCACCATGATCGCCGCACCAACCCAGTACAGCCAGCTCGCATACTGCGCGTCCAGAACCATTTGGCCGACCAACGATAGTGGGATGGTGAGCGACAGTCCCACCGAGACGATGAGCGGGGAGGTGAGAAGCATAGCATACGCCCAGCAGAAGTCGCTAACCAAGCTGGACGCGCTGTTCACGAGAACGATGGCGAGGATTTTGTTGGTGGGTGGGAGTTGGAACGGCTCGATGCCCGTGATGTGCAAGATGACGAGGCCCGGCCATAAGAGCAGGACGTTGGAAAGGCCGACGAAGCCGAAGAACAAGGGCATGTTCACGCGCGACTCGTCGCCCATGCGCTTCTTCATAAACACCGCGTAGAACCCGTACAGCACGGCAGAAACAAAGGCCATGACGTCGCCGAGCGCGAGTTCGCGCGGCGTTTTGTGCGGGAAGGAACCACGGTTCTCGTCTGTTTCGCCCGAGACGTCGATGGTGGAGATGAGGGCTACGCCGGCGAGGGAGGCGCCTACACCGATCAACTTGCGCACAGTGAAGCGCTCGACGCGCAGCATCGAGCCGCACAGAAGTGTCCAGATGGATGATGTGGACGCCAGGATCGTGCTGGATGCGACGGTGGTGTACGACAAGCAGGCGGCGGCGAAGTAGTTTGCTAGGAACCACAGGACGCAGAATTCCAGCGCTAGCTTCGCGGTTTCTTGCAGTGTTAGACCTTCATCGTCTCGCAGCTCGCGAATGTCGTGCACGCTGCCGTGCGAGCTGTCGCCGAGGAGCAGTTCTGCGCCCTCGCCGTCGCCCGATTTACTCGGCGACCGGGACGAGGAGGCCGATTCATGATCGCGGAGGAGTGTCCACTTTCCTGCGCGGCGGTTGAGCAGGGCGCGGAGGGAGGCGGCGAGGGGTTGGCGGCGTGTGGTGTTACCGCGGTCGGCCCAGAGGTGGTGCAGGGCCATAGGAATGAGGGGAATCAAGAAGAATGCGGTGTTGACATAGGTGACTAGGTATGGTTTGTCGTAGGAGGAGTCTGCGAATATCGTCTGTTGGAGTTAGCCTGTTCCTTGGTCTGTCGAGCATTGGTGTGGACAAGCAGTGTGTCAATACGTACGCTGGCCAGGAAGTTGGACGCTGTCCATAGGAATACTGTCGCCAACAGCAGCGCAATACCAACCGCATGCCTGGTTCTGCTGTGTGGTTTCTTCCCCTCGTCCCACACGCTCACTACGCTCGCCGGCGAACGTACGGGGCTCTCCAGAAAGTCATCGTCGTATAGAAAGCTAGCGTCGTTGGACACAGTGCTACTGCGCGGGCTGAGGGGCGTCGAGGGCGAGGGCTCCACCTCCTCCTGTCGTCGCGGGATCATTATGAATAGGTGTTGGTCTAAAGAATGTGGTTCGGTCAGGGAGGGCGCTCAGCGAAGCCAGTATCGGCGTTGTACGGGATCACGGCCGGGAGTCGGGTATCGAAGTGCAATAGAGGGCCCATGGGATGGCTGGGTGGTGCGAAGGCCAGAGGCGGCGTGTCAGCTACTGCAGTGACTGCCTGAGCATGCAGCGTGACCAGCGAATGTCCGGGATGGAGTCGTGGTTAGAGATGCGCAATGGTTCAGGGTCGCGTGTCTCAGATCACAGGATAGCGCCGGGACTTCGTGCTGCAGCCACACTTCACGTCATGTCGGCTATGGGTGCACAGGAGCCGTCACATGCGCCACGTTTGTGTATGAAAGATATCGCATATTATAGGTGATTCGATATTCACTATCAGTCGCTATACACCCAGTGATGACAACTAAGCAAGAAACGACCTCGCACAGAGGCATGCAATACACCGTACACCAGACTCCGCGGAACGACACAGGGCTATTCGAGGGTATAACTGTCCTCACGAACAGTGCTTCCTGCAAACTCGTGTACACTAGCACGCGCATCCGCCCTCGTTACCCTTCAGGTCGATGGGGATGGTCTCAGGGAAGTCGTTGCTGAAGTCGCCGACGTCCTCCTGAGCAAGCGCTTGCCGTGCGATGACTAAAGTTGTTATCAGCATGTTGCGCATTTCATGGACCGTGCTTTACGCACCCTCGAATGCCTGCTCGACGTTGATAGCGTCCTTTGCGCTGGTCTCAAAGTAGGGAATGCCGCCTTTCGACTGGCAGAAAGTCATGGCGCGCTTCGAGGAGATCTGGATCGGGGATTAGCCACCGTAGCGCTTCTCAAGGTCTCGTCGAACTCACCATCCTCTTGCTCTCCTCGACGTCGATCTTGTTGCCAATAACGACCTGTCCTGGTTAGCCGTGTCCTATCTCCCGTGTCTGCATGACCACATACGAATGGGAAACTCTCAGGATCCATGGGACTAGCCTGGACCAGGAATTCGTCCCTCCAGCTGTCGAGCGTGTCGAAACTCTTGGAGTTGTTGACGTCGTACACAAGCACGCAGCAGTCGGCGCCTCGGTAGAATGCGACGCCCAGCGACTGGAAGCGCTCCTGTCCAGCGGTATCCCAAAGCTACAGATTGTCAATCGTTGAGGCGTATTATGGGGTTCGCGCGACCCACCTGCATGGTAACGAGCCTGTCATCAACCATAACTTCCTTCGTAAGGAAGTCGGCGCCTATTGTCGCCTTGTAGCTTGCGCTGAACTTCTTGTTGACCTATGTCTCTGCTGTAAGCGCAAGTATCCTGCTTGAGATCGTGCGATCTTCGTATGGCCGTCGCAAAGGGTAGAACCGTACATATTGGTTCATCAAGCTGGTCTTGCCGACACCACTGTCACCGAGGATAATGACCTGCATACATCAGCGGGCTACAGCATCTCTGACAAGAGCCTGACTACCTTAAGGAGGACCTTCTTCCTGGACGCCATTGTGTATGTAGAGTTGCTTGGTGAGGTGTGGGGTGGAGGAACGGTACAATTGCTGGAGGATCGAAGCTTCGTTGATGAGGGTCGAAGTGTGGAGCGTGATCGAGTTGGATACTAGGCAGCAAAGACTTGCGACTACGATGCGGAACGGTGCTAGAAGAATGCGCAAGACGTCGGATAATTCGCAATGTCTATGGAAGCGGCACCAAAGAGATATGCCGAGCTTGAGTTGTCTGCACTTGAGGACCCAGATGTTGATGTCAGTTCCAGCCTCGCAGACGGCTTGGCGCGCTAACGGTTGCCGCAAGCTTTGCTCGACCGCGGCTCGCAGCCCTAACAACCAGTACAACGACACCTTGTCATTTGTAGGCTACCGTCTCTCACTTGAGTTTCGAGACACTACCCCAGGTTTCTGAACGATCAGCAGATTCACAAAGGGCTTCGCCAAGCGTACAGTTATGTGTTAGCAATGTACCCCCCATGTTACCACGCTGCACCACTACTCAGTCGAGCTCACAAGCCTGTTGCCGAACGTTTGCCTGCAGATCGTAGACTCTGGAAGATCGACTTCAGGCTGATTAAATGACTGAAGACCCATCGTACGGGCTACCAGGACTTACCACCATTGATGAAGAAGTTCCTTTCAAATACGAGAAGATCAAGCGCCTATCAGTAATCTTACGTCCCTTGGATTCGATTACCAGAATCACTGCATCCAAGTGGGCCACCAGAGGCTGGACGTACCAAGAGGGATATCTGTCACGCAAGCGAATCTTCTTCACGAACAAAAATGACCATTTCATCTGCAATGCATCTACTACCAGTGCAGCTCTGCATAGATTTCTTCCGCGAGCAGGCCAGAGGCCGCGTCCACTTAAGGTTTACTCCGAAGTCAGTGACTGGACCTACCGCTTGGCTCCTTTCACCCGCAACCTGGAAGCTTATAGTTCCCGTCAGTTGTCTGTGGACTCGGACGCCTTGGATGCCATTACAGGTGCTCTTAACGATCAGATGGTCAACGAGAAGCCTGTACATCATCTATGGGGCATTCCCATCTTTGAGACCGACATCGACTACGATCTTGGCCCATTGAAAAAGTTCTCTAAAGGTAGAATTCAGCATGGGACCAGGGAGTGTCCCGTCATTGAGTTTCTACTACACTGGAATCACTCACGACCTTGTCGTCGCAGATCCGAGTTTCCTAGCTGGTCGTTCCTGGGCTGGGCAGGACGAATTGACTACCTCGCTTGGCCTAGGCAGACACACATCGGAGAACACTTCATCGTACACAATCTTCAGGCAGCTGGGCACGCAAAATTTGCACTGACCCCAACAGGGACTCATTATCTAGATGTAACAACCTCCACGATACCCCTCGCACTTGTGGATGTCAAATGCCCTGTTGATACGACACAAAATGGCTACTACGCTGTTGCTCGTCTCGATGCCAACACGGAGGCATATGTCCAAGTACATTGGAGCCGAGACCCTGGAAGCATTCGACGGGAGGGATCCACCCTAACAGGAGCTTTGTTCATTGACGAACGAAAGCTTCTGAAAGAGATATCGTCAACAACCAGTTTTGTACTCGAAGGAAACGGGAATCGTTACGAGCGCATAGGCTCGTGCACTATCTTTAGCATGCAGCTCAAAACTCTGCCAGATACTGTACGGACAATGTCTGGTTCAAGCGTGATTGTCAAGAGTTGGGAGTACAAGGAGGTGAGAATGCAGGAATGGCAGAAGAGGGCGACGAGGGAAAGGATACTGATCGGCTAATGGTCACTACCCGTCGCACATATACCTCCGTGGTGCCAAACGTCTGACTGCCTCCAGGCTGCAATTTTAGACCAACCATTGCAACCTGCTGCTGAAGATCCATTTGGAGCCATATCTTCAACAAATCAAAGCCTCATCCTGTCGGTCCCACCCAATGCATAGCAGCCTGCGAAGAATGATAGCTCACCCGACACCCAGAACTTTTACCGTACAGGCCACAGCATTGCCACTTGAAACCTCGCGAATACCTCAGACGGTTCTTGGGTGTATCCCTGGGGCCGTTACGGGCGTCGTCCCAGTTATACCACACCTCGCTTTGTAGGTCAAGCACAGGCCTTTGGTCTGGATAGTGTTAGCAGAATGGTGCGTTTTATCTCAAGGGAGTGCTTACATATGTGGAAGACACAGCTGGTCCTGTTGTTCTCGGCGTCGTCGTATTCGTCATAGCATTGGGTACATGTCTGGAGATCCTGCTCGTAGTTTACTTTCGGTGTTGCTGCTGGAGGCTGTGGTGCTGGGGCCCACGATGGTGAACCCTGTGGTATTGCAATCTGATTGTGCATATACCAGTTTGTTCTTTCACCCTCTGTCGCTAGAAGCTCTGGGTCTTGCACCATCCTCGGTATCTTTGTCATCTTATGATGTCCGGGTCGATTCTCCCTGCCACTGACTTGTTTGGGCGGCTCGGACTGGATACCAAACCCCTCCAGTGCTGCTTCGTAAATGCACTGATGACCTCCACAGGGTGCATCACAGGCGGGGTTGTGGAGCGCGATGGGCCTGTAGTAAACTGGTCCAGGACGGAGCCATTGGTCGCTCATATTGAGCTTGTGGCGGCGTTCGGTATCTTCGATAGTAGGCATTATGCAGGGTAAAGAGAGTCGTGACGAAGGTATGACTTGACACACGTCTGTGAAATTCACTGTTCAGGGTTGGGAATGTGCTTAGCAGTGTGCTTAATTGATCCCTGTTGTTGGCCATTGGTGCTTCCTAGATGGTAGCGATGAACCCTTGATTCCTCACTGACTTCAGGGTGCCCAATATCAGACAGGGCCCAATGACCATGTTGAATGAATCCATTCTCAATTCTCTGAATTCAAGTGAACAAGCACTTCCTCACGCTCCGGCCATGGCCAAAGTCCAAACCGTATCTTAGGTCTTCATTCCATTTGATCTCACTGTATGGTAGAAGGTTCCTTTGAGTGGAGACTTCTCTGGTAGCAATACCATAACTCAGTTGCACCCCGTAAGATCGGTGGATCCAACCTTCGTCCTAACTCTCTCGTGCGATCGGGGCGGTGAATGCTCTTTTTACACCCGATATCGTCGCCGCTTGTTTCGCAGCACTCCTATTGAATCCCCGTGAAATTTGTTTGCGATTAAGAGGTGTTTCTTTGTACTCGTGGCATTGTTCCTCCCAGTCAAGCCAAGTCTTCGTTATCGTAGAAGGGTAAGGGTTCGCGGACTGTGTTCGGTCAGTATTTGTTGCGGTATCAATCGGTCCGTACAAGGTCTGACTATACCTATAGCAGACTAACCTGGTCTAGTGTGTTATCGATCAGGCATATAGTCGTCTTCTCCTAGCTAGATAGCAACTCAGCGCAGTATTCTATCAGCTCGATAGCCCTACATTGTCGTTCACCGTAGGTATCATTATACTACAGCGGCCTACGCCGCCACAGTATGCACTCCTTTGGGCGCCACAGGGGTAAGAAGTACGTACATTCATGACATATGCAATCTTCGCGGTTGTTGTTCGGGACATCATATTCGACTCGCACTGGGCGCAGATCTCATATCGTTGGCGCGTATAGGTTGGTATTTCCCGAAGAGTTGGATTCTGCTCCTTGGCCTCATAGTCCTGCGGCGTGAGAGGCGGGCTCCATTTGAGGACACCTCTCCCGTCTTCTGGTGTCGCATAGTCGCCGTCAACTTCATCAAAGTCATCTTTCAAGGTTGAGTTTTCGTCGCTATTACTTCTGCCGTCGTCGGTGTCGTCGTTGCTATCCATATCCTCCTGGTCTTCTTCATTATCCGACAGATCCGACAAATAACACCCTCTCCCCCCTTGCACCAAGCGTTATCTTCCTGGTATTTCTTCGTGACACGGATCCGCTTTCTGACATCCGGATCTGTGGCTTTCTTCAAAACACCTCGTTCGAGCAAAGGCTTCTCAGACGCCAGCTTTGCGGCTTCGGCATCTTCCCTGCATATCTCTTGCAGCACTTTGACCAGGCGTGGAGATCCAGCCGATTTGATTGCGTTGAAAAGCAGGTCCTGAGTAGAATCCATGTTGGCGTAATGAGTTTTATGAGGGAGTCTAAGAACGGGGGACTCATTCCATTAATATATCTTTGGACCCTCGAGCGGCTGCCGTTGGTGCGCAGAGTTGGGTAAGGCACACCCGATCCGAGCCAACAGTGAGGCGCACATCTCCACGACTTATAGCTTCGGGGGTCTGAGCCAAGTTTTAAAAGGGTCCTAGCAGCTTCATTACAGCTAGAACTATAAAATTCTGCATTCATGGGTAAGTCGATAGTAAGGTTCCATCTCTTTCAGTCTTGCAAAGATGCATTTCCACCAGACGCTGAAGAGAACCGCGACTAAGGTAGGCACGTAAGCTCCAAGGAATTATAGAGGGTTTGCTTTGGTATAAATTTCTGGGCCAGGAGCGCCAACAATTGGTGGTGTGGGGCAAGGAGAAAGGGTCACGTTCCTAGGTATGGTTCAATTTCCCCAGATTGGTACACAGGTTTCCCAATAAGGGAGGACTCGGTCAGCAGTTTGCGGGAGGCTTCGCGTTTCTCATTTGATGGAAATACTGCGATCTTTTCGGGTCAATGTGCGCCAAGGTACGCTGCTGACGCGATTTGCAAAAGGGCAAAGACGACAAGCGTGACTATGCAGAAGGCGATGAGACATCCAGTGCGTAGTTCTGCCCGGACTATAACGCTCTCTCTTTGCAGTTGATCGGTACAAAGCGAGCAAATGATGCGCGAAGACCCAGCTTCTTCGTGGGTGAGATGACCATGTGGTGTCTGTCCGGCTACAGTGGTCGGCTCGTGTATCACCATCTTGACTCATAAGAGGTGAAAGTCTGCTCTTAGGCCGCTCTCCCAAGGAGTCGACAGAGGATTACCTTATGTTGATCATGCAAATGGCTCTGCATTCTAGTGGGAGTGCTACTGAACGGTGGCTTGCGGCTGAGGGAAGCTCGGCACATCTGCTTCGACCTCTCCTGCAGAACACTGTCCATTCAGAGTGGCGATCCTCTGAACTGCTGCTTTGTATCATATATTGCGATAAAGATGTTAATCACAAGCATAATCGGCTATGCTTGAGTGCGTTAGTGTGACGCGTCCATATACGGGACGCAAATTCCGCAACCTTACTTTCCATTGATCCTCCATCGAATTTCCATCAACTTGCTCATCATGCCTGTACCCGAAGTCTACACGTGTGAGCTACTTTACGATGTCATTAAGTCTTCGAGCCAAGGTCGGCTTCGTAGCGTGCTATACCACATCTTTGCCACCAACAGAGACGCGTTCGATGGAGCGTGTGACATGCTGCCTCTCCAACAAGGCAAGCTCAGGCAAACCACAGATTTAAAAGCTCATGATACGACGACGGTATTGCACCGGGACCCGGGTGAAGGACCCACCAACGAAGAGTGTAAAGCTGCTATAGACAAATTTGATCTGTCCGACGAAGAGCTGAACGGAACGCAGCAAGCTGGCTCGAAGAGGAAGCATGCTTATACGCGCTAACGATACGAAGTTTGTGGTCAATGCGACAAAGAGTATGATACTATAGACAACAAACAGGATAGCTGTATCTGGCATGATGGTGATAAATCCATGAAACGACGTATCCGATTTACTTTGGCTGACCACTGCGCAGAAGAGCTCGGTTTCGACGATGAAGCTAGCGTTTAGGAAGACTGGAACAAGGGTGACCAAGGACCAGATAATACCGAAGAGAATCGCAAGGAGTTTCTTCAAAGCTTCAGATGGCTGTGCTATGATATGAATGCAGCCGCGTCGGGTTGCAAGATAAGTGTTTATCGACCCGATCGAACTAAAAGATTGAGAACGACGGGACTGTGACATCGGAAAGATGAGCAGGCTAGTGAAGTTAATACTTCCTTGTTGGTATATTATTTGATCTACTCGGTCGAATCCGGCTCAAAGTCATAGCCGTACACAATCGCATCAATCTTCCTTCCAGGATAGCTCTTTAGCTTACCGCATTTCTTGACACGACCAATCCTCTCGAACCCTAGTGAGTCCCAAATTTTTGTAGATGCCACGTTGGTCTCGTACACTAGATTGAAAACTGAGTATGTGAAACCCTGCACATGTCAGTCTTGTCGTTCAGTGTGGCACGTTACAAATACATACCAGCTTCGGTGCCCATCGCAGATACTGCTTGCCTAGCAATTTTCCAACACCCTTGTTTCTCGCAGCGCTAGTGACAAGGAAACCAGCATTGCAGACGTGACTACTTCGTCCAGGATAATTCGGCTTGATGTAGAAGCTACCCAGACACACATTGCTCCAATCGGCGTCCATATTCTTGACCTCTTCTGAACTCTTGAAGTCGCCTTCCAACATTACTGTGCCGAAGACGCCAAACCAGTAAGGCCCAAAGCTTTCCAGGGGTAGTGCGTCAAGCATGGGATATGTGTCGCCACCTTCAATCTCAGCTGAAAGCTGTGCATGTAAGAAGGCAACCAGCGACGGAGGGACTTGGTCAAGAGAGGTGAACGGAAGGATGGTCGCGGCTGAGCCATTCTTTAGCGTCACGTGCTCCGGAGTGAATTCGTGTGCAGCTTTGTCGACCTTGTGTAGGATTGGCGGGGAAGTTGGGTCATCGAGCATTGCTGGCATAGCGGCGATTGGTGTGTTGTAATCGATTGAGGTGTGGCAGAACGATGTTTTGGGGATACGGTAATGGTCTCGAGGCTCAATGGCAGTTTTGAGGCTGATAGGGCGTGAAGATGTACAAATGTATGGGGAAGCTACGGTTTGTAGACCGAGCGCTAGCGCGGGGCTCCGATCTCGCACCGTCGATCTTCATTCCATCGGACAAACGCTCTCCAAAACACTACATACACACATCAACTCAGTTAACAGATTCTGCGAAACAACATACAACGAGTATGTTCAAACCGTACTCGAGAGTCAAGGATGTAATCTACCTCGATCATCCACCCTGCCTCGCCTACCAGCACAATATTATGGTACCTGCGTAACGCCTTTGGGTAGGGGATTTGCTAACATTGAAAATATATTGCAATCTCGATGCGGGCGGAGCAATATTGCTCCTATACATGATAACCTGCCGTATGCAAGGGCTTGATATGGTGCAATGGCACGGTTGTTAATGTTCATCTTCTTGTGGGTGCAGATGTTTTGAGAACTTGTCGACTTTCCCTAGCTCAGCGCGCCACGCCTGGGAGCACAACACGATATTAACGCGTTCATCGCATACTTCCACTCCGTTTTGTCGTCCATTACTTGACCTTTCGTACCTCAATCGCCGGTGAACATCCTCTCAACGGACATGTTGTCGTCAAAGGCGCCTCTGCGAGCGTCAGCACCATCTCGTAAAAAGGCGACATCCTTTTGTGTGAACCCGACGTCAGAGACGTCTCAACCATCTTGAATCAGAGGATCTGCCTACGAGAGTGCTAAGATCCGGCTCGGGGCCAATGCCCACGCAACAAGATACCCAGAGGATCAATACACAAACCCGTGGGCCATTCCAGTTCTTCAAACACGGAATCTGGAAGTGACTGAAAATAGACCTGCAAAGCTTGGAGAGACTGTGATAGTGCCGCGCAAATAGCCTGTTCTTTCGCAATGCATCAAGCTCCCCAATCTCTTGCAGGTCCCGGGCGGGATAAACCTTTCTGTGGCACCCAACGAGCTCCCTGCCAGGTCAATCGAGGGAGCTGCGTCGTCATATGACCTGTCAGCATTGGCAGCGAAAGAGCCACATGCAACACAGGAACAAGAACTGCTGGGCCAGCCATGGTATTCCAACACCAATGCTCCATGGTTTGAAATATTTCAGTTTGGCTCAAGGGCTTTTGTGTGGTAAGCATGCTCGTACAACTTGGACACACATATGGTATAGCCATGCGATAATCTGACAAAGACGCAGTGACAAAGGAAGGTTTGCCAGTAGCGAACGCTTGCTTCCAGAAGGCGTCGCATCCACTCCTAATAGATGGTCTTGGGTGTTCGGGGCACCCTCAGACCAATTTAAGGCCAAATTGAAGTACCTCGGTCACCACAAGGTGTTGAAAACTCGCATTTATCATGCCATGATCATGGAGGGTTTGGCGTAGCAGCAGGTAAAGGCTAACCCTCTGGACCGGCCCGGCTCGATCACAAAGGCTTTGCGCGCTTTCCGACCATTTCCAATCCAACAAAGACACTTTACAGCTAGGTTACAGGTTTGTTGAGATCAGTGCTATGTCTGTGAACGACGGTGTCTGGAATGTTACAAATTCTGAAATGATAGCAAAGTTTCGTGACTCGCAGCGTATGAAGGACGTGGATTGACAACGTCAAACTTCCATACCCTCTTAGCTCGGCTAGCACGCTGCCGTCACATCATTGGATACATAACATCACCAACCCAACCATCTCTTCTAGTGACTTGGCGTCCATCACTTTCTTCACAGCCTCTGGATCCGTCATAATGACATCAAAACCATGGCTCCACTGACGTTACAACTCCACCCCGCCATCATAGCAGCAACTCCGGATCAACTGCACTTAGTGATCCGTGAATTGGTCAATGAGAGTATTTAAACGAGGGAGTTCGCAAGTGCTAGGTTGCTACCGCAATATAGCAGCTCAAAAAATGTTACGAAACAATAGAAGATCCTGCCGGTGTTAAACCCAGCTCAACAGTGCATGAGGAAGCAGTCAAACAGACGATAACTCAGTCTGCTGCGCTACAACGCCCCGAGGCAGAAGATTATGCGACAGCCTACAAAAGTCCAGAGTGGGAAGTATGAGGGTGAGAATACTTGGATCCAGACAAAAGTGAAGATCACGAAGTCAGTGACTAAGACGAGGAAGAGGAAGATATTCCGGCCGAGAAGTAGGATTTTAGTACTTGGACGAGGAAACGTATGAGACCTGTCACTAGACATGAGATATGCATCCAATATTTCAGCATTTATGATCCTATTATTAACAAGGAAGGCAGCTATATCTGGCACGTAGGCAAGTAAAATATGTTTGAATTGTTGATTCCAACGCTTACTGCTGTGACGAAGACGAACTCGAGCTTGACAAGGAGCATGAAACCTGGGACGACTATGGGGAAACGAGATTTGAGGGGTGGATACCAAAGCAAATCGTAAAGACAGTCCCGAGGGATTCGAGTGGGAATATTGCAGCAAATGCGGTGTTCAACCGGGCTATCAATTGAGCAAATACGCCCCAGATCCATAACGGCTGAAAAGAAGACAGGCCGTGAGAAATGAGCGCAGGTGCGAGCGGGATGGACAAGAGCGTTCGCGACGGGCAAGTTTAGCACGAAGTGGGGGTATGATGGTAGGTTATAGACGAGGCTACTAGGTCTTCTACACCATAAAAAGGGACAAGGACCAAGAGGAGGTAAACAACAAGAATGCAGCATAGAATGAAAGCTTGCTGATCAGCGTGTCAGGCTCTTGGTGTGCCAGGACATGCAAGAGCTCCAGATGTTCGCCTCGATGGACTTTACGTCAACTGTGGTATGTCTGTTCACTCATCATCACCGGCGGTTTAAGAGTCGGATCGGGATGGCTGGGGCGGTGCTCCGTTCCTGCAAGACGACCGCCCTACAAAATTATAGACACGCGTCACACATAGCGAAAGAGAGTTCTCAGATCGATGCATGAAGCTGTGAACCGTAACTCATTACACTAAAGTATCGCACCCTAATGCTTCGGTGCAAATATAGGCATACTCTTCAACTCCCTCTTCGCATTCGTCTGCATACATCCGGTCTGCAGTCGGAGTTTGCTAGCGAAACTATAGAGCAACCTGCATATTCACATGTAGCAGGAAAGATTTGAAGTGAACGAGCGTTCGCAAAGAATGTTCAAGGTCGCCGTTATTCAAAGATAGCTCGTTGCTTGGTGTTCGAGTGTTGGTACCAACAGGTAGCCACGGCTCGTTGAGGCCCACGATACAGGAGGACGAACAAAGAAAAGTACTTAGTTAAGAGTAGCTTAGTAGTGGACCTCGTATTCGGTAGGCAAGGCCTTCTTTCGACAAGGCTGAGCGCCTCATGCAAGACGGATTTCTCTTCGATGCTGATGAGCGGCGGCACTGCTCTGACGGGGAGCACGATAGGAATCGTCGACAAGTCGCAGTCTTTCCTTTGCTACAGCTTCGCCTTGTCTATCTGTATCTTCTGCAAGCCATCTTTCAACTCGTCAGCCATGCCTGCCTTCCCCGGCTTCCTGCTCTCGCGGTCAACGAAGACATGGACGAACTCCCCAACAGCCTTCACTTCCTCCTGGCCGCGCTCGAAGACGCCTATCTCATAGGTCACGGAGCTCCTACCCAGCTTGTTGACCCGCAATGCGAGGTCTACGATGGCTGGAAACTCGGTGGGGGCGAAGTAGTCACAGTGGGAGTGCACTACAAGACCGATTTGAGAAGAGGTGGGCGGGTGAAGATAGCAATGCTTGATTAGGTATGTGTTCACGACTGAGTCGAAAAAGTAATAATATACGCTGTTGTTGAGGTGATGGTACATGTCATTGTCGCTCCTAAACTGCGTCAGCCAATGCTTGTCGTCCAATGCAGGGTATCATTGCACCATCGCGTCCGGTACTCGAGCTGAAACTTGTAGTCGCTGCGACGACGTGCTTTCAATGCATTGTGAACCATAACGTGATCGGTCTGAATCGTAGTATGGAGAGGTGTGATGAAGCACCGCGAGACGCGTCCTGGGTGACAAGTCTTATCGATACCGTCAAGCCTCGGCTCATGCAGCAGACCGCTTTTTTCACCCAAGGTTCGACAGCCCACCACAGCAGCAGAGCCCCGCAATCATCCGTCACATTGGCGCCCTCTCCTCGCATCCTCGCCTACTTGGCCTCCAAAGGACGCCTACCCGTTCCGAAAACACCCTCCGGCGCTACATCCATGGCTCTCGTGCCTTCGCCGGTGCGCGACAAGTATCCTCCCCTACCTGACGACGATTTCCCCTGGAAAGAGCCACCAAAGGTTGCTATCACACCCTGCAATCCCTGGCCGCCGCCATACTATCTCGAAGATGGTTTGCGCAAGGTGACACCGTATCACTACACCTACAACACATTTTGCAAGCAGCGCTGGAGGGGGCGCGAGATTCTCGACATATTTACCAGCGAATTCCGTGATCGAGACCAAGGGTACTACGAGAAGGCTATCATAGAAGGTCGCGTCATCCTGAATGGTCAGCCCGTCCCGAGCACCAGTACCATCGTGAAGAATGGCGACGTAATCTCACATACCCTCCACCGGCACGAGCCACCATGCACGGCGAGTCCTATTGGCATCGTTCACGAGGACAACGATATCATTGTCATTGACAAGCCTGCGGGCATGCCAGTTCACCCAGCTGGCAGGTATCACTACAACTCGATCATCGAGGTCATGAGAGCAGACCGTGGGTACGGGTGGAATCCGCTGCCTTGCAACAGGCTGGACCGGTTGACGAGCGGTATCATGTTTATTGGGAAACACAAGCAGGCAGCTGAGGACATGAGCGCGCAGATTCGGGGGCGGACTGTAAAGAAGGAGTACATCACCCGTGTGGTGGGCGAGTTTCCAGAGGGCGAGATCGTATGCGAGAAGCCTATCCTCCAGATCAGCCCCAAGCTCGGCCTCAACGCTGTACGCGCGAACGGCAGAGAATCTAGAACGGTATTCAAACGATTGGCGTACTATCCACCGAAGGACGACGGCAAGCCAAAAGAGGAGAAGACGGGGGACGTGGATGACGAGGGTCAGCCATGGAAGAAGCTACGTGGTTACTCCATCGTACGATGCTTCCCCGTCACTGGACGCACCCATCAGCTGCGTGTCCACCTCCAATACCTCGGTCACCCTATTTCGAACGATCCAATCTACGCAAATCAGCGCGTTTTCGGTCCTTCACTCGGACGGGGCGTTTCTGAAGATGAGAACGACGAAGACATCATGGCTCGCCTAGCACGTATGGGAAAGGAGGAAGTTGCTGATGCTGTTGCGTACCACGATGAGATGGTCGATGCATACAACAAGAGAAAGGCAGAGAAGCAGACTGGCGAGACCTGCGACGTGTGTGACACACCGCTGTACAGTGATCCGGGGACACACGAGCTAGGTATCTACCTGCATGCTAGGAGATATAGATGTGAGGAAGGCAGATGGGACTATCAGACAGGCCTGCCTGAGTGGGCCCTGCCGCCACCTGGCTATGAAGGTCCTACCGAAAGCACGCAAGAGAGTGATCCTCTAACAGTTGATCTGGAAAAGCTTGGGATTGCAGATGAACAGGTAGAGAAGAAGACAAGTGGTGCAACATCTACCAGCGCAGCGGCTTGAGAGCCTTTTCAAAGCTCATGAGCCAACTCGCATTCTTGCATAGAAAAACTCTAGATACCCAACGATAGAATATTCAGTTCGATCTGTCGACTACAACCCGCCGAACGCGACACAAGTTCAACACCATATATCGTCGTTTATACGCCTTTTCAGTACATCCTAAGATCAACAGGGGTCATGACTACCTCCGCGGGGTGACTGTTCGAGATACCCCATTCGGTAAGAGGGGGTAAACGCCAAAAATGCCCCGCTATCGATGATGTAATGGGGTTTATTTCCTCGCGAGAAACAGCGACACGAACACAATTGCCGTTTAGCCGCCGTTTGATCTGCCTGCCTGAATCATTGATGTCGCATATCTATACTTCAGGCAGCTGCAACATCGTGAGCTTGAGAAACGGTTTGCTGGTACCTCCTTGACTTGCATACCTCAACTTTACTCGCGTCCTCTCACACCACCAATTCACACAATGGCTACCGGTATCGCCCTGGTAGGAAGCGGGATTTTTGTCAAAGAAGAGCACCTCCCCGCCGTCCAAGCAACACCTCTTCTCAGCCTGAAAGCTATCTACTCCCGCTCTCTCAAGTCCGCAAAGTCAGTGTCCGAGCACCTTTCAGACGTGGACCTGTATAGCGAAGATTCAGAGGGTAAGACATATGACGACCTCCTGAAACGAGACGACTTGAAGGGCGTGATCATCGCGTAAGCTACTGGTCCAGTGAATTTGTCATACTGTACGCTCACATGACTAGACTTCCCATCCTCGCGCAACCAGAATACATCAAGAAAGCCCTCGCAGCAGGCAAGCACGTCCTCGCCGAAAAGCCCATCGCAAAAGATGTCCAAACCGCCCAAGACCTAGTCGCCTGGGCCTCCAACACCTCGAACACTTCCGCCACATACTCCGTCGCCGAAAATTTCCGGTACCAAGACTCTTTCCTGTACGCTCACGAACAGCTGAAATCGCTGGGCCGCATCCTCACCTTCCGGAGCCGTGTGAGCCTGTTTGTGGCGCCGGGCGGCAAGTACTTTGAGACGCCATGGCGCAAGGTGCCCGAGTATCAGGGCGGGTTTTTGTTAGATGGCGGTGTGCATTTTGTTGCTGGGACGAGGTTGCTGCTTGAGGGTGGGGGCGAGAAGGTTAAGAGGTTGAGTGCGTTTACGGCGCAGTTGCAGGAGCATTTGCCGCCTGTTGACACACTTCACGCTACTCTGCAGCTGGGCTCTGGCGCATCGGGGACACTGAGCATTTCGTTTGGTACGACGGATAGTGGGGGCGACTACGTCGTTGCCAGCGAGAAGGGAACAGTGACTGTTACGAGGAGTAAGGTCGTGGTCAGTAAAGACGGAAAGGATGAGACGATGGAGTTCCCAGAGGAGGGCAGTGGCGTCAAGCAAGAAGTTAAAGCGTGGGCTGAAGGATTGGCACAGGGGAAGCCGAACGAGAGGCAGAGCCCCAAAGAGGCTTTGGAGGATTTGAAAATTCTTGAGGCGGCGCTGAGGAGCGGTGAGCAGGGTGGAAAGCCGACTGAGATCTAGATACCTAGCAGAAGAACGATTTAAGGACTTAACTGACCAAGCTGCGCAGGAATGCGCTGTGCTCGATACTTTTCATGGAGTCTTCCTTGGAACCTTTTCATCTCCGCTAGTCGTAGCCTCCCCCTCCCGCATCCTCCTCTCACGATCCCACTTCTTTTGTACCTTCGTTCTCTTTCGGATCACTGGCAGACTTTGACCATTGCGGTGGTTCAACGCTGCCTGATCCCATACAACTTCTAGGCCATCTAGAATGGTCACTTAGCATCCGCAGAACAATGAAAGGTATACGCTCGTACTGTTTCCCAGATAAACCTCCCTTGCCTGTCATGCCAAGCAGCACTGCTGTAGCTCTCACACCCGCATTCCGCGCAAGGTGAAAGAGGCTCTCCTGTAAGCCGCCTTCGCTCGCGCTCTGCTCGTTGCGCTGTGGCTCATAGGCCTTATTTGCTCGAAAGTATCTTCGTCTGAGACTTCGCCCTCCGTGTCCTCCGACTCTCTCTCGTCTACCTCGTCATTCGAAGGAACATCTGACTTTCTCAAACCCTGGTCCGGATGGTTTTCCAGGCTCAGCAGTCGGTTGCACGCAATACTGAATGTGAGGCTACTTTTGTCGACTAGTCCGCGGAGTAAAGTTCTCAGTTTCTGTTCATCAGTGGCCGCGATGGCTTCGTGGAGACGTTATGCTATCATCGCCCTGTCGAGATGAGAGGTACCAGTTCTATAGCGAAGTGGATAAATTAGGCGCTCTGAGGTGGTAGTTCAGTATATCGAATAGATGGGCATGCGCGATAGAGTTTGCTTTACGGAGTAGGAAGCTTCATAAGTGTCCAGATCTAAATAGCGGCACAGAGTGGCATGCTGAGAGTTGAAATTCAGCAAGATCGGCTGATTGATACAATCGTGAATTCTCCAACCTGGCGTGAAGGATGTCCTTGTCGCGCGGGCTAGTTGGGCTGTCAGCAACGGTGGGTGAACGGACAGTCCATATTGGCACAGGGCAAGTCTGAGCGAGAAGGTCTCAATGACAAACCTCTTGAGGATTAGCAACTATCGGCAAGCAAATCAGTCATTCTTCAACCAGGTGCACAGTGTTGTCATTATTGCAGCCAGCACCTGCAAGCCGCCGCCGGCCGGACTTGCCGTCGGCACTGCCGAGCCGACCCATGGATCGGCATCTTCCCTCCATCGCCACATCGCAACATGCCGATTCGCAACCAGATTTGACAGGCCGGGGTCCTACATCTCATTGCTTGCAATTTGGAAATCCAGATTTCGTTCATGCCGCAAGGTGTGCATGTAAGCGCCCAAGGATGGACAATGGTTCGGCAGCCGCTGGCGGCACCACGGTGATGTTTCGGGCCTTCGTATGCTTTGACGATGCTCAGAGCGCAAGAAAAAGGAAAGGAAGTGAATAGATTTGTAACTGAATAAATACAGCCTCATCGCCCATCTGAGATACCATATAGGCTCCAAACATCTAACCAATAAACAAGACATCAAACGCCCATTCCCTTACCTCCAAGTCAACCTTACGAGTATCCAGAGAGAGGGTTCATCTCAAAGAACACCATTACAAACACAATGCCGTCCGCAACACAGGCTCGCACACTCCTCCGCTCCTTCGCACAACATTTCAACGAAGCCCGCCGGCACCCTTCATCACCTAACCCTATGAGCATGAAGCCATATCCAACACAGTACCGGGTCATGTTTGGCAAGGTGGCGAGGTCGACTGCACTGTAAGTCCTTGCGCAATTCTACACGTTACAGTTCCCTTCTGCCCCTTAATTTAGCCGAGATGAAGCATGTCGCTAACGTGTTCCAGTTTCCTTCCAGGATACTTCATCTTACTTGGTTGGCCGCTTTTCCCTCCGATCCTGTTCAACGGGCATATGTACGGTTTGGGACGCGAGCCTTGGACAAAAGTGTAACTGAGGCGAGCTTGCCGGAGAGAATCCAAGTTAGTCAGCGCCGGGAGATTTGGATGGCTTAGCATGTCAGACTGCTGACATGCCTCTGTGCTACTGTATGTACGTAGTGTTTAGGCGTTTTGCATTTGTTTGGGATAGGAGAAAACTCAACGATACCTTCAGGCAATATATTGTCTGATGTTTGGCTCTGGTATCTTTCAGCTCTGCGTGAAGTTTCAAAGTGGCCGTGGGAGACTGCCAGTACCAGACGGAGCAATGCGCTCCTGTATTCCCAGAAGAATGTATCATAGTCAGGGTTAGTAGTCTTCGATGCTACTTGCGCGGCTCCGGCAAGCTGTCATCAATAGCGGTATTTGATTGTTCTACCTAGACTTAGACATGATTGAAATAGCGAAGTTTGACAGCATACTCAGTTGAGAGGGAGACAACACGAAAGTCCATGATGGTGTATGATGCGTCACGGTTTGGGTTGCTCCTGCCTGTCGTACCTCACCTGTCATGAGAGTGACTGCCACGTCACACTAGCGTTGTTTACAGCTACCCACATATATATACTGTTTGTAGCTTCACCCAATACAACCTCAGGACAATCTTCAACTTCTTCCCTTTGCGTACAGTTCACTGAACTCCAACATGATGGCTACAATACCTCTTGAACACCGCAAGAACTGGGCACGAGTTACAATCGTGGGCAATCATGGATGCAGACTTCGATTTGAGCCAGACAGGTCAACTGGCTACACGGGCGAGAGAGATGCGGATTGCGAATCGATGGGACAGGTTGATGGCTACGACACACTCACCCCATGACACTGTTTTGGTCGAAGCGTGAAATCCAGGGTCAGAACTCTCAGCCTGGAACCTTGCCGAAGAATCTGGTTGTCTTTGCTTGCATCGCTAGATGTATCGTCTATCCTTCGAAGCTGAAGCGGCAGTGTCTTCCAACGGGGCCGAACAATTCTGTTCGGTAATGTATCCTGTGACGATATGTAAAGCACGTTGCTGGAGTGCGCACGGCAAGCCGTCGGTGACGGAGAGAGTGAACGGCCCGTGCGCTTACCTCACCCGGCCTTCTCCCGATGAGAGGGAAAGGCTGTGCCAAGCAGTGGGGCTCTGCGCAGATACTTAAGCTCGCCCACACCGCCAAAACTATGATCTTCAGCTCTCTGTTCGTCTCCCTCCCGCCCCCCCCCCCATTTCGACCTCTTACTAACGAAGACCAGTTGCCTTTTGGCTTAGATCAAGTGTAGTAGTGAGTTTATTGCCCGTTATGGCTAGTATGCTCGCCTCGCTCACACTTTGCAGTCTGTTCTTTTCAGGTTCGTAAAACCATTTTCCAGTACTGAAACTCGTCATGCTAATTCGCACAGTTTAATCTCTGAAACGAGTCTACGGACTCATTTTAAGATTATTCTTATTTTTGCAACCGGTCGACGACTCCCTGGGCTTGCTCATAGTCGTCGGCACAGTGTCGCCAGTATTTCACTACCTCTGGTGTACGCGACCCTTTTTCGTTGGCCAACACAGCTGGGCTGTGTGGCTGAAGAAGACAAAAATTTTCCTGAGTTATCTCATAACATGGGTTTGAAAAGCCGGAATGTGAAAACTGTAGATTGTGGAAAGCCAACGGTGCCGCCGACGCTATCTACGTGTTCTTGATTGGTCGTCTATCCGTCTCGTGTTCGTATGTGGTCTGAAGCGAATCCCAAATTTCAAAAACATTTGCGACCCGCAGTTTACAATTGGTTCTCAGTTGTTTACGACAGTTCTGAGTTCTAGCTTCACAGCAACCATTTGTAGGAACTAAGTAATGCTGTAATCATGGCTGGTGCGTACGCATCCCATGTCTCCATGCCCTTAAGTGCGACGAAAGCTGCCTCGAGGCGCTCCAGCCCAGGCGCGCACGTCTGTCCATCTAGCGCGCCCATGGACCTGTCTACCACGCCCATCGCACCCGCGCCAACGCAATAACAAAGTTGATTGACGAGGTTGAACACAATGCCATAAGGGCAGTGTTCCTACATGCTATATACTTGAATGATTGTACGGAGTCCTACAGTATCTTACTGTCTTATGAGACGTTGTCCCAAAGTCCCATGGTATACGTGAGACTGCATGGGAATCCCATAGCTCGCTTGCTTCCGTCCCATAGGACGCTAGACTACTTGTATCGTCCTAGTGTACTCACGTGGCCGTGGGGTAGCTTGTACAACGGGCGCGGCCTTTCCGACAGCCGTTCTCCCTACGTTCAATAACCGCTGTCCCCAGGTCCGATAGTTCCTTCTCTTCTGTACGTGTTCGTAACAGTACGACAGGCAGGAGCACCCCAAACCGTGACATGTTGAGTATACTGACCGTGCCGAGTATTGCCGACGCGGCCTCACTGCTCGGGTCGCTTGAGTTGCTCAACTGAGAGTGATGATCATACTGAGTATCGCCGACGCGGCCCCACTGCTCGGGTCAATCAATACTACAGTTCTTTGGCTTCTCTCGTATTGTTGCATAGTGCTGTTTGTTCAGTGTTGTTGCGGGTTGCCCTTTGATCGTAACAGCTATGTCTACGGCAAACTGCGCTTGAACCAACTCAACGCGATATATCAACTCACTGGACATGCGGTATTCCGAGGGTATCAACTTGAGTATAACCAGTACAGCAGCTTCTTCCAAGAGAACTTTACCTGGCTGGCCTCCATCCTGGCCTATATGGTCATTGTTCTGACAGCGATGCAAGTCGGCTTAGCGACAAGAAAATTAGGTGGAAGCCAAGCTTTTCAGGCAGCATCCTACGGTTTTATTGTTTTTGCAATAGTGGGCTCTCTAGTCGCGGTGATATTGGTATTGGCTGTGTTTCTTGTTCTTCTTGTCTACAATTGGGTCAAGACGGCAAAATATGTGAAGTCAAGGCTCCTTCAGCTCCAACAGTCTAGTGAGAGTGCGGCTGCAACGTAAAGTTCAATTGAACTCGGTCTTCAGCCTATTTGCAAGAAGGCTTGGCTACTAACGACCCTAGCATTGTAAGTTGGCTGTTGCAGGACAAGATGGCGCCCAAGAACACTATTGGTTGGAATGGCACTATGCAAAAAGTAACAACAGATGCAAGGTGAGCAGCGGGCTCCTCGCGACTACGAAACGTTATTTGGTTCAGCTTTCTCCTTTTCTTTTCTATTTCCTTGCTTTTGTTTTCCGTCTTACCCGTACGCCGTCTTTATCTCTGTCTTGCACCATTTTCTGAGCATTATCGTAAGCTAGTTGAGGCCGTGCAGTACGAGCCCGAGCGTGTGACTCTAGACCCTTTTAGCATCCCGTCCTCAGCCGCTTTAACCACCAGCCGTCATGTTGGCAGATTGTTGTGCGAGTCTGAGGGCTGTGTCTCTCACTGAAATTGGAAAAAGTAGAATACTCCCGCTGTTTTCTGACTTCTTCTTCAATGATTCTTTGCCAGTTTCTGCTCTCTTCCTCATATCATTTCTGTTCTGCTGCCCGCTTCGCTGCCTGGTCTTGTCTCAGCGCCTCTGCCGCTTTTCACGTCAGAATAGCTTTCAGATCTAAGAGACATAATTCTCCTTGACTGTGCTTTCTGTTAGATTATCTGATTCCCACAGAGAGCTCTCAGGTTAAGAACGGACAGGGGGTATTGACGAAGGGTTGATTGACTGCGTTGACAAAACAATTAACAGCAAGGCTAACATCACGAAAATCCGCGCTGGAGGCTGGTGCAATTACAAAGGAGTGGCTGCAGAACGATAATACATTAACTACAGGTCTTTGCAATTGCGAACAAGAGATGGCGAAGCTCTGAAGTGTGAACCTGTCCCAGGAAACCGTGCGCCCCAGCACGCTTGGACCGACGTTATGACTTCTACGAGACGATCACAGTCCCTGCTGTGGATGACAAATCGACAGCAGAGGGGTTTGATGCTCAGTTGGCTCAAAACGAAAGAGTTCACGTGATCGAAGAATTGGTTCTATACCGGGAGATCTGCTCGTACGATCGGGAAACTGGAATTTCGAATGCCATTTTTGTCACGACTGTAGACGAATCTCCACTCCGTACCGTAACAGCATGGACACAGATGACCATAGTGGACGGCAGTATGATTCAATCTCTTCGGCATCTGTGTAGCTGGCTTGACAATGATCTCTTTTGGCTCTTCGTGCCGAAACAAACTCCTGACCGCGCTCCCTGTCGGGCTGAACAACAGTGCGGATGCGTATGTCTGTAGAGGCTAGCTCTCGGTTATGCGTTTGTGATACACGATGAATCGGCGCGCGTCTTGGACAAGCTCAGCAAGCTCGTCCGCCTCCCGCGTCTCTTAGTAGAGTCAGCATCTACATGAAGTACAAAACACAGATACATTGCCTGTGCATGCCATACCTGGATAAGAGAGCATACTTTCGCCATCGATACCACGATTCTTTCCATGCTCTTGCACGAACTAAGCCCTTCCAGCCAGTAGAGACAATTCGCTTTCAAAAATCTGTTGATAACGAACACAACTTACGGGTCACTACGCCATTTGCCTGAGACTGATGTTTCGAGTGGTATAGATGGTCAATCCAGTAGACGCACGGGTAACGTGACACTGCTAGCGGGTCTGGCTTGGGCGATTGAACGTTGTCTATAAGAAATTCTGGCGATCCCAAGCTGTAGCTGCCTGCAGTGCGTTGCCGTAGTCTCCACCCTGCGCGTTGGCGTCAGCGCCCTTGTCGAGCAGCATCTTGGCTATCTGCTCGTGGCCTCCAG